ACGATCCCCTAGACAAAATAAGGGCTGCCTGGGAACAAGACCTGAACCTTACATTGTCAGACAATCTGTGGGAAAAGATCCTTAGGTATATCAACTCAACATCGTTCTGTGCCTGCTACTGCCTTCTGCAGTTTAAGGTTGTTCACAGAGCTCACTTATCCAAATCCAAACTATCTTGTTTCTATCCTGAGGTGGATCCCCTCTGTGACAAATGCAGATTAGGTGAAGGCTCTCTTATCCACATGTTTTGGACATGTCCCGGCCTTGAGAAATTTTGGAGAGAGGTTTTTCAAACTTTATCACAAATCATAAACATAACCTTAGAACCTGATCCTCTGGTGGCTGTTTTTGGTACGGTGGGAGAGGATACAAATCTATCTTCCACTAAGGGGCGAACCCTAGCATTTGCCTCCCTCCTGGCTCGACGTGTGGTTCTCCTCAGAAACTTTCATCATTTTGAATTAGCACTCTCCTCTTCTAGTTTTCTTTCTTTTTGAAATATATTTCTGTGATGTTTTATAATCATACAACTCAAATTCTTATCTCTTTTATGGACCTTTTCAGTTTTCAGCGACTTGTCTACATTTTTATTTCCCTTAACGCACAGTAGTTTATTTAACTTTGTCTCTTTTTACTTTTTATTTTTCAACATCTTATGTATTTCAAGATCTATAAAACCTGATTTCCAGCATTTATTTATTATTCTATTTTTTTGTTATAGCTCCATAATTTGTTATTCAAACAAAGTAATAGAAATATCCAGCTGTAGATGGGGATTTGAGGGGAAGGGGGTGTTAGTAATGTGTCTCCTGTGTATATCTGTATAAAACTAATAAAAATATTGTTTAAAAAAAAAAAAAAAAAAAAAAAGACCTGCATTCATTTCCAATGGTATTTCATGCTGGCTGAGTTTTTCTTTGTTCTATCTTTTGAAATTAGTTTATTTTCTGATTGAATATTCCAAGTATTCTTTAAATATCTTGTTTTTGATCACCACTGATTATTATTTCTATTTCCAAATCCCCCCCAACATACTCAAAATTCCCACCCTCAACAAAATCAAAATCACCCCTCACCAACTCTAGCAAAAATTTTAGCTAGCTGAAATAACGCTAGCTGTTTTACCTGTAACTTTGTAACTTTCCAATATGTAATGTCCTCACTCTCAAGGTAACCTAAACCTAATCAAATCTTTGTACAATTATCTTTCACAATAGTCATCAAATAATTTCTAATATAATGTAAGAACAATTGAAAAACCATACTTACATGTATTAGACGGTCAAACAGAGCTGTGCAGTGCTGTGAAATGTCTTTTCATGCTAAATGCTACAGTCACTGTATGTGGGTCGTTTCTGACCCATGTATGTAAACTTGATGTAGAAATACAAAATCTGTGCTTCCTCATAACGTAAGAAAGGAAAAATAAAAATGATTATTTGTGCTCAACTAAAACAAGATCTTTACTGCATACTTGGAATAGTAAATGATAAAATTAATTTATTTCAAAGACATACCATAGAAACACTCAGCCATACATGAAATACCATTGAAAATGGATACGGGTCATTTTAGACCCATGTTGTGCATTAGAGGGGTAGTGATACAAAAACATTTTTTATTCAAAAGGTAAAATAAGAAAAATTAACATAAGGATGTAGGGTCGTCAAAAACAGGTTAATTGAGGAATTCCTTGAGTACTGACTGATGGAATTAATTTATTGAAAAGATATATGAAATTTAAACTCAGCCGGGTCTATTTTGACCCATGTTGTGCATCAAACAGATTTAACTCAATCTCACATCAGAGGCCACAATTCTCATTTCAAAGACTTCACTTCTGGAAGGACCACTAAGAGACTAAAACCTAAAATTAAATGGATACTTTGACAAATGTTAGGTGATAACATAAATTCAATAAAAGACGATCAAATAATTAAAATAAAGGCACACTTAATAGATAAATGGAGGAAAGGATTTGAAAGAGACATCAACCCATGTTCTTCAGAGCCTCGAGAGGTTTGCTTACTCATTTGATGACGGCTATCAGCGGGCATTCTTAGAGTGGGTCAGCCGAAGGTCCAGGCTACTGGTGGTTTAATCAGATTCAGCCAAACGGTGAATCTGATGAAACACACACCACCGGCGCCCCATGGATCCCTCAGCGCTACTCTCTCGGCACCTTGTGGCAGACACAGCTCGGCAGATGATGCGGGTTGGCCCGTCTGGCATTCAGAGTTAGCTTTACTGCAGATTAACTGCACCGATAACTTAAGAAAATAATTTAGCTGGCCTGCCAATATTATCTTCAGGAGTCACTTTGGCGAACTAAACAAAATAACAAACTTGGACTTTGGATTTGAAGCCAAAAAACTCTCAGTAATTCTGGGTTTTTCTCCACTTCCTTGAAACCAGAGCAGCGCAGTAGCGATGCGCGCATTCGGCCGCCCAGTCGCCGAGAGTCCCTGTGATGACGCTTGGCTCACGGGTATCCCCACGGGTGAGCTACGCAATCCCTGAACGCCCATAGGCTGTATCAGGTGTCAATCATAGAAAACATGAACCCCCTAGTAACTTTTAAAAATGGAGCTGTACAGAAAAAAGAGGACTTGGGCACAAACCAGTCTTACAATAACTGCATGTCAACATCACAAGCATGGGGGAGAAAAATTTATGCTCAGTGTAATAAATTTCTAAAGTTTGTCCACAGCTCCATAAGCTTTGCTGGCAGAGGCAGGATTTATGACCTATACTGCAGCCCATCAACAGAGGGTGCTGTTCTTGGAGTGGCTTCACCCAGCAAGGCGGCAGACTCTGTCCATTCTTTATACAGTCTATGGGCTAGAATAAGCTAACTTTTTAATGCAGAACTGTGATCTGAGATGGCGTGAGGGAGCAGAAAGCTTGGGCGCTGGCCCGTAGCACCCCTAACACTAATGCACAACTGTGATCTGAGCATGCGTGAGACAACAAACGTTCCGAGTCCGCCCCAGCGCTGGGTGGAGAGATCGCTAACGGACTGAAATACACATTTAATAGAATGATTAATATAATAGCGCCATTTCTTTACTTTGAGAATAATTTTCAGGGAGACAGCAGACATCCCTTTTTGCTCACGCAGCTCAGGCGGGGCTCCGCCCGCAGCACCCTTACATACCGGCCGCCACTGGTTGCCTCACTAAATATGGTAATGTGTAACTTTACTGTCGTTTTCAAATGGCTGTACAGGTAGTGAATAGTGCTGTCTTGAGCATTTTCAGGTAGTGTCACCAAGATCTGACTTTTTTTGCATTGTAAAAAACAGAGAGAGTAAACTGTCATAATGAAAACATGACAAAGCCATTTAATAATAATAATTCATTTTATTTGTACAGCGCTTTTAAAAACACTCAAAGACGCTTTACATAGTACGTAAAATTCAAGATAATAAGACAAAGACATGAAAACAGTAGGATGGACAAAACAGTTAAATATTAAAAGCAATTTTAAATAAGTGGGTTTTTAAAAGGGATTTAAAAGTAGTGGAGTCAGGGCAGTGTCTGATGGAGGGAGGTAGGGAGTTCCAAAGGGTAGGGGCAGCTGTGGAGAATGCCCGATCCCCCCAAGTTCGGTGCTTGGGCCGTGACAGTGGGGTGAGAAGATGGGCAGAGGAGGAACGGATGTTACGTGGGGGTACATGAGGCTGGAGTAGGTCGGTGAGATAGGAAGGGGCTTGATGATGAAGGGCTTTGTGGGTGAGAAGGAGGATCTTGAACATGATGCGTTGCTTGATGGGGAGCCAGTGTAGACGGAGGAGGATGGGGGTGATGTGATCTCGTGAACGGGTGTGGGTAAGGAGGCGGGCGGCAGAATTCTGGACTATCTGTAATTTGTTGAGGAGTTTAGAGGGTAGACCGTACAGGAGGCTGTTGCAGTAATCTAACCTTGAGGTGATGAAGGCGTGGACCAGGGTTTCTGCTGCGGGGAGGGAGAGAGATGGGCGAATACGGGCAATGTTTTTGAGGTGAAAAAAGGCTGATTTAGTGACCTGTTTGATGTGTTGTTCAAAAGTGAGGTGGGTATCAAAGATGAGTCCAAGGTTGCGGATGGAGGAGGAAGGAGACAGGGGTGAGTTATCAGCTGTGATGGAGAAGGGGGGATGGATTGGGTGATGGATTTGGGGCCAATGATTATCATGTCGGATTTGTCACAGTTCAGTAGAAGGTAGTTGTTGGTCATCCAGGTCTTTATTTCGGAGAGGCAGGTTGAGAGGGTGGAGAGGGTGGATGGGGTGATGGATTCAGTGGAAATGTAAAGTTGGACATCGTCAGCGTAACAGTGAAATTGGAGGCCGTGACGACGGATGATATGTCCAAGAGGGAGGATGTAAATAATGAACAGGAGGGGGCCAAGCACCGAACCTTGGGGGACACCTTGGGTCAGGGGAGCAGTGGTGGAGGAGTTGCTGTTTATGTTAATGAATTGTTGGCGGTTTGTGAGGTATGACTTGAACCAGGAGAGGGCAGTGCCAGTTATGTAGATTGAGTCATGAAGACGGGAAAGGAGGATGGAGTGGTGGATGGTGTCAAAAGCAGCGGTGAGGTCCAGGAGAATCAGGATGCTAATGTGGCCGGAGTCAGCGCTGAGGAGGAGGTCATTGCAAATCTTGAGGAGGGCTGTTTCTGTACTATGTTTGGGACGGAAACCGGATTGGAAGACTTCAAAGAGGCTGTTGGAGTTGAGGTGGGTCTGAAGTTGAGAGGCGACGGCACGTTCTAATATTTTAGAAAGCAGGGGAAGGTTGGAAATTGGGCGGAAGTTAGAAATTATGTCAGGGTCGAGTCCGGGTTTTTTGAGGGTTGGGGTGATAGCAGCCAGTTTGAGGGAGTCGGGGACTGATCCGGTGTGGAGGGAGGAGTTGACTATGGAGAGGATTAGTGGAGAAAGGACTGGAAGGCAGGTCTTAACGAGTGCGGAGGGCATGGGGTCCAGGGTGCAGGTGGGAGTCTTCATGCTAGTTATTAACTGGGAGAGTTGGGCATGAGAGATGGGGGAAAACTGGGATAGGGGCTGAGCAGAGGTGTGGGGGGAGCACAAGGGGGGGACTTGGGGTGGGGTGTGGGGGCGGAAGTTGCGGACTGGAGGCTGTTGTAGATGTTGTCTATTTTGGACTGGAAGAACTGAAGGAAAGTCTGGCATTTGTCTGGTGTGAAGGTTGAAGTGCTGTTGTCATGTGGTGCCAGAAGTGAGTTGATGGTGGAGAACAGGGTCCTGGGGTTGCTGGAGCCAGAGTGAATGATGTTGGAGTAGTATGCTGAGCGGGCGGAGTTGAGGGTGGCTTTGTACTGATGGAGGTGATCTCTATAGAGCTGGAGGTGAATTGTGAGTCCGGTTTTCCTGTAGAGTCTTTCAAGTTGGCGTTTTTTTTGTTTCAGCTGGTGGAGTGCTGGGGTGTACCAAGGAGCAGAGCGGGCGAATGTGACGGATTTGCTTTTTACAGGGGCAAGTAGGTTCAGACAGGAGGAGAGAGTCTGGTTGTAGTAGGTGACAAGATCAGAGGGGTTATCGGACGCTTGTGGGGGTGATGTGGTGAGGTTGAGAGAGAGAGCGGCGGTGAGGGCAGATGGGCTGATTGATTTGAGGTTCCGGAAGTTGATGGTTCGTTTGAGTCTGGTGGGTGGGTCGGGGAGGGTTATAACTGTTTTGATAAGTAAGTGATCAGAGATATGGAGATCGTGGCAGGAGGGGGGGGATGTTTCCAGGCCGGTTGAACAGATAAGGTCCAGGGTGTGGCCATGGTTATGGGTGGGGAAATGGCAGTGTTGGGTGAAGCTGAAGCATTGTAGGATGTCCAGAAATTCACGGGCTAGACTGCAACTGGGGTTGTCAATGTGGATGTTGAAGTCACCGAGGAGGAGAACGGATGGGGAGAGGGCACAGAGCTGTGTGAGGAGGTCAGAAAGGTCAGTCAGAAAATCTGGGCTTGGTTTAGGTGGGCGGTAGATAATAGCAATAATGAGAGGGGGGGAACCAGGGAGTTTGAGAGCAACATGTTCAAAGGAGGAGACGGTTGGCATGGAAAGTGAAATGATTTTGAGATCCTTATTGTGAATTGTTGCAATGCCGCCACCTCTGCCTTCTAGGCGGGGTTTATCAATATAGGTGTAGCCTGTGGGGGTGGCCTGATTGAGGGAAAAGTAGTCCAGGGGTTTGTGCCATGTTTCTGTTAAAAAGAGAAAGTCCAGTTTATTGTCCATGATGAAGTCTTGCAGGATGAGGCCTTTACTGGTGAGTGATCGGGTATTAAACAGGGCCAGGTTTGACTGTCTTTTTCATAAACATTGGTGTCAGAACTAATTATTTTGATGACACAGACAGTTTTATTGATATGAATACTTGCTTTTGAGGAAAGAACTATCCATTTTGAGCAAGTGACGCGCTTTTGCAGGTTATCCACAAGGTTTTGCAGTTTGTACTAATTGTTCTGGGAAATGCACCAACTGTTGTGCAAATGTTAATAGTGATGTGTGAAATGCACCAAAGCAACTGAGAAAAACTGTAAACCTGACAAAGTGCCCTCTAGATGCCCTTCCAGTGGTTATGAGATGAAAAAAATCTGGATTTTCCTCAAGTCATAAAATATGTGGGAAAGTTGCACTTTCATCTGCATGACATCTAGATGCTCTTCTGGTAAAATCAAGAGGAAAAGTGCCCCCTTCATATCTTCCCACATTTGATAAAATGTGATGAGGTACCTTTATGTAATTTAGTCCTATAGGTTTAATTGACGTGCAAGGTTTAAAAGCTGAGTTTCAATCTCCAATGAGGAGTTTTTCTGGCATTTCATTAAAAAGTAGGCTAATTCTGATGCCTTTTAATTAGATGCAAAACACAACATGACTATCAGCACAGTCAGCCAGTAGGATTAGATTTCATGAACTCTTAATATTAACAACAAATGTCTTGTAAATAGATCTGTGAATTGTGTCTCCCAAGAGAGGGAGAGAACAGAGAAATCCATGATAATTTGAAGCTTCTGTGAGAAGTTTTTTGACATCAATGAAACAGACAAAAATTCATATTGATGTCTTTTTATTCTTGACAAAAGCAAACAAAATCAGCAGCAACATAATTGATGATTCAAATCCTCACTGCTGTTATTTTGGGTGATTTTAACAGGGATTATCTGACACATTTTAAAACCTGCCACAAACAAGTTTTGCATTTCTGTCAGCCCATTGTAAGGGGTGCATATATCTGTAAAATCAGATGTTGAGTTCAGGACCCTCACTGTCCATAGCATTGCTCAACTGTCAAAATGGCTGATTTCAAAGTATTTTAGATTTTGTGAGATAATTAGGAACAAATGGATATAGGTCTATGAAAACAAATGTCTCAGACCTAGCTTTTGTTCTGTCAAATATAATTTGCTTTTTTGTGTATGAACAAAATGCCTTTTTTCTATACCCTCATGTTGTTTCTGAGGGTATGGAAGGCAGCACTTGCACTGAAAAATGTGCTTCTGCAAAGTTGATAACTTTCATGTATACAGCTACTAAGAAGCCACTATTGGAGCCCACAGTATAAAAAAGAGGGAGGCTTGGCCATCATGAAATAAATTCTGAATACTAAGTCATAATTATCAAAATCCCCTAAATTAAAGTCAAATTTATGAGAAAAAAGTCAAGACTTGTAAGAAAGAAATAACTGAGAATAAGACAAAATAATTACATAGTGAGTCATAATTACTGTCGTCAATATAAGATTAAAACTCTTCATTTCAGACAAAAAGTCCATATGGTGAAAGAGTAAATCATTATCATGTGATAAGTAAAAATGTGGATGTAAAAACTTGAGACAAAAAGGGAATATGAGTCGTTTTTCTTAAAGCTTCGATCCCATAATTTTGGCTTTTTGTCCTTTACATTTCACTAATTGAATCAAAATTTAGACTTCTCTAACATTCATGACTTATTTTCTCAAAATTTTGACTATCTCATAACTTTCCCTTTTATGTCATAATCATTAACTTTCACAGAATATTGACTTCCCATCAGATAGTTTAGATTTTTGGTCTTCTGATATTGGCTAATTGATTAAAATTTTAAAACTTTTATCTCAATTATGATTTTAAAACTCATAATGACTTTCTATCACATTATTTTTAAACTTTTTTTCCTCATATTTTAGACTTTGACACTTTTGACTTGATATTTAGGGTTTTTCAAATGAAGAAAAACCTATTTTTTAATAACTGGCGTGAATAGGGTTCTTTTTGTCTTTAATTCTCAAGCAAATACTGATTTATTTAGCCACTGTTTTACATTTACATGTAAAGAAAATTGTGAGGTTAAGCGCATGAAATCTTAAGGCATCAAAAGAAGTCCAGGAGAGATTTTTAATGCTTATTTTTTTGCCAAATCACCATGTAGTTATTAAGAGTACAACTTTAAAGCTAGTGCAAAATCAATGTTATCATTATAACAAAGGATATAAAAATAGTATTAAGAAACCCTGTAATAGGTACTCAATGTAATGTTTATCAAAGCATAAAACAAAGCAAGAGGCATTCAGTGCTGGTCATGCTGGTTAAAGGCAACAAAGTATGTATGCTGCATATCTACTCTGCAGATCTCAGGAAGATTAGCAGCACGTTTTGGTCGGTTTGATGATCACTGAGCTGTCAGTGAACAGTGTCTGGTAAAAACCACGTGCAAACCCATCCATACGCATATTCTTCAGGCGGTGCTGGAAATGGACATACCTCACACCGGGTCCATAACCAGAGAACACATGTGACACCTGCAGGCCAACAGAAACCCTGTTAAAAACACTCAGTGCAGTGCATTGGGAAGTCTTGCATGTTTAAATGTAATGGCCCCAATGTAACTGAATATCAAGGTGTACCTGTCACAGAAAAATGTGTTTGTATGTTCAGAACCTTTAGGTCATGACAGTAAAATGTGATGTTTTCAAATGTACATGAGTCTATGGTGAGATACTGACACCTACTGGTGGAATGGTGTATTGCATCAACTTCCTCTGATGTACCTGTGAGGACTAAGACACTCACCTCCTTCCAGCCATGTGACTCAGAGCTGCGGTCCTCAGTGGGCTTCACACAGTGCTCTGAGATCACTGTGCTTTTGTCAGCACCCAGTAACTTCACATGCAGCTCGTAAATATATTCATTCAGATCACTCTCTTCATACCTGAGAAAACCGGCAGAATGTGATCAGAAATTAAGAGCCAAAACATAAAAGTGCTACAGCAATGCCACAAAAGTAAGTTGTGCGATCCCTGAGGATGTGTTTCACAGGTTGCTAACTGATGATGAGAGTTGACAAATAGTTGGATATTGAATTCTGCCATATCTAAAGGGAAGTAAAGCTTTGTTTCATGGGTTAGTCATTTTAAAGCTCTAAAGATTTAAGTTTTGTAGAAACTGTTGTCCCATTGAAGGGAAATAGAAAACATCGGAAAAAGTGCTCAAAACTTATTTTTTCTTTCTTTGATTAAAAGGTCCTCAGTGTGTGATATTCAATGAATCATAAAGAGCAAAAATGCTGCTAATAAATGTTAGTAGAGAACTAATGTATGATTAATATGTTAGCGAGACTTTTTAGCTCAACCGTAAAACTGTGACACTGTTTTCTTTACAAACTTAAGGACAAACATCTGTTGATACCCAAACTAATTAAATCCTTGATGAGCTGTTCCTGCCTGAAGCAAATATTAATGACTGAACTGTGAAACACGTTCTGTGTCATCTGTGTGTGAACAAACTGAGCTGCTGAGGCCACAGTGAGAAGGCCCCACACACAGTCTCTAATACAGGCAAGAGGGGTAAGAGGCAGCGGGGGGCGCTCATCAACCCACCAGTCCTGGATGACTATTTCAGGCTGAAACCCATCAAGCAGCTCATTCCACAGACCCTCTGCCTTCAGGTCCACGACCTGCTCCATGGTGAACCAGCTGAGAAAAAGAGAGAGAGACAGCAGCAGAGATTTCACATTTAAGATGTTTGCATCCGTGGGAAAAAATAAAGGACTACTGCGACGTTTCTTTAAGTCAGCATCTCTTTATGCATGACAGAAACAGAGCGTGCTGATGTTTAACTTAGGTACACTCTGTTCTACTTCATGTGGTGACCATGCAAGACTATCTTGTACAGATTTATGTCGGTGCCAAGCATGTGAGAATGCTTCAAAGGAAACAGAAGAAAGAGCTGTATGGGATGATGACTCTGATGAAAGTGATAGTGATGCGTAATATACGCACCATGTCACCATGTACAATTTGTTTTGTTTAAAGGATTGCTACACCGAGATTTGAGATTTATATTATTTTTATATTTGTTCTACATTTGTCTGCGTTTGTGTTTTGATCTTTATTTTCATATTCTGGAGGGATTGAAAAATGTTAGATGTTTTGATACTGTAATTCTTGAATAAATGTTTTATACCATATTTTGAATTACTTCAGACCTTTTGTGCATTTATTTTTGTCACAGTAGGTTTTGTCATTTTTATGTATGAAACATAAGCTTTTAGCTCAATTTACTGTATATATTTCATTGTGCTGGGTGCAAATCACTTGAGTTGAGACGTTTTCTTCAAGAAATTTGCTACATTTCATAATCTGAATTCACTTATGCGTATACTAAGGCACCAATAACTGTTTCAGATGTTAGGTAGATGTATTTATGACATTTGAGAAAGATTTTGTCTTGCCAGAATCAACATAGCAGTTTCTACAAGCAAAAACAGCAGCACCATATAATCGTTTTTTGGGTTACTCACATATATGTACATTTCTGGCTGGTGACAAAAGTCAGACAGATAGTCTGAGTAGATATTTTAACCCAAAGTCCAGAATGGTATTGTCTATGCAAAAATGCATTGATTGCACCAGCGTAGTTGAACGAAATTCACTTTCTAGGCACTTTTTCCTTTGTCCCAATACAGCCTATGACCTCGAGCGAAGTTTCTTTCGCGGAGTTTCAGATGCCGTGGACGTGGATGCATCGGCGATGCTGCGTTAAGGGTTTGACTGACCCGCGGTTGCATCACGTTCTTGTTTCCCAAACGCCTTTTGCAAATAAATCACTGGTAGCATGTCATGTGAAACCCAGTGTCATCAGGAACATTGTCAAAGTCAATGTCAACGCAATGTTTGTAAGTTTCTGCAAGGTCCTTTGTCTCCCCCTGTACAGAAAGCCACTTTCTAATACTAGTTCTGTAAGTTTCCCAACGTGTCCTTGTAAAGTCAAGGACCTCTTCGCCCTGTACAGATGATAAATGCATATAGCATTGTTTCGTTCCTTTTTTATGCACTTTTGAAGGCTATTTTCTTTTTTTCCTTTTCTTTTCTTCCTCTTCGCTTGTCTCACTGCTAGATGCGCTCGTCGCCATGTTTGTGTATTTCTGATACTATGGCAACGAGACTCGGCTCCTATTGGTCCACGTGACAAAAATCGCTTCACCCCTCTGCATATTCGATTGCGCGTGTGCAAGTATCACTACGCTGCAGAAAGGAAATAGTTCGACACCGAAACACTGATTACTAAAAATCGACTGGATGGCATGAGTGGATATTTTTTTTTAGTACTTACTATCAATAGGGCTATTTTATCAATCACAGTTAATGTTGCCCCACTGAATTGGAACGAACCAACACGATCTCACTCAGCCAATACAGTCTAGTGGTAAACATGTCAATTTCTGTCATCAAGATGTAACATGTGACCTAAAGAAGCTGGACTCACTTTTGGAGACAGCCTCTAGTGGACATTTAAAGAACTGCAGGTTTTAGCTCTTCTATAGTGCCTTTAAACTGAAATTAAGGTTGCTGCCTGTTTTTACCCAAAAAGATTGTGTGTGTATGAAGAGTAATCAGCTGTATGGTCAACACTCACCTGTATGTACTCATGCTGCAGACAACAACACCAGGTGGGATGTCACTTGTGTCTCGGGGTATAGTTTCATTTTTTGTGGTCCAGCCACTGAAGTTGCCTGAAGATTTAAGTACAGCATTCACCCAATCTGGAAAACGTCATTTGTGTTCTTTGTGTTTATTAGCTTGTCTCTCACCCTCAGGTTCAAATGGGAGTGGTCCTCTCACTGGCCTTTGATCACGTTCAGGTAGAGGGTTGTCTTTACTCATGCCTGAGAGAAAAAACACAAAGAGACAGCTGTAGATAGTAACACACCCACCAAAGCCTCTACAATCCCACTGTAACCTTCACAAAGCTAAACTATCAGTCTTTCTGACAGGTTTTCTGGGTGTGTCTCTGTGGAAAGACTGTTCAAGTGTGAGTCAGCAGTTGAGAAATGTCCACGTTCAGGTAGAGGGTTGTCTTTACTCATGCCTGAGAGAAAAAACACAAAGAGACAGCTGTAGATAGTAACACACCCACCAAAGCCTCTACAATCCCACTGTAACCTTCACAAAGCTAAACTATCAGTCTTTCTGACAGGTTTTCTGGGTGTGTCTCTGTGGAAAGACTGTTCAAGTGTGAGTCAGCAGTTGAGAAATGTCCAACTGCATCTTGTTTAAGAAAACCTACAGGCTCCCATTGTAGCTGGCTTTCATGCGACCAAAGAAAGAGACCTGAGACTTGCAACAGAAAACACTTTTAAGGTCCACAGGTTTAAGATGTGTCAAATATCAGCAGATCTACTGGCAAAGTATCTGGCAGCATTTCCTCCCAACTCAGGGCAGGATATTACACAATTCTGCTGTTGATCAGAATAACTAACAGAAACCCAAAGTCATGGCCAGTTTGCTGCTTTAAGGTTGATCAGCTATTAAAGCGATGATGAGAGAAGATCTGGAGGAATATTAGGAGAGTAAAGACAAACTAATGATACATGTGGTTATATATAACTGTGAACAGATTAAAACAGCATTCACACCACTTGAATGAGCATGAATGATGCCCTGTAGCTTGTGTTTGCATGTGTTATTGCAGAGAGACAGTTTGTGGTACTTTCCTACATATGTGTGTCTGACCACTGCAAAAGCACGATTGGGAGGCAGATGAGGCAAAAGCAGAGTGACTCCAAAGTTAGTTATGTGCAGGACAAAATACGAGGAAGTCCTGCTGATATGAATGAATTTATTTTTGTTTGAGAGTTTCAGCACTTTAGGAAAACGTCTCTCCAACTTCGAAGCAGCTGTGGTGTTATAAATAATTATCAGCTACCAGTCACAACTGTGTTGAACCCTGCTACTTCTCCCAACTGTTTGTAGTCCGGAAACAAAAAAGCATCTCTAGTCTTCCTTAAAGAGTGTTGTTACCGTGAGGTGAAGGGTTCTTCAGTAAATTCCTCCCCAGAGGTTTGGCTTCATACACGGATTTCCAGTCCAGACTGTCCGGCATCGGAGCTCCCTGCAGGCCCCACTCCTCCTCACATTTCTGCTTCCACTCAGACATGATACCGAGAAATGGTGAAATCACACTGATCCAAGGGAGTGTGTGTACGTCCACTTCATTCCTGAGTCTGCGGCACACTCGACTGCAACGTCAGAGAAAGCCTGCCCCCTGCTCTTAAAGAAACACGAGCTTTATTCGTCTTTTCCAAAAAGCGGATGACTACGGAATCCCAGAGAGTCAAACGAGAGAAAATAATTCTGTATGCATTTTTTTAAGCTTGTAGGATCTCTTTGATTGGTTAAAAAAATAGAGAGAGTAAAAATTTTGTGGTTGGGTTTTTAATTTTTTTTTCTTGCACATTTTTACAATAGAGGAGTATAGCTCCTCTCTTTCTAAGAGAAAGTCAGAATTCCTTTTTTTTTTGTTCTCATAATTTTCACATTTTTTCCCCCCAAAAAATTCTGAATTAATCCTGTGGAAAAAAGGTAATTTTGAATAATAATTAAATTATAATAATTAATAATCCCTTAACTTTTTTACTGGCACCAATTGTCTTCAGAAGTATTATGATTTAGGAACTAGGGAACATTAATATAATAAGATATAATTATAATAGTTATCAGTTATAATAGTAATAATAAGACAGAAATTTCAGTAAAAAGTTTTATTAGATTCATTTAATTTATAAAATTCATTCATTTGTTTTTTGTTTTATTTTTGCACATATGATTGCAAAAATGCATTAAAAATACTGTTTCTAATAGACTTTCTGGTAAATACTCTGCTCTGTTTTTTTAATTTATGGGATGATTGTCTGGAAAAAAGAACACATATTCAAGAAAAGAAAAAAAAAATTCTGGTAAATGGTAAACTGGTAAGCGTGACAACTTACCTGTGTGACAACAAGCCCCACTCTCCATAACTTCAACAATGACTTCGCCTGTTTTAAGAAATATCCTGGTAAACCTGTATTTTTGTTGTCTAGTTGCTGGCACTCAAATCAGACTTGTAAAATGGCTTGTTTAATATTTTTTTCTCAGTAACTTTCCTCCAGACTGTAGACATACTCAATGACAGAGATGCAAATAAAATTAAAATCAGACCATGAGTTTGTGGGCAGAAAAATGGGTTATTAACAGAATATTTATATATTATGTGTCAAATCAACATAATCCTCTTTAGATCAGTGGTTAGTGTTGGTAGCCAGTTATAATTCAGGGATAGGAAATGTGTCACCACTTCCTTCCGTATTTCTGACTTCTTCTTATTGTAAAAACCAGTATGCACAAATTTGTTTAATCCAACTACTTTTAGACAGTGGTGTTCTCAGGATGTTTGAGGGGCAGGGGCCAAAAAAATAAAATAAAATGGGCACCTGCTGTATGCCGGGGGCACCAACAGACAGAAAACTGTGAATAATGAAGATTTATTAATAAAGAATAAAGACTTTCTGAAGCATGAGAAACGCTGCAGGTTTACTAAACAAATCCTTTTTTTTTAAAGCTTATTTACCAAAAGTGCACTTTTCCAGATATCTTAGGGCATGCAGAGGGCACCTTTTTACATTGTGGGCTCTATTTTCGTGTCCGCCAGTGAGGCGGCGGAGGGTGGTGGACCCCGTGTAGTGGTGGACCCCGCGCAGTGGTGTTTTCGTCTGGCGAAACCTGGCGTACAGCCAGTTTGGTATTTTCTGACTGAGGCGCACTGAGGTCCGCCAAGCTGGGCGTGGTTGCGAGGCAGGGGGAGGTGTCGACAGAATCAGCGGGCGCAGTGACATTTTTGTTCTCGCCGGCGGCATATAAAGTGCGCTGAAAACTTGCCAATTCAACCCTGGTCAGCTTTTAGCGCAGGCCGAGTGCAGCTGGTCTAATGGTATTTTGGTAGACCGGCGGCGTATCAGCATACGTCACCGGTGCTGGCTGGACATCTGAAGACCACATTTTTTAACATGCTCCTGAGATTCATTAAGAGAGCGTTAACTAAGGCTTTTTTATATCATAAAAACTACACCTTAGGGGTTTTTATTATGTTTTATTTACTACAAGAGTGTCTTAGAGGGATCTTCTGCAGTGGTTCTTTCATAAACCCCCAGGTACACCAATGTTTATAAAAATTAGAGGTATCCATGTGTCAGAGAACATATTACAGTCAAACATTAAACCCAGCTTTTATCAGTAAGTCTCAGCAGCTGCTGTCTGCTCTCACTGTGTCTTACAGCTGGACTTTACCCCTGTATGCTCACTCCATATCTACAGGAGACATTACTGCTTTGACCTTTGCACTGCATAGAAAGGCCCTCTATATTTATGCTTCCCTGATTTGGACTGAAACACTATCTTTAAGTATTTCTTGTAGACTGGTCCCCTTCAAAAAATGTCTCTCACCTCCAGCTCGTCCAAAACTCAGTAGTCTAAATGTAAAAAAACATAAAGAGACAAGACATTGACACTGATTCTTACATCTTTCACTGGTTCAATAGCGCTCTGTGAGCCCTGCTGCCTCTGGCCTCTAGATGCTTATGTTATAAGATGCATATAAGTACAATATCTAAAGATCCCCTTACCTTGGGCCCTGCGGGAAGTGCATGAAAAGCTGCTGCAGTTGCTACACTTAGAAAGGATAAAACATCAAAAGGAGCAGCCTTGCTGCTTGTCCAGTGCAAAACAGCGCCCTGTGGAGAAAATGTAAAAGCAACTGCAAGTGTTAAATTAGTTTATTCAATCATTTGATTTACATTTGATCACCTATTTTTAGTATGACAATTACAAAAAGAAAGTTTTTTCAGAATGAGCTTCATCTGGGAAGTAGCATTTAAAGGGGACCTGCCATCAAAATTTCATACCCATTTTTATCATTTTTTTATAATCCTTGATGTCCTCTGATCATGTTTGCAACATAATTTTAGCTGAAAAGTCATTTGATGGTTTGTTTTAGTATGCCTAAAAAAACCTTATAGAAAAGTCAACTGGTTTTGGCTCATCAACATTTATGGTAATGAGCTTTGCTCTGATTGGATCGCTGCTGTAAAGCCTGCTGTGCTCTGATTGGCTCAGCAGTGGAGGTTCTGATGCCGTTTTGTCTGTTTTGCTAATGTGTGCTAAAGGCTAAAAATGGCAGGCATTAATCCATATATTTTTGACCCCGAGTCCGAAGAGGAGGTAGAAATTGAAGAAGCCGGAGAGCGAAAGAACATGGACATGTCAGAATGGTAATTTGATAAGACAGTGGTTCTCAAATCCAGTCCTCGAGCCCGCCCGTCCTGCAGGTTTTGGACGTTTCCCTGCTCCAACACACCTGATTCAAATGATTAGCTCGTTATTAATTCCATTCCAGAGCTTGATAACGAGCTGATCATTTAATTCAGGTGTGTTGGAGCAGGGAAATGTTCAAAACATGCAGGACGGGGAGCTCGAGGACTGGACTTGAGAACCATTGTGATAAGAGAAGATTTGATCTAACTTATCATTCTCGGTTAAGCTATGGGTGATCAGGCTACACACCAACACACAGCACATGGTTATCTTGTTTATTTCCAAAATTAAGTTCATGGACCTCCAAATAGTTTATTAACACAACACATAATTTGTCATAATCAATAATTCCCAAACTCATAACCTACCTTTTACTTCAGGTGAACCTGTGGGAATTGCTGCACAATGGAGACTGAGACTGAGAACGTATGTTGCAGGGAGATATCAGTGGTAAGACAGTGACATCTGTGATATGGATAACATTTTGAGTAAACACCAATTATTACTATATCTGACAAAAACATATCTGAATGCACAGGCACTAAATAGAATGGAGGGGCTGGAGCCACCAGTTCATTGCATGACAATCCATCCTGGACTAGATCCAGTATGCCTGAATATTTTTTCCCTGCAAAATGCCCTCAATATCTACCAAAGGGATTACGGGCAAGTACCAATTACAGGCTATGAAAAGTAAGTGCAATAATGTTAACACTGCAAGGCACATAAGCATATTCAAACATGACTAACTTACACCTATTAATAATACCAAAACGAAATAAGCAACATTTGAAACAAAGTTTGAAGTATTTTGTTGTATTACACTCAAAGCCGCTTTACAGGCAATACGCAACACACACACCACTTGCATGCAGCACACACACACAGAGAAAAAAAAAATAGAAAGGAAAGAGGGTTAATGTCGTAATATACATATACACATATATACAACAACGTCCTTTTTTTTATTACAGCCGTTGCAGGTTCCTGTCATATAGGTCCTTTGTTAGCTGATGCTGGGGGTATCTTGGCCGGCATGTACGTGTGGTGATCCCCTCTTGTGTCGTCCAGCGTATCCGGCGGGAGTTCCCTGACGGGGCGGGGCATTACTTTGGGTTCAAACGTCCTCCACTCTGAACCGGGACTTGTAGGCCGCAACAGCACCATCCACGGGGGGGTGGTCAAACTGGGATGAGAGGAAGCTGGGGACAGGAATCTCCTGAAGTTCCTCCAGGTAGGGCTGGGGACTGGGGAGAACCTCTTCGAAGAAGAAAATCCATGAGTTTGTGAAGGTAGTCTAAAAATGTAAAAGGAAATGCAAATGAAGTGAAAATGACCTGGTGTTTTATTTCAATAAATACTTAAAAAAAAAAATAACTGTATGTTGGAGGTGTTTTCACTGATTTCTCTGAGGCTGCTCCTTTTTTTGCCTTTGGGAAATTCATCTTGTACTTCTGTCTGCCAGATGTTGTTTTGGCTTGACAGTGGCCAGCATTCTCATTGAAGTGCATTGCTGCCAGGTACAGTCTGAAGGAGAAAAAAAAAAGGTGTGGTAATAAGAGTCAGAGCAGAACACTGGCTGCATCAGGTCTGTATCAAACATACTTAATTTCCTTAGGGGTCAATAAAGTATGGTAATAAAGTAACTGTACTGTAGGTAACCATGGCAAAGATATATCAAATACAGGGTTGGGTGGTTTGTGTACATGTGGATGTTTTTAGTCATTAGATGTGAACATACCTGCACAACATCCCAATAAATGGGAACACCACATTCTTTGGTGTAAATCTCAGAAGAACGCCGTGGAAAGCCTCCAGTGTTGAGGTCTGATACTGGGAGCTGAGCTTTTCAACATCTGTCAGGACCCTCTTGTTCAGTAAGATTCTTTCCAGTTTGTAGAGAGCTTTGGAGCCTACAGACAGATTGTTGTTACTTGTACAGAAGCAAGCTTGCCAGACAACATTACATTATATGCTGTGTCATGGAGGACTACATACCTGGCTTAAACCATTTTTTGGGATTTTTTGTCCGCCAAATAGGGTGGAGGCATTTGGGAAAGGCGGGGTTGTCATGGTTGTGCTTGTCTTGTATGTGGTTCACCAGTGAGGTCCATTTAGCCACTTTTTCAGGCCCAAATGACGAGGAGATTGCTGTCCAGTACACGTGGTTACTGATGCTCCGCCGCCACTTTTTCACAATGTTGCATTCTTTGTCTTTAGACACCTTGTCCAATTTCTTGGACAGACCTGATGAAAAAGAAAAGAAAAACACAAAAAAAGTCTTGCGAGTACTATCCCCACGAGTCCATGTCCATGTCCATGTTTACTAAATGCCTATTCCCTTTGTCATCCTGTAGTTATTCACTCCTATAAGTAGTATATTTTTTGGTGTACACTATTTTTACATTACATAGCATAACTATGTATTTAATCAAATAAAGAGACAAAAATTACCCTTTTCAAGGTGCCAGACATCATAAAAATGCTGGACATTGCGGTCCCGCAGAAACTTTTGAATCTGTGGATGTCGGTCGGTAACAATGTAGTCCACTGCCACACCCTTCGCCTCTAGAGGCTCAAGGCTTCTTTTGAGACCCTCCTTCTCCATGTGATGGCTCCCTCCAACCTCATTGCTCTTGTGGATTAAAAACAATACGAAAAGAAAGTGATGAATGGGATGAATCACACAATGACAATGCCACTAATTATTTCTCTACTCTTCAGTCTCTATTAGACAGAATGTGTAAAAGAGAACATAACAGATAGCAATGTAAATGTAAGTATTTGCAATGATGAATGTAAAATCTCTCTCTTTTTCAGGATACCAGGCAAACAAACAACAAATTCAAGGAATCTTAAATATGGCTCCAACAGCGTGTGATTGTTCCATTTTCATATAAGGATCTACTAACCTGGACAAGCTGCTCATCAATGATGTTGTTGTTCTCCAGGTTCATCAATGAGTAGCTGCTATACTTTGCGCTATGACCTGCAAACACATAAGTGATGTCATGAGCCCACTGCTTTTGAGCATTTTTGTGCCCTTTTGTGTCAAACTTAAAATGCATTGCGAGTCAATGAATAGGCTTACCTGGACTGTCTGCCCTCATATCCCCGCCAAGTTTAACCTTTCTTTGGCTGAGAACCTTCCACACTTCCTCCTGAAACCTAATCCACTTGTGGATCACGGCTGGCTCCAAAAAGGTCTGTGCATGCCTTCTGAAAGTTGTGTAGCCAATCGACTTCAGGTACATGGCTTTGAATACCTACAAATAAAATCATAATTCGAGACAAAAACAACAATAGGTTTATTTTTCACTTGTCCTCAACAAGGTCATGTGCTGAGGGAAATTACATAAAAAGGAAGGATATTACATAAAAACTGCAATGTGATGGTGAGTGTGAAGTGCGAATCGATACCTTGTTCAGCTTGAAAAATGACATGCCAGTGAAATATATGGCTGCAGACAGTTGGAGGTTGATGATTGGGCAGCTCCCAATGACTGGTTGACTTGTCCACTCTCGGTGATACCCACAGTGACGACATTTGTGGTCAATGGCCAAGAATGCACCTCGACTGTTTGGCACGACTGCAGAATACCCTTTACAAATCTGACAGTTTTCAAACAGTGCAAGTAGGCATCTCTCGCTTACAATGTATTTTGCATCCGTGTAGTGAGGTGTGGTGGTGGCGCTGTGGAAGAGAAATGATGGGAGAAATGATGTTTTGAGTTTTCTTAAGTAGTCAGTTGTCATTTTGTTTTTGTATGGAAAAATAAACCATCAACACTTACAGAATCTTTGAGGACTCCGATACATCTGTCATTGTTTAGTCAGGCTCATATGTGGAGTCAAGTGGTGGCGGGATCACTGAGGAGTCTTCCCCTTCGTCTTCCTCCTCCACAGCTAACCAAGGCTTTTTAGCTGGCCGTGGCCTGATCGGCGTAGAGGTCAGAGGCTCATCAGTGGTAGCTGTAGTCTCACTCGCTGCTGTAGTTTGAGTGCCTGTATTTGCAATGCATTTTATCAGTACTACTATTAAAATAATACACTATTAGAAATAATACACAATAAAATAATATTACTTTACCACTTTATTACTTTATCATTGGGCTCTATTTTCGTGTCTCGCCGGAGACGTGCCGCAGGCGCGGCGAATGTCAGGTCCGCTGCACCGACAAGGCGTTCCCAAGCACAATTTGGTATTTTGGTGAGCGGCGCAGCCCGGCGTAAGTATCCCCCCTCCCTAACTCAGCCCCTCTTAGCGGCGTAAGTCGTAGTGAGGGAGGAGAGAGGGCGTGGAGTGGATTTAACACAGCGGAGACCTGTATTGACCAATAACATCAGCTCCTCTCCTCGCAAGGTGAGGTGTATTACTATTTTTGTGAAGTAGTCAAAGAGATCAAGAGATGTGTGAAGACAGTAATGCCACACAATGGTGACTGAAGGCAGCCCCTCAACAAGTGTCACTGTAAACGCTGCAGAGGGCGTCCTTCACACTCTCTCATGTGAGCACAGATGGATTTGGTGTGTGTAATGTTGGAGCCACTAGTAAGACAAACACCCTTTTCCACAAATAAAGACACTCACATAAAGTTGCATATATTCAAACCTCACGTGACAAAGGTGGTTTGTGCACACAGATCACAACATAAATTCCAAAAATGGCATTAAAATCGGAATTATCTGTGTGTTGTGATGCATCGCGCTCCGTGGCCTGGCTCTTTCTTTCATAGAAGTGGCTCCAACATAAACCAAATCCATCTGTGCTCACATGAGAGAGTGTGGAGGACGCCCTCTGCAGCGACACTTGTTGAGGAGCTGCCTTCTGTCGCCGTCGTGTGGCATTGCTGTCTTCAGACATCTCTTGATCTCTTTGACTACTTCATGAAAACAGTAACAAACCTCGCCGGTGGCGGATTTAAAGGTGAGGAGAGGAGCTGATTATATTGGTCAATACAGGTCTCGGCTGTGTTAAACCCTCTCTCCTCCCTCACTCCGACTTACGCCGCTAGGAGGAGCTGAGTTAGGGAGGGGGGATACTTACGCCAGGCTGCGCCACTAACCAAAATACCAAATTGTGCTTGGGAATGCCTTGTCAGCGCGGCGGACCTGACCTACTCCGCGCCTGCGGCACATCTCCAGCGAGGAACGAAATTAGAGCCCCAGATTTAAATCAGCGAGCTTTTAACGCACTTAATACGCCACCGGTGGGCACGAAAATATCACTGTGCCAACTGATTCTGTCGACACCTCCCTCTGCCGCACCACCACGCCCAGCTTGGCGGATCTCGGTGCGCTTCAGTCCACGAAAATACCAAACTGGCTGTACGCTGGGCTCCGCCAGACGAAAATACAACTGAGCGGGGTCTGCCACCCTCCGCCGCCTCACCAGCGAACACGAAAATAGAGTCCATTATGTAATTATATATATATATATATGTATATATATATATATATATATATATATATACATATATATTTTTTTAAATCTCCACCTCTAAATGTTTCATTCTTAAACCCCTATATAGTTATTTGTGTCCTAATATGCTCAAATAAACCCCATGCTGTGAGTGTCAGAGGTTTGAAAATCTTTTTCAGCTCTGTGATCCAGAGACACCTGAATGTATCCAAAATATAGATTTAAGTCCACTCTTTTAAAACACTAGACATGTTTTATAAATCTATCAAGTTCTTTTTTTTAATTGTTTTGATTGTTTTTGTTTGTTTGTTTGTTTATTTTACTTGTTTTAGTTGTTTTTTGGCTCAACGGTTTTTGTTTTAATCTCTATGTATAACTGTATTCTCTGTTTAACTGTATTTTCTCCTTCACTGTATTAGAGCCCAGTGTTTTTTCATGTGCTCTGATGTTATTTTTACCCTGTTCATGTGCATGGTTTTACCTTATTAAAGATGCTTTCAATAAATAAAAAAATAATTATATTTTAATGCTTTATTATTTAAACTTATTTATTTAAGTTTGTGTTTGATTCCGATCTGCTGTTAAAGTCGTTGCTCAGCAGTACTTTTGTAAATTTTTGTGCAGGCCTGTAAACAGTGTAATCCTGCAGGATTGATCAGCTGTCTGTATGAAATGTATCATTAAGTGATTGAATTTTGAATTTCAATATTGAATTTCCCTTTGGGATCAATAAAGTTCTTCTTATCTTAATAACAAACTGCACTCAGTTATTGTCCCATTTGCATTTTCTTTGTCTCTGCTATTTAAATCCCTTGTTGGTGCATTTTACATCTGTGCTCTTTGTTTTTTGCAGACTGATCACGTGGAGTGGTCTGGCTTCTCCCTTAACTTTGTGGGGACTGCACCTATTATGATGATGTTGTTTGATACTGACTGATTTTTGCATGGTCTTTGTTTGTGTCCTTTCTCTCTGTTTCACTGATGTCATCCCACTGAAATCCCAAAACCCCCAGTCTCCACAAGTCCCTCTGTTTGCTTCCAGGGTATCTGAGACTGGATGGCCTGAGACATTCTCAGACTAAACAGCATAGAACCGTAGTACCTTTGTCTGGCCCCTCCAAACCAGCCTCTTTTGTAACAGTGCTGGCTTGCTGCGTTAAACCCAGAGCCAAAAACCTTGAGGTGATTATGGTTCTCTATTTAACTCTGGTGAGGAGCTGCTCTCTGTAACTGTGAGCCCAAACTGTCCTGGACTTGCTGGTCAGCCTGAACCTTAGACAGAGCTGTTATTAACTTTCTGAGATGCTAAAACACTCATTCATGCCTAATAGGAGCTAAACTAAACATGTATTAAAAAAAAAAAAGCAGATTGAAACGCGTTTTAGAAATCTGCTTTTGTTAAGTTAAAATTGAGTGCTTTAGGAAGATTTAAGGAATCTATGGTAATAATTTCAAACAGTTTATATTACAACAAGGCCACACATTGATTGTGGTAAACAGAGACATTATTTTTCCATGGGTGTGTATGAGGCTTTTACAGACATTGTTGTCTTTAGCACTTCCACATCGACTTCAGTGTGATCTTTGCTGATCTGGCAGTTCAGCTCGATGTGGTATGCTTCATAAACCATATTTAAAGCAGTCATTGAGGACGACACAGATGACAGAGACAGGCAGAGTCAGCACACTGTGATTTCTGTACAAATTCTGGCTGTAATGTCACCAGGGCACCCACCCTGGAGTTGTGCTGTGGAGTATCAGCAGAGAAACAACCTGAGGGTTGAAAAACATACATAATTTTGCATGTAGTGTTTCAAAGGTTCAGTGTGTTGAATGAAGTTTCTGAGCTACTGATGGATACGGCGGTCCAACATGTCATCCTCCAGAGTGAGGACTAAGGACCTGCAGCTCCTTTGAAATAAAAGACCTTTTTAAGTCATCAGAATTGAAATGATTTTGATATTCGGCAGCATTAAATATGAACCAATTCAAACCAACTTCTGCAGAATAAATTCAGTGTCTGTGGAAAACTGCTGCTAAATTCTAATTCTAATGTACCTTTAAGTGTGAAAGTGTGGTTGTAGATTTTTTATAAATACATCCGCCGCTTTCTGTGACTCTCCAGTTTCTACCGCGGGGCCCTCCTGCCTACTGGTGTAAGTATAATCTGAGTAAATTTATAGTATTTAAGAGGAACACAAAGGTAGCAGAGTTTGAGTTTGGAGGAGGTCTAGATGAGCAGCAGAGGGCAGCAGACTCTGTACTGGAGGAGGAAAATGTTGCAGGCCAACACACTGCACAGAGGTGAAATGTTTCCTGAATGCACTCAACAGTAAACATTCAGACACAGTTTAAGTTTAATGCCAAAGTTTTGCAGATGAAGTGCCTAGTTTGTTTTTGTTTTTTTCTGAGTCTATCCATATCATGAGGTCAAAGTGGGACATCATACTGCACGGTTATGTAATGGACAGTCAGTAATAAGATCCCAGCTGTCAATTGTTAAACGTGTCACCTCACTGCAGGGACAGCTGCTTCAAATACAATGTGTTGAAAGTGCAAGACAACACAACAATTCTATGGCCTTTTACTCACAGGGACTCAGGGCTCAATCTTTCATTGTTTACTGAGTCTCAAAGCATGAATGTAGTTAGTCTGCATGGAGAGTGATTGAGCTTTGTACGTAAAAACAGCAGCAGGACACGTTATCTTTAGATTGGATCTTTTATTTCAGACATAACGCTCACCTAATCTAATAAAAACAGTTTAAGGCTTGTAGCCCCCAGTAACACCTATATACAACCCAGTGATTATCATTGTAAGGGTCTTTGACATGGGAATCTTTTACACACTGACTCGTCAAACAAATTAGATAAGCACTCTAACGCTGGTCTTTATGTAAAAGCTGAGCAGAAAGAATTGAGAGACGAACAGAAAAAACAAAGAATGTTGTAGAAAAGTGTATAGAAAATGTCCTATGTCTCATTTTTGTGAACAAGTCCCTTCTGCTTTCACCTGGGCACCTCAACTTTATAATGAAATTATTATGAACAATTAAAGTTTGTTCAAAGAACTTAAGAGACATTTCATTCTGAGTAAATTGGATATTATTTTAATTTTATTCGGGACACTGTGCTCTATTACTTTGATGTCAAAATTTCTTCATTTTCTTCTAAACATTACTGTATCCTAAACCTCTGAACACTTGAACTTTTTCACAGCTGTTGACTTTGCTCTCTCTCTTTATAACGCTGAAACTCACAGATAAATCAGACTATACTCTCTGCTTTTAGACTTTATTTTCTTGAAATGTTACATCAAATAAACAGCCATCTTTCTCTCAGTATATCTCCTTTATTCCTGGTGTAGTCTTCATTGTCTTCATAGTGATGGAAACATGCAGGCTGTGTAAACTCTTCCACTTGGTTGTGTCTGTATAAAGTCCACACCAGAGCAGTGGATAAAACAAAGTGGAGACACTCCCATAGGCATACGCTGTACAGCCCGGCGGACCCCACTTCCGGGTTATGGAACTCTTAATAGTTCCAACATGACCGCCTGTCACGTCGCACGCTGTTCGCTTCTATGGCCACAAGGCAAGCACTCACCGAGGTTAAATGATAAAATATTAACAAGTTTAATGCCAATACGTGTGTAAATGGTATCGAGGGACCCCTTTATATGTAAAATGATTTTAATTGTAGTATGCTCAAATTGTAATTACAAATGTAATTAAGTTTTTTTTAGTTAGGAATTGGGATCGATTTTTTAGCCACGGCCTGCTAGTTGGACGCATAGACTGTATCAAGAATGGACAGAGTCTGCCTCCTCGCTGGGTGAAGCCACTCCGAGAACAGCACCCTCTGTTGATGGGCTGCAGTATAGGTCATAAATCCCGCCTCCACCAGCAAAGCTTATGGGGCTGTGGACAAACTTTAGAAATTTATTACACAGAACATACATTTTTCTCCCCCCTGGTTGTGATGTTGACATGTAGTTATTGTAAGACTGGTTTGTGCCCAAGTCCTCTTTTTTCTGTAGAGCTCCGTTTTTAAAAGTTATTAGGGGGTTAATGTTTTCTATGATTGACACCTGATACAGCCTATGGGCGTTCAGGGATTGCGTAGCTCACCCAGGGGGATACGCTGTTTGAGCCGAGCGTCATCACAGGGACTCTCGGCGACTGCGCGGCCGAATGCGCGCATCGCTACTGCACAGCTCTGGTTTCAAGGAAGTGGAGTAAAACCCGGAATTACCAAGAGCTTTTTGGCTTCAAATCCGTATACAGGCGGAAGGTGTCCCTTATTTTAATACTACATTTCACTCCTTTAATGCGCCTCTTTCGCTGTAATAAGAGTGAAAATAGCTTGTGTTTATAGTTTTCACCTGATAGCATTGGTTAGTATAAAAGAAACTGTCAAATAAGTTTCAGACTGACGGCTTTAAATAGCCCAGAAGACATAAAAAATCTCTTATAGAGATTTCTCACAATAACATGAGCTTTTCTGTAAGTAACCAAAAAAAATCCTATGAATTACATTTGAACCTATTTAAAAAGTTTCAAAAACAGACGAAATTAAGTTAAAAGACATGTCTTATGTACAGCCTTTAAAATGAAGAGTTCAATTATGTTCCACTGAAATATGTTTTCATGTTTTAATGGATCAAGTGTGTGTTTTTTTTACCACAATATTTAAAATTTCAATTATGGGAATAATTCACAGTGTAATCGAAACACTGTCCTTTTGTGGAAGTCAGTTTTTTATCAAACTGAAAACAGAGGATTTTCTTATTTAACCCTGAAAAAGTCTTTTTCCCAATAAAATAAAATGACTGAAATAGACATACCAAAAATATAAATTCTTAATGGAGGGTGTTGCATTGATGTTAATCTATTTCTATTGCACAATTAACCCACTGATTAGAGACTAAATCCAATTAAAAATGTATTGACTGTCTCTTCTTGATGATACTGATGTTACAGATGCTTCCTTCATGACCTTGACCACACAGTCAAATATTACAGCTTGGTTAATTTAAATGTCTGCGTTGTTTCTGTCTTCAGACCAGCCGACGCTTCACACAGACCTCGGTCCTTGTGCACAGCTTCCACTGGTCCTGTCCCAGGCCGATCTTGAAGAGGGTCGCGGCAACACCCATGTCCCGTTCCAAGCCTCGCTGTGTAAGTAGGAAACTACACTGACAACATAGATAGGCCATTAGCATGCCTTCAAAACAACATACAAAACTTTTATAGTCTGAATGGTTTTAATTACAGAAATATGTTTATGAATTTGTCTTTTTTAATTTTAATTTTCTTTAACTGAATTATATTCATTAATTTATTTCAAAGATGTGAAACCTTCCCCTGGAAAAATCTTTTCTGCAGGCTTCAGGTTTTATAATTTGTCGGTTTTTCTGTCTCAGGTCCACTGGAGCAGTACAGCCTCGTCCAGAACCAGGATGAGTCCACTTCTAGGCTGTTACTGAGGAAGGTCCCACCGATGGACGGCCCTCCACGTTTCTCCTCCCCCAAACAAAACCAGGTCACTCACTCTCACTCCTCTTCTGTCTCTCCCTCTTTCTCTCCATCTTTCTCTCCCTCTCCTCCTGTCTCTCCTCCTTTCTCTCCCTCTTTTTCTGCATGTTTCTCCCTCTTCGTCTCCACCTTTTCTCCCTCTGTCTCTTCCTCTTGTCTCTCCCTCTTTCTCTCCCTCTTTTTCTCCCTCTCCTCCCGTCTCTCCCTCTTTCTCTCCCTCTCCTCCTGTCTCTCCCTCTTTCTCTCCTACTTTCTCTCCCTTTCTCTCCTACTTTCCCTCCTTCTTTCTCTCCCACTTTCTCTCCTACTCTCTCTCCCTTTTTTCTGCTACATTCTCTTCCTCTTTCTCTCCCTCTCCTCCTATCTCTCCCTCTTTCTCTCCCTTTTCTCTCCCTCTTTTTCTCCCTCTCCTCCTGTCTCTCCCTCTTTCTCTCCTACTTTCTCTCCCTTTTTCTCTCCTACTTTCTCTCCCTCTTTCTCTCCTTCTCCTCTTGTCTCTCCCTCTTTTTCTTCCTCTTTCTCTCCTACTTTCTTTTCCTCTTTTTCTCCCTCTCCTCCTGTCTCTCCCTCTTTCTCTCCCCCTCCCCCTGTCTCTCCCTCTTTTTCTTCCTCTTTCTCTCTCCCTCCTCCTATCTCCCACCCCTTTCTTTCTATCCATCTCTCCTTCTAGCTCTTCTCCTTCCTCCCCGTTTTCTGATTGTTGGTCTGGTGCTGGTTGCCCCTCTCTGTGCTCTTCTCCAGCCAGGTCACCGGGATCTATTCACAGCCCCTTCCCCTGCCTCCCCCCTCTGATGTCAGAGTAGGAGCTGTGGCCAGGCTTGGAGCCTGAGGACCCAGAGGAGCTGTCCAGATGGAGGAGTCCCACAAAGCACTCCACAACCCCCCCCCCCCCCCCACAGGATCTTCTCCACCCCTACATCCCCTCCCACACCCTCCGCTCTGCCAATGCCAACCTCCTCACAGTTCCCTCACAGTTCATCCTCCTTAGCCCCCCCCCCCCCATTGATTATACCTTATTTTACATGTTTTTATTAATATTGTTGTAAATTTTATTGTTTATTGATGTGTGTTTTATTGTTATTGCTTTTACTCATGTACAGCGTCTTTGTGTTTTTGAAAAGCGCTTTACAAATAAAATGTATTATTATTATTTTTTTGCACATGCAAATAAATTGTGACATTTTAGTTTAAACCATGTCTTGTGTTTTCGAAAGATGAAAGTTTTTGAACCCTTTGCGCACACTTACAGCTTGTCTCCTCACAGCATTTTAAATTAATTGTATTGGATGTCATATAATATGTGCAGAGAAGAAGAAAAGAAGAGTTCAGAAAAACACAAGATTTGTAAAATATTAAGACTGATGAGGCTGTAAAACCAAGTTCTTAAATACAAACTGATTTATTCTCAAGTGGTTTGTTACAGCCGCTAGAGGATGCTTTATGTTTAGTGCTGAGTATGCTTTTAAACAGTCTTTATTATTATGTCAGCACTGTGGGTCAGCTCAAGTGAAAAGAAAAACTCGTCAAACTGTGGCTGAAACCACAACAGGATTTACTAAAAGAAAGAAAGAAAGAAAATATAAAAGAAGGAAAGGAGGACAGATGGCTGGAAGGAAGGGGGGTAAAAAAAAGCCTAAACACTTATAATAATTTTTACTCAAGCTACTTTTGAGTTGTGTTAGTAATCGGAAGGCATGAATCCTGTCTCTTCTACTGATTATTCAACACCTTTACTGGCAAAATGATTTATAACCAAAGAAAGAAAAGAACTGGAAGAAAGAAGGACAGAAAGAAAAAAAAATATGATCAACTTTACCTATCAAATACTGTAAACTCGATGTCTTCATCCTAGTTAAACATTTTGTGATAGAAAGGTAATTAATTGTTTGGTAAACTGCTTTGGCAGAAGTATCAGGCACTACTCGTGATAATAAAAACAATTCAAACATGGATTAAGGGAGGAAGACAGAAGAAAGAAATGTTTAAAAGAAAGATAAAAAGAAGAGGGAAAAAAAGAAAAGAAGGGAAGATAAAAAATGAAGCAACTTTGCCCTCATGATCATTATTTTTATCAGAGCTATTTCTGAGTTACATGAATGATCCTGTGTCTTCTGCCACTCAGCAAAAACATAAAAAGAAAGACAGACCTTTTAATCATGTTTGATTTATTAACAGTATTGTGTGGAGGAAAAAAAAGTCTTTTTAGGGATGCCGCCGGATTTCATGGTTTTATTCATGCTGATCTGACTGAATGTTGATAAAAGCAGTGATGGATTCTTATATCCGAGCTGAACAATATCAATCCTGCTGAGTTTTCCTGGTTTTCCCTCAGGCTGTTTTTCACTAGAATTGGTTCACAGCCTGGTCTCTGTACATTTTGTTGCCTATTTTGGAGGCTTGTTGTTAGCTGGAATAGGTGTGCTGATACAAAATTGTTTAGTAAATCACTTTCTAAGTAACTGCACAATTATAATTTAGAAAAATAAGAGTAAAGTGGGAAATTTATGTAAAATCTTCATATTACTTGACTGAATTAAATGTTATTTTTATGCAGCTGACATCCTTATTCACATATCTGTATGCAAGTGGAGTTATAAATCAGTTCTATGTCATGCTAACATCACTGTAGGATAAGATTCATTCTCATCTTATATCGTGAGTCTCAGTCTTATCTTAATGTACCATAAGCAGAGCACCTTTCAGCATTTAGAAAGTTAGAGTGGCACAGAAGAAACCTTCTCACTAAGAAGGCAGAAAACCTGGAGCAGACCATGACCCCTGCTAAAGAGCCATAAGATAGAGACAAAAACAAAGGAGAAATGGTTCGAAGTTCCTCAGCATCCCTGGGTCTACCAGAGAGTTATCTTGAACACATAGGGCTCTATTTTGGTGCCTCGCCGGAGACGTGCCGCAAGCGCAGCGTCAGTCAGATCCGCCGCGCTGACAAGGCGTTCCCAAGCACATTTTGGTATTTTGGTGAGCCGCGCAGCCCGGCGTAAGTATCCCCCCTCCCTAACTCAGCTCCTCCCAGCACCATAAGTCGTAGACGGGGAGGAGAAAGGGCGTGTAGTTGGTTTAACACAGCCGAGACCTGTTTTCACCAATCACATAGGCTCCTCTCCTTGCCTTTAAATCCGCCACAGGCGAGGCGTATTACTATTTTCATGGAGTAGTCAAAGAGATCAAGAGATGTCTTAAGACAGTAATGCCACAAGATGGCGACAGAGGGCAGCTCCTCAACAAGTGTCCTCCACACTCTCTCATATGAGCACAGATGGATTTAGTGTGCGTAATGTTGGACCCACTGGTAAGACAAACACCCGTTTCCACAAATAAAGACACTCACATAAAGTTGCTCATATTCAAACCTCACGTGACAAAGGTGGGTTTAGCGCACAGATCACAACATAAACTCCTAAAATGGCATTAAAATCGGAACTATCTGTGCGTAAATGACGCATCGAGCTCCGTGGCCTGGCTCTTTCTTTCATAGATGTTGGCATATAAAATAAATTTGGCTCACAAAACTGAATATTATAATATCCGTATGTCGGCTTAAAGTAGATAACGCATCTGAGCACTGAAACAAATCATCTGTTCAGCTGCAGCAGCAGCAAGACGGACAGAGGACACGGAGACGTGTCCAGGTCGAGCTGTGCGAGAAATAAGAGGAAGAGGAAGAAAGAAAAGGAGGGAGACGAATTACATATCTTGTTAACTTCATCATGTGTGTATATTTACTAGATATTTAATTTAATTTGATGCGGTTTCAGCTGTGTTGATTCGGTCAGGTTGTGTGTCCAAACGCGTGCCAAACGCGCTCATCAGATCAGATATAGATCAGAATATATCAATATAGATCTAAATGTATGTGCTGACTCAGATTAATAGTTGATGATGATTATTTATTGCACTGAAATCTGCCTGACACTGTGGAAACCTGCCGGTGAGGCATCAGTGACATATGTCGATACGCCGCCGGTCTACCAAAATACTACAAGACCAGCTGCGCTCCGCCATGCGCTGAAAGCTGACCAGGTTTGAATCGGCGAGCTTTCACCGCACTTTACACGCCGTTGGCGAGCACGAAAATGTCACTGCGCCAGCTGATTCTGTCGACACCTCCCCCTGCCACGCCACCACGCCCAGCTTGGCGGATCTCGGCTCGCCTCCGTGCGGCTCATGCCACGAAAATACCAAACTGGCCTTACGCTGGGCTCCGCCAGACGAAAATACAACTGCGCGGGGCTCGCCGCCCTCCGCCGCCTCACCGGCGCGAACGAAAATAGAGCCCATAGAGTTAAGTCAATTGTTTTACTGATCGGAGCAGCTGGTCCAGCTCGAAGGCTACTGGGACACACAGGTGATTGTACACAGGTGCTTTAAGGTAATCTGAAATTGGCCCGGTAAGCTGCTGAGGTTGTTAAAACTACAACCTTTTTCTCCATGTGCACAATGTATGTAGAAGTTAGAACTATAATTGTCTGTATATTTCTTCAGTCAACATTTCGCAAAATGGGTTTCCCAAGTGACTCTACAAACAAAAATAAAAAATAAAAAATAAACAAACAAAAGGAAAAAAAAAAAAAAAGCTGACTCACCCCTCATTACTGTAGACTCGAGTTGGACTCCTGACCCCTCAAGAGCTATAATAGACTTAGTTGATCTTATTGACTTCATTTCTGTCTCTGTCGAGTGACGCCATGAAACTATTCGGTACCTATTTGACAGTGGCTGCTGGTCAAACACAGCCAGCAATGGAGTCCTCATACATCGCTGCTGTGTATGAGCACAATTTAATCACCAACCCAGACCCTCGTGTCCTGGTGTCGCGGCAGGCTGCCCTTCAACACATGCAGAAAAACTTGGATATCTACGAAGTGCAGACTGCACAAGCCGCTCAGGAGGTATGATTTATTGGAAAGTTATAAATGCTTAGTAGCGACTCATAAAAAGGGTTACTTATTGTTCTACTAAAAATCAATGCGCCACCATGTGCCAGGTTTTTTCTATTGCGTAACCAGTAAGTGTATTATTCAATAAAAGGGTCATACCATATATGACAGCAAATGACTGTGCATTCAGAATCCTAGCATGTTTTTTCAGTCGTGTCTTCTCTTGTCTTTAACAGGGTGCCCAGATCCTGGTGTTTCCAGAAGATGGTCTACATGGGTTTAACTTCACCCGCACATCCATCGTAGGTTATCTTGAAACAAATCCTGACCCCCAGCAGGAGAGCTGGAACCCCTGCACAGAGCCGGAGAAACACAACAACACTGAGGTGCACAGATATACACTCATGTTTGATGTCTATCTTGATTTAAAGATACCCACGAGCAGCCAACACTGGTCTGTTATCATGAATTACATTTCAGAATGGTTGTTTTACAGGTTCTCCAGCGGTTGAGCTGTATGGCTCATCGGAATAACATCTACATTGTAGCAAATGTGCCTGACCGGCAGCCCTGCCCCCTGTCTACAGATCCCACCTCCTCCTGTCCATCTGATGGACGCTGGCAGTTCAACACCAATATTGCCTGTAGGTGAAGTTGAGATCTTAAAATAGAGACATCTGGCTAAACTCCAGCAAATGCATCAACACATGAATTCTTAATTTCATTATCTTCTAGGTCTGATGGCCTGCTGGTGGCACGCTACCATAAATACAACCTTTTCCCTGAGGAGTCCTTTGACACTCCACCACAGCCTGAGATCATCACATTTGATACTCCTTTTGCTGGAAAATTTGGCCTCCTGATATGCTTTGACATCGTATTTTACAAGCCCACTATAGCACTGGTGGAAAAGGTAAAACCACTCACAATTGTGTATTTAGCTCTATGTCCCTGTGTCGGATCTCTTTTTTAAAAGCAGACTCTCTTCCCGCTCCTTTTAGGGTGTTCGTCAGCTGATCTTCCCTACAGCTTGGTTTAACACCCTCCCCCTGCTTGACTCTGTCCAGTACCTTTGATCATTAAGCCGAAGCACCAATGTCACCCTGCTAGCAGCCAACCTCTGCCATGATAATAAGAACATGGCTGGGAGTAGTGTCTACACACCTTTTTCATCTATCTACCATCACTCAAAGAGGGGAGACCCAGAGGAGGGCAAGCTGCTGGTGGCCAGGGTGCCGGTCTTAGACCCAGAGAGGTCGGGGCAGAGGGTGGCCACAGAGGAGGAGAAATTGGAGTCTGAGTCCACTTCATCCCCTGTTACAGACTCTGGATTCTGTCACAGTGAGAGCTGCTCTGATGCATCTTCAATCCCTTCATCATCAGCCACATTCACATCATTCATGATTGGTGACCCGTTCACATTTGTCCTCCTAAATGAAAAAGAGGGTAGGGTGAAGGTGTGCAATGGCTCCTTTTGCTGTCACCTGCAGTACAAGCGAATTTCACAGGGTTACAGTGAGGAGCTGTATGCACTTGGTGCGTTTGCTGAGCTGCACACTTTGGATGGAGACCTATCCCTGCAGGTATGAACTAAAGGGTTTATGGATATAGACACTGTCCTTTACAACATGTCTCACCTGTATCCTTCCTTCTGCAGGTGTGTGCACTCGTCCGTTGTGCAGGGTCGGACCCAAGCTCCTGTGGACAGGGAGTCGAAGAAGCTGAGACCAAAATGGACTTTATGATGGAGGGGAAGTTTTGGAACCAGCATTAAAGCATTTTGACAAATCTGCAGATGGAAGAGTGACTTTAAAACACTCAGACATGACTGCTGGACTGGTGACCGCCTGTCTGTACGGATGGATGTATCACCTGGACCACGAATAAAATGCTATTGAAAAGATGTGCTGAAATATTGTAGCTTAATAAAAAAAATAATGTACACAGTCGTAAAATAGTTTTATCTAGTGTAACAAATCAGCTGTGCTGATCACACACTACAGTGAATTGGAAATGAATTGTTTGATTATTTTTTTAAAGAACTCAAAATAAATCTTTATGATCATTTGGTTTTCCTCTCTGTTTCAGTGGTATCAATCCTAAATATCGCTTGTTTCTTTGAAGATTTTATTTGACATTTTATTTTGTCCCTTGCTATGTTTGCAGTTTTCACCTGAATTTAGACACCCGTGTGCTAAAATTTTACATGGTGTGTGCTATATCCAGATCATAAAAACAAATAAGGCTGCTTTATGTCATTATTTTAGAGAAAAAGGGATATTATTTTTATTCTGAATATTCCTTTAAAGCTAAGACACCAATCTTTGAACACAGAAAAACTGGGAAGAATGTTTTCTTTTACAAATTGAAGTTAATCTTTTAATTCTAACATGATTATTTTCGTTAACTATATGAAAAAAGAACTTTTTTTCCCCTGAAAATGTTTTAGTTAATTCTGAGATATAATTCTTGTTAATTCAGGAAACAAGAGCAATTTTATCCTAAAATAAATGCAGTACGCCTCTGTGTTGAAGAACTCTACATTTCTGTCAAACATTAATCTCAAATATACCTCAAGGTAGGTAAAAAAATATGTTAAAAATAACTTTGAATGCATTAATCAGGTAAAAAGTTGAGATTTTATGGCGTTTCCGGGTTAAAATTGTGTAATTTCCTGTGGTTTTAGTCAACATCAAAGCAGAGCAGTGGATTAAACATGGAAAAATGTTATGCAGGCCATGCTGCAAGACCAAAACATTGCACAATTGTTTAAACAGCTTGTAACACCTGTTACTTACCACTTTATTGTATAATTTTCTCTTTTAAAAAGTAACACCTGTTACCAAACTTGTCTTATTTCATTTTTATTAGTCATCCACTAAATATACGTACGTGACTTTGACGTGTACACAGTAATCCAATAAGAGTTGCAAATGTTTACTTTTTACGGTTAATTTTAATATTTACCTCTTAAATGCGCGCTCACTGCAGTCTGTCCCGTTGAAGAGCATGGACAGTGACCGCTCTGGCGGCGAGATCTGAAGTTGTCGCCACTCTGTTTAATCCACTGCTCTGGTCCACACCTGTCGCCTTCCCACATGCCCTAGTGCATTGTGGGTAAAATAACTGAGCTGAGCTCCTGTTGCCTTAATCAAATCAACCCCAGCAGTGCAGCAGTTTAAGAAACGGTTTTACAGGAATGAGGAAGTCAACATTTGCTCCAGCTGGATGGAGGTAAATCCTCTGCAATGTTGTTATTGTTTTAACTCTGGTTAAAGGGCCAGGACACCAATTTAATACACAAACATCCTTTGATGGCCTCATTTGTGAGTGCACAGCCTGTAAAAGCAGTTTTCTTATGCCATCTTTCTCAGTTTTTACTATGGTTGGTCAATTTTGAGTCACTCAAAAAACAAAAGCCGTACCTCTGCCTTTGTTACTTTCAATTCAGGATCTCTTTCTTTAAACTCTCCCCTATTTTTAGCCTTAAGATAATATGATAGTAAATTCTTGGAAAACCCTCTGAGGTTTAGGATACTTCAATTGCTGACAGTTTTGATGTCATATGTTGGTTTTCTGAAGCCCAAAGGTGGTGGAAAACCATCTTGGAAATACTGAGTCCTTTGACCACCTGAAGAATCAAAACAAACATGTATACCAGACCCACCTGTCAGTGAACCCTTAAATATGCAAATTCATGCATAAAACATAACCTGATATGAAATATTTGAGTTGAAAAAAAAAAGAGAGGGGATGAGTGTTGTAGAAGCTGGACCATGTTTAGTTCTGCAGAAAAAAGTTGACATTTTACAAACAGCACTTCTTTGGTTTCTTCTGTAGACTGTATATAGAATGGACACCGTGTGCCTCCTCGCTGGGTGAAGCCACCGCTAGAACAGCACCCTCTGGTGACGGGCTGCAGTATAGGTCATAAATTTCACCTCCTCCAGCAATCCTTATGGAGCTGTGGACAAACTTTAGAAATTAATTACACAGAATATAAATTTTTCTCCCCCCTGGTTGCGATGTTGACGTGTAGTTACTGTAAGACTGGTTTGTGCTCAAGTCCTCTTTTTTTCTGTACAGCTCCATTTTTAAAAGTTCAGTAGGGGTTCATGTTTTCTATAACTGACACTGGATACAGCCTATGGGTGTACAGAGACTGCATAGCTCACCCGGGGGATACGCTGTTTGAGCTGAGCGTCATCACAGTGACTACCAGCAACTCTCCCGTCAAATGCTACAACGCTATTACGCAATGATGGTTCCAGGAAGTGGAGAAAATCACGGAACTACTGAGATAAATTTGGCTTCAAATTCGTATAATGAAATTTGTACAAGAGGTATCACTTTGTCCACATAGAGTGCCAAAATCAACACAAACTAAAAGTTCCTCAATGCAGCTTTAAGAATGATTATTTGTCAGCTCTCAGTTTAGGCCCCTTGTGTGTTGGTGTAAGTGACTCTCTAATGGACCAACCTCAGCTGGCTTTCAGCTGCCCAAACATGTTAAATGAAGTTCACCAGCTGCAATCAAAGTGTTCGTTTTTCTTTAAACATATGGTCTGAAGTGGTAAAGAAAAAGCATATTTTGACCATGAGACACCCCTTGCCACAGAGGGTGATGGTGCTCATGGGAAATGCAGTCTTCGTCTCGTAAAATCATCACCAGAATCAACACAACAGGAAAAGTCCTCATGGTGGCTCTGAGTCAGTTTTGGCATAAATATCATGACTTTTACACACACAACTCACTGATTTAGTCACCAGCTTTTTTCACAACATCTACACTGAAAAAAGGTCTGTATGGGTATATGGAAAAGCTGTGTCTGTAAATCCTTAAGTGAATAACGTAGGCTGGAAATAATATCAGACCACAGGCTAATGAGCATTTAAATATAGTTACTTTATTTAGGCTGGTCTGTGTCCTGCTGTCTCTCCCTGAGGAAGTTTGTCTTCGCTTCTGTCGGAGAGCCTTTAGAGAGCCACAGGTGACGTACCTTGAAAGTCCACACAGTGATTAGGTAAAAGGAGATAAACGGGTTATGCTCAACACATCCGGAGGACTAGGATTTGAATTCTTGTGGATCTGAAATGGATCACTCATGTTTAATCTAAAGAATAACTGTAATGTAAGATAACTGAGACAAGCCCAATAACACTTCCTCCTTAGTGGAAGTGAAAGTGACCTTGTGTGAAACAACCTGAAGGTGAAAAGGTGAAAAGTACAAACTGTATAAATAAATCTCCTCTGGATTTGGGCTATGAGCCCAGTGAACATGCATGTTACACAGCAGCCTGTTGAATGTGGTCACATCACGTGTGCAATGATCCATGGTCACATACTGTACTCCCAGCACAGGAATGTGGAGCCTTTACTCATTCAGACGCACTGAAACATGTTTGGTATGCTTCGATAAACTGGTCCACATACAGCACATGCTGTCTATGTATTTAGTTCAGTTAATCCCTCTGAGAGACTCCAGTACTGATGAAGCAGCATCCTCTGAATGACTCATGTGTTAATCCTGCAGAAAAAGGATGATGGACTCCACCCTCACACTTCACCCAACACTCCTTAGAGTTCTTTACACTGCAAAAAACAGAAATGACTTGCTTGTTTGCATGTATGTTTGAAAAGTGTTCAGTAAATAAAGTTGAGTGGAGTTATACAATGTGTTTACATGTTTCTTATTGATTTATTTTAAATATTAAATTTTTAATGGCGCGCAAACATGTTTGTGACACTGAAAGCGACCTAAATCAAATTTCTGTCTGTCTTACAAAAATCAGTAATTCTGTTGGGGATTAATTTCACCTTCGTGTAAACTCCTGAATCTAATTAAACCTGGCCTGTGTGTCTGCTACAAAACAGTTTTAATGCTTAAGAGGAAGCCAGGTCATTAACAACAGCAGGACAAAAGAGGGAGGTTTGTAATGTCTGATAATGGAAGTGAAGCACAGGTACTTTGATTTAATATGCCACCTTGCAAGCTAACTGCTTCAAGTCAAACACTTAGTTAGGTAGTTGTAAAACTCAAAAAGTGTAACACCAATGTCCTCCCTCACAGTCTTTATTAAAGGTGTGTTTTCTGTGTAACGGTCAAAAAATTCCACACTAACAATATTATCACCATGTTCGTGGCAAACTTAAAATTTAACACGACATAGAAAGAAAAATTGATGATGTATGATTTATCCACATCACTGATGGTGTAACTCAAACTTTTTTAATGACTCATAAAACGATTTTTAGCATGCTTTTATTTTGTTACCCCCCCTTCCACACACACACACACACACACACACACACACACACACACACACACACACACACACACACACACACACACACACACACACTGTGCTTTTATTTTGAAGAGCAAGCTTCTTCCTGTAAGTGAGTGACGGAACTGAATGGAAACAAGAGGAACATAAGACATTGGATCGATCAGTAATTGAAAGAAACAAAAACTACCAAAAGCATGAAATCTATGTTTTAAAAGTGCTGAGTCATCTTTCACAAAGCTGATTCAGTCCCGTTCACAGACAGTCTGCAGCTCTCTGCTCTCTCTCGCCCTAGACCACCTCTATAAACCCACCGTATCACCGTTTGATAATGTTCTAGCACGACATGAATATTCAATGAACTAAGTCAAAGTGTAAAACAAACTTTTTTTTCCAAAATATTTTTAAGGAAAAGACAGGGCCTACATCATTTTAACACAAAATATCTGTGGCATACTATATACAAGGCAACACATGACAAGTTCGACTTCAACAAATAAACATTTATTTTTAATAAGTGAGCAAGACTGGAATAATCTCTACATCCGATTTTTTTTATGCAGCACATATTTGACAGACACCATCACTGATTTAGCTGATTATCACCAACATGACCCAGACTGTTCTTATAGAGAAAATTTTCCTCTTGGCATGTGATATGTGGGAAATAAATAGTTTCTTTCCTTTTTTTATTTTTTATTTTTCATAAAATGTTCAGTGACACAATGAGCACAACCTGGCGTGTAAAGGGTTAATCTTCTAAAAGGAATATCATAATTCGGGAAAGAGAAAATAATATTTTCTGCTGTGCTCACATTTTGGACTCAGTGTGACTTTATGTCCTCACTGGGAACAAAGAGTATTAGGGTTTAGAAAACGGCTTTTCCTTTTACAGAGGGTTTAGCAAAAGCTAAGAGAGTTCTGGTCAAGTTCTAGACGCGTAGAAGACTGACTCTGTGAAATTGAATCAGGGTCTTGGTTTTGGTGGGGGCTCCTGTTTGACAGGGTGCAGATGGACCAGTAGGCCTGGTTTAAATATAGCCCCCTCCTGACCACACTGTGTACACGAGACATGAGGTTTTGGTTTCAATGGAGTACGACCAACATTGAAACATGTAACCCTACTCAGACCTGCAGGAGGAATCTGAGCAGAGCATTTAATAGAGCCACTTTATAATTCCCCCCATTTGAAGCTGGAACTGTCTGTCCTTCATCACTGTTTTCTAAGTCTTTTAAAGTCAGCTTCTGGATAAATGGACTTCACATTATCAATACTTAAACAACAATTTTGAGTCTTTAAAGGCAGAGCTATTCACTTAATTGTGATTTTGTGTTCCTGATCTGTATCTCCAGGCAGCCTCTCCATGGACAGGTGCTGAATTGAATGTGGGGGAGGAGCTTTAAATACACCCAACCATAAAGGTGTTATTTATAGAGGCGCTCTCTGTCATTGTATGTGGTTGCCAAGCACATAATGTTACTTTCCCTGCCTCCTATCATAATGAAGGAAGTGCTGACGACTCTGACTCCTCATGGCGGAAATTTAAATGATAGATTTTTCCCGTTCCTGTCTGGTGTGACACAATTTGCTCTCACCTAGTACTCTCAGCGTTTGACAGGACGCAGCTGCAGCCTGACACTGAGCTATTCTGACGCAGGTCAGTGCAGTTGGCATGGATTCCTTCACTGGGGTCACGCTGTATATGTTTCAACTTAGTGTCCAGCAAGGCCATGAACTAACGCTCACTTCCTTTGACACATGCAGTGAGAGAAGAAGTCAGAAAGTGTTTAAGGTCAATACGATAAGGTTTCAAAAAGATCTGTTCTGTGTAATGAAACGCGACACCCTGCAGCCCTGCGGGACCTCACCACCAGCAGAGCATGCTTTAAAAAACCCACAATTTAATTATTTACTGTTCTGTAAGACCCCTAAAGGACTCTTGCTGTAATAAGTGAATACTTGAGTGGGCTGATGGGAGTTTCAGCATCTTGTGAAGCTGGAGGAATCCCTGGCTGACATGAGTAGAAGGCACAGCATCGGATCACCGCCTGGTTGCATAACTGTTCTAGACTGGCATCAGTCAGTGGCTCTGGGTTAAATGTCAGCAGCTCCACACTCAATCTGGTGTCTCATTTGCAGGTGATACTACTTCATTCTGCAGTTTAAAGCTCAGAGAAGCCTCTTTGAGACTCTCCTACAACTTTCACACAGCTCTGGATCTCACATAATTAATCCTGTATTATCTGAAGTGCACTGGATAAATGAGCATCAGTTTTCAACGAGGGAATCCCTTATTTGGTGTTTTTATGATGAGTGTCACAAAAAAAAAAAAAATGCATGTCCCTTGACAAGTTTTTGCAATTTTGCTAGTTCCTAAATATCAGCCACTGAAGTTATCATTTATTAGTTTATTTAGAGATACATGCATAGAACTTTGATTCATTATTTAGAGATAACTGCAAATATATAGATATATATATACATATATGTGTGTGTGTGTGTAAGCACGTCATTGTCTCCTCTTTGTCATGGAAAAAAAGGCTAACTGACAAACAATTATCATCCTAATTTTCATTGATGAAATTAATACTGTAACATGATAGACACAAACATTACAGTGTATAGAGTTTAAAATACTACAGCCATAAAATACATACAAGACAACATAGTCGCTGTATCCTAAGTAGTTTATGCTATCTGAACCCATAACCACATGTTATCAGAATGACAGTTTTTTTCTCAGTTGGGTTAAATCTTGCTTTCAGCTTAAAAAATAACATGGATTCTTTGGACATATCAATGTTAATTTATTCAGGAAAACACTGAAGGGACACAAATCTGAGTGAAAAAAAAAACGAACAAACAAACAAACAATGCTTTACTTAAAGTCTTATGTTCTAACTTTGTTCATCTTAAACTATTTGTAGAGTTTTGATTTTAAAATAAAACAACAGTTTAATCTGGTTTGTTAGTGTAACTCCGCCAAACGACACTTCCTTCAGTTTGGAGGATGGGCAGCAGACAAGTGTGTAACAGACGACATGTAGTTTTAATTCCAAGAGAAGGTAGTAGCAGGGAGCAGCCAATGTTTAGCTAAGCGATGTTTCTAAATGCTGCAGAGAAGAAAACAGAAAAAAGGACAGAGATGGACACAATAACACAGGAGAAGGGTTAGAGGACATGAGCATAGACCATCACAAAGTGTGACGTGTAGACTTTGAATGTGTTGCTGGGCTGGGTTTGATATTCGGGAGGGATGGGGGATGGGGGTTCCATCATGTTCGATGTTGGGGGCAGTGGGACTGGAAGAAGCAGGTGTGAGCCGGTCAGCTGTCCCTCAGAGACAGCTGGGATCACCCTCAGAGGCTGCTGGATGGGATGTCCCTCTGTTGGAAAAGAGCCTGAGATAACAGCCTCACAGATCTTCCTTTAATCTCTGATGTACCTGCAGGATTTTACACCTACACCTGATGAGACCAAGTATTTCATTTCACTTCAGCTCCTGTGGAGATCATAGTTTGTTTAAATGAAAAGAAAGTATGGCCTCTGTATGGTACCGTGAATTTTATTTATCTCCCTAATGACCAGAACATTCATTCCATGAGGTGCCTTTCCACAGCAGGAACTGTATCCAGTACATGCAAAGGTTTTTTTGACATATCAGCGTTTCATCCACATGGAAATGGTGTTTTGGTTGACTGAAAACAATACTTTTTAGAAAAGTCCGTACTCTTCCTCTGTCTTTTGGTGCTTTTCAGGGACTGGCTTAGCATATGAATTACATTGTTCTTAATCGTTTTCAATGGAGACAATAGGCCACAGGAACCACTTAGTTTGTGAGGTGCCAATCCTCAGACGTGAGGTGTGTGTGTGTGTGTGTGTGTGTGTGTGTGTGTGTGGGGGGGGGGGGGGGGATATCATGCATTTCCACATTTGCAACAACTTCAAAGTTATAAAGTTTGTAGTCCATACTACATGTATGTTAAGTTTCAAATCACAAGGTAAACGTATTTTGTTAAAATCTGAGAAAGATGTTAACTGCTTAAATCTCGGGCAAACACACAAAAATGCGAGACTGCAGTTTATGTGCGAGATTTACTAAATTTTAAATCAAGAATTATAGACTCCCCTTACTCGTTCATCTGTGCCTCCAGCAAAGCAGAACAGTCCGACTCCAACAGTGTGTGAAGTGACACCCACAGCAGAGTGGGGTAACCATAGACATTATATATATATATATATATATATATATATATATATATATATATATATATATATATATATATATATATATATATATAATTTTTTTTTTTCTCTCGATCTGAGTCAATGTATTCAGTGGGTTGTGTCAGTCGTTAGGGTCTGTAAATTTATTGTGGCCACAATACGATAACGCATTGATATAATAACAAAAATGTACTCTTAATACTTAAGTATTTTCAAAAGCATTTCCTCCAGTACTTTGGACCCCAACTTAAATTTGACCACACAACTTTCACTTGTATTGGAGTAAAATTTGACCAGGGGTATTTATCTTTCACTCAAGTAATGGAGTTGTGTAGTTTGTTCACCACTGATATTGAGTACCATAGCAGAGGTGGACACTCTTCTATCAGTAATTTTGCCCCGTGCATTGAAACTGGGACAAAGACAGTGGTCCAGTTAAAATGCCCAATGCAGCTTGACTTTACTGTGCATGTTCTAATGCCTACATATACATAACCACAGAACTCTAAAAAGGTTAGAGACAAACACACACACACACACAGGGAAGGGAAGGAAAGGCCCCATCAGGACTGTATGGTGGATGAAACATAAATAACCTAATGCGCCTGGACAAATTTGCTTTAGATTCATGAAGCAGCTGTAGAGTCACTGCATCAGTAAAATGGTGTGAGACACATGAGAGAATACAGTAAGAAGAGAGAGAGAAAGAGAGAGAGAGAGAGAGCGAAAGAGAGAGAGAGAGAGAGAGAGAGAGAGAGAGAGAGAGAGAGAGAGAGAGAGAGAGAGAGAGAGAGAGAGAGAGCGTTAATGCCAAAGACAGCATCGGCTTTCATAAACAGCTCGTTCAAACTGACAGTCTGTACCTTGTAACAGAGCTCTGATGTCTGATAATGAGCATTTTAATAAAAGGGAGCAATGATTGAAGGCTGGTCTGAAGGGATTTCTCCTGCAGATAAGTGAGAATGTGGGAACAAAATAGCTGTCTAAATTCACTGTCACTTCCTCAGTTAACAAAAGTTTCTCACCAGACAGTCATCCTAATGTCAAAAGCAAAAACATGCATGTAACATAGCTGATGGTCAGAGCCTTGATTAAAGATGTTAAAATTCCTTATTTAGAGTCATCATTACAAGTTTTAAACCAATTTATAAAAAAGTCAAAATTGCAATTTTTTTAGAACTCAAAATTTCATTTTTAATATCAGAATTCTGAGAAAGAAGTCAGAATTCTTGAGAAAAAGGCAATGTTCTTTTTTCAAGTAAGGAATCTAAGGTTAATGACCCACTCCGATGAAAATCGTGTTTGTTTTTTTTAGTGGTCTACATGTTCATATGGCATTTTTCTGATGCTATAGTACATATCATGAGGAAAGTAAGTGCCAAATTGAATTTCTGAGTATTTCTGTATTTTGTGAATCTCTGGCAGACCCAAATGGCAGGTTCAGACATAGTGAGATTTCCTACGTCACAATTGCAAGCTCCACCCCCGGAGCCCTGCCATGCAGGCTAGACTCAGAGAAATAGAAAGGACAAGCGTGTGTTACTGGGTTGCAGTGCACGTAAAAAAGGCTAATTATTATATAAGCTTACACTATGCCTCCAAAGACATTAGTGTCCAAGAGCTTGAATAGCTCCTATGTTACCTGCCACTTCTACTACACCAGCAATGTCAGGCTGTAAGCTAGCATGAAGAGGAGTGTGCAGAGCAGCGCTTTCTCCGCCAAAGATTCAGAGACGAATTGCTAATGAGCTGCCAGAGCTCTGCAGAAGGAAAGTCCTTGAAAATGACACAGGTAACGTGATTTTGGCCAAAAACTTCATAATCACAATTTAACACAATTATAAGAAAACAAAACAAACAAACAACAAAAAAAAGAGTGTAGAATCAAAGTAGTAAGAAAAAAAGTCAAAATTCTGGATGTGAAATCGGAATTCTAAAAAGAAAAAAAAACAACTTTAAGTTTCAGTCAGAATTCTGGAGGGAAGTCAGATTTTTGAGGAAAAGTCAAATATCCCATTTTAGAGTCCTAATTACATAATAACTCTAGAAATTCTCAAACTCATTCAAAATTCTGAGAGAAAAGTAAGAAAACAATTCTGACTGAAGTGGCAAATATCTAAAATTTCAGATAAAATTCTGATTTAAGTCACAATTCTAAGTTTAAAGATAAAACTCTGAATTTAGACTTTTGTCTTTAATCTTATAACACTACGAGATTTTTTTTTCTTTTTTGGGGGCAAGAGGGTGTCAGCCAACCAGCTGCAGAAACAGTCCTATGTTGAGAATTTTTACTGAAAATATTCACAATAAATGATTTATCTGACTGTTAAAAGTCAGTGGGATGAGATTTTATCAAAAAACACAACAGATCATTTGACCCTGTAGTTATTTGTTTGCCTTGATCTTCCCCCTCAGCAGCCATTCCCTCCTTTTTGGGGTACATATAAAGTTCATCCATGCTCTGTGCAGCCTCATCATTGACTTTGAAAAGCCATAATCTATTCCGATAACAGAACCGATATCATTTTACACTGAACTGCTGTCGTTGAACATGCATCATCCAAAACAGACCAGTCCTGCTTCAGGTGGTCAATCATAATCAAGAATGCATTTAATAAATGTAAACCAAGATTAGCAGCATCTGCCCATCCAGACAGCTCTGAGTGATACCCGTTTGTCTAAGTGAGTCTGTGGACATGGCAGTCATGTAACAAGTCATAAAGATACACTCTGTCTCTTCCAACCTTCACGCCTGATTCAAGGACCTCCTGATCTCCACCATGTACTTGGCAAAAGTGAAGCTCAGCTTTTCACAGTCACTTCAACTCCCCCACGCACCCATTTCTCAACCCTTATGACCCCCCCCCCCCCCCCATACTCCCACAGTCCAACTGGCGCTATGTATGGGCTAAGGGGGGGGGGGGGGCAGGGGAGTGCAGCTGCAGCGCCCATCTTGGATCTCTGTGATGTAAATGGGTCCCGTTCATAAACTGTTCAGAGTATCAGTGTAGGCCATCTGGCCAATGAGGATGCAGCAGGCACTAAAATGGCAAAGCCAATGGCTGAGAGTCTGCCCAGTATATAAGCAGGGAGCAGGGACCCCCCGAGTTGGGTGACCCCTATTTTGGCCGTGGTGAACAGGATCTGATCCCAAGGACTGTTACCTCTGTTCTTGTCTGGTGTGCAGGTAAAGAAATCTTAGGGATGATTGGTTTAGCACAGAGGGGGGAGCAGAAATCTGAGGCATGGCCATCCAAACATTTATAACCACATATATAACTCTTTATTCTTCTTTGGACTCTAAGTAGACAAAAATGCACATTAACTCTGTGGTGTGTGGTGAAGATGATATGTTTGAAGGAGCAGCAACCATCTTGATTTGGCTGAATTTTCCAGATTATTCTTTATCATAGAAAAAAAATTGTATGGAGATGATATTTAACCCAGCAGGAGCAGAATGGTTCTGCTAGCTTGTGTCGCTGCATGTATTTGAGTTCTCTGCATGTGATCCGTCATGTGGACAGTGATTAATGTGGACAGGTGCCTCACAGTTTGAGATGTGTAAGCCTGCAGGCCCTTTATACCCTGTAATTAAGCTCAGCCATTTAAGGCTGACACACTTCACAGCAGCTTTTTGGGCTGAAGCTTACAGGACAATTAGCTTTAGCAAAGTGATAACCGCCACAAATAGTGTTAGCTTCTGAAACCTTTCTGGCTTTTTTTTCACTGCTGATTGCATTTCGTGCAAAAGGATGTCACTTAATGAGTCACTCTTCTCAAAAAGTCACTTATGTATTCTTTCATAGAAAATCACAAGTGAACAGGTCTTGTTGGATCATAGCTGAGTAGACTGGAGAAAAGAATTTGGAGCTTGTCAAACTTTTTTTTGAGTCACCACAGTGGCAGCTTCAAGTGTTTGAGCCTGGTACACTAGCAAGTGAAGTAGTTTAAATGATAAAAGGTGTACAAAACAAGCCCCATGTACTAATTTGTTAGCACTCAGGCCGGGGAAAAGAGGTAGTGAATGTACTTTGAAAATTAAGAAAGCTACCGGCACAGCTGATGGCTCTTTAGAGAAAGGGAATACAGTCAGATGCACAGGTGCTAAAAATACCCAACAACCCCACCCCCAGCTCTATTTCAACCCGACACCTGAGCCTCTGAGAATGGAGTGACACTTGTAACCAGGATTCCTCTGCCACCGCCCCCCTGAACTCTGCAGCTGTCCTGCAGGATATACTGTATCTCCATCCAGATTGATCCCGATCTCTCTCCTGTTTAGCATGAGCTGATCAAGCAGAGCTTTTGTTAAATTTGCCTCTCCTGTCTGTCTCTTTCTCCACAGTGTTAGAAAGCAATCATGCCTTTCGGAAACACCCACAACAACTTCAAACTCAACTACAAAGTTGAGGAGGAGTTCCCCGACCTGTCCAAGCACAACAACCACATGGCCAAGGTCTTGACCAAGGAGATCTATGGCAAGCTGAGGGACAGGCAGACACCCAGTGGCTACACCCTGGATGACGTCATCCAGACTGGTGTGGACAACCCTGGTAAGACCATAAAAATGCTAAATCCAGTTAAGAACCAAAAAAACACCCAGACACATGGATGAGATGCTTTTGAACATGCGTATAATTGATTTCATCACCTGTCTCCTGCTTCTTTGCTCATGCTCTCCCCATAGGTCACCCCTTCATCATGACTGTTGGCTGCGTCGCTGGTGATGAGGAGTCCTATGAGGTCTTCAAGGAGCTGCTGGACCCTGTCATCTCCGATCGTCATGGTGGATACAAGCCCACTGACAAGCACAAGACCGACCTGAACTTCGAGAACCTGAAGGTGCATGCTTACTGTCTAACACTTTCAGATGCTCAGCCAAAACTGGACTGAATTACTCACTGATTTCTATCCTCTGACCTGACGACCAGTCCCTTTGCTCACTTGTTATGTTCAATCATCCATTAGGGCGGTGACGACCTGGACCCCAACTATGTCCTGTCCAGCCGTGTCCGTACTGGTCGCAGCATCAAGGGATTGACCCTGCCCCCCCACAACAGCCGTGGCGAGCGCAGACTGATTGAGAAGCTGTCCGTTGAGGGTAAGCCGAGAAGTGTTTGACACCCAAGATACTCCCTAAGACCTCCCTAAACAATAGATATCATCTTCAGGTGTCCTTATTGTGTCCTAATGTGTCTCTTCAGCTCTGACCAGCCTGGATGGTGAGTTCAAGGGAAAGTACTACCCCCTGAAGTCCATGACTGATGCCGAGCAGGAGCAGCTGATCGCTGATCACTTCCTGTTTGACAAGCCTGTCTCTCCCCTGCTGACCTGCGCTGGTATGGCCCGTGACTGGCCTGACGCCAGAGGCATCTGGTGAGTGTGATCAATAATTGAGCCGTGACAAAGGCCTTTCCAAAACTTTCAGTGAAGGGTTGCTGACGTCTGTGTGCTAATCTTTGCCTGCATCTCCATCCAGGCACAACGACAACAAAACCTTCCTGGTCTGGGTGAACGAGGAGGATCACCTGCGTGTCATCTCCATGCAGCAGGGCGGCAACATGAGGGAGGTCTTCAGGCGTTTCTGTGTTGGCCTGCAGAAGGTACACTTCAGATTCAAATGAGATTTACTGCACCTGAGGACACAGGTGTGGATGCTTCTCTAACTCTTTTCTGTTTTTTTTTTTTTTTCTGCTAGATTGAGGAGATCTTCAAGAAGCACAACCATGGCTTCATGTGGAACGAGCATCTCGGCTACATCCTCACCTGCCCCTCCAATCTTGGTACCGGTCTGCGTGGTGGTGTCCATGTCAAGCTGCCCAAGCTGAGCACACACGCCAAGTTTGAGGAGATCCTCACCAGGCTGCGTCTGCAGAAGCGTGGCACAGGTACAAACATACACAGTTTCAGTCAGGCTCACCCCCTAAAGAAAACCAAGTACCCTCAAAAAGTTATCATGGCCATAAGGCTCTGTTTTGAGGGCTCCATGCACCTCCATGTGCCTCAGTGGGATGTCAAAGCCTGAGGTGTTGAGAACACACCTCCTGTTTATATCATGTGCATGGATAAAAGGCAAGGAAGAGAAAGCAGCAGAAAAGACACCCGGGGTGAAAAAATAATGTTTTGCCTAATTTTAGTCTATTAAAGCTGTTAATAAGATGGGCAGGTTCAGCTAGATCTTTACTGAGACTTGGCTGCTCTAAACTGAGCTGCAGGGTTTATGTGCATCTGTATACTTACGCCTTATTTTTCGCCCTCTTCAGGTGGTGTGGACACTGCCTCCGTGGGTGGTGTGTTCGACATCTCCAACGCTGACCGTCTGGGCTCCTCCGAGGTAGAGCAGGTCCAGCTGGTAGTTGATGGTGTCAAGCTCATGGTTGAGATGGAGAAGAAGCTGGAGAAGGGAGAGGCCATCGACAGCATGATCCCCGCCCAGAAGTAAAGAGGGACAATGTTATGTTTTTCTCGTGACCATTCACGTGCAATCGAGCTAGCTGACATGGCGTGCAGAGGAAACAGCCGCTCATCAAGAGACTCTTGACTCTGCTCACCTCTTTGTCTTCCTTCCAGTTTTTTTCTTTCTCTGTCCTTTGACCTTTTTTTCACGTTCTCCAGTGTTGGTAACATCCTGGGATCAGCCTCCACTGAGCTGGGCTCGCCTGGCAGACGTGGCAACAACACCTACTTTTTGTGATAAAAAGTAATAATAATTGAAGCTGTTCATACTGTTCAATAAAAAGTGCCCCATTTAAACATAGCAATTTGGTCTTTTGTATGTATTAGAAATTGGAAACCTTTATTCAAACATAAACACTCCTGGGAACCAACAGCTCAACATATCTACTCTTCACACACATTCACTCTTGCTAATCTAAGGCTGCAGAGCCAGACTCAGTCATTAATCTGATTGGGCATATGATACAGGAAGCAATCCTCAAAGTGATCCTTATGCTTCTGCTCCTTTAAAACACAAGCAATTCATTCCTGTAACAGACTGGTTTAGTTGATGGGTGCAGTGTTTCTTCTTTCTACCTTCCTAAAGCATGCCAGTGACAAAGTCAAAATCTGTAGATGACCATTTATTATTTGACATTTGGCATTTTTGCTGTTGTTCATTATGAAGCTGTGATATGTTAAAGGATGTACCGAGGCTGTTTGAAAAGCAGGGTTGAATAAAAATCAAAAGGGCATCTCATGTATATCATGGAGCATCAGAGCACAGAAAGTTCTGATCAATGTGGATCTGCCTCCAGCAGCATTTAGAGGTCCTTTTTGTAATCACCTCACCTTTTCGGTCTCTCCCAGTTATTCTGTGAGCAAAAGATTGTTGCATGACCAAACCAGTTCTTAAAAAATAATGGTGAGCTAGTTAAAGTTTTACATTGGCAATCCTGAGTAGTGAATAGCCAGGCCGCTGCCACATCATGGGGTTCATTTACACTTAATAAGTCACAAATTATATTAAGGGGTCTGGGGGTCCAAAAACTTATGTCCTGCATTCTGCCAAATATTTATGCAAAATTTTGTGAGTAAATTCAAATGTGTAAAAGAAAAACACAAAATAAAGGCAAAAATAACAGCTACTTCCTGTAGAGGAATCCGGTACACACTTTTGTCAGTGATCTCTTTAAGATCTACGTCATCCGACTCAGCAAAGTGGAAACAGTCTGGCAGGATAAGAGAGTGCAGTGGATTAATGATTAACCCCAGTGTTGGACTAAATCACTTGGCCCTCTGCAGCGTTTCTCATGAGATGTGGTGCACGCTTGGTTGATAATGTTGGCCACAGCCATTATTTAGAGTTTGGTGTTATGGTTTGCTGTGAATAGATTGCAGTGCCACTTTGACTTCAGCAGTTCCAAGTCTAGCCATACTAAACACAAGTGTTATGATAACGTGTTGTATATGAGATAAACTATAAATGTGTAATAGTGGTATGCTCTGTTTCAGCAGAAAAAGGCCGGTGTGGTCAGGGGCTGGATGGTTGAAGCCATGACTTTCAAATCGTCCGATGTGCATCATCTATCTTTTAGAGATGTCCCCCATCCTCTCCAGCCTCTCAGTCCTCGACATCAGCTGTCTCAGCACTTGCTGCCTGTGGTAGTCCGGGTCTTGGCCTACAGGATACCATAAAGGAGAGAAATCCTCCATTTCATATTGACAAGTTTAAAATGTTTCACTGCTGCCCCTGGAGTTATAACACCAGCTAAATAACTAGGCTTAACTGTAAGAGTTGTTAGTAATCAAAGAAAAAAAGACACACAAATGAAGGAAAAAATGCCAACATCAGTGAGTTTTATTAATCTTCAGCTCCGTGTTCTCCTTATTAGCACAAACTCTCCATCTCAGCAAACAGTTTGTTTCTGAGATGGAGGAATTCAACAGTAGAGGATGTAAAATTACTCATACAGGTCAAACTGTGTGTTCACCACCAGTCTCTTTTAACATCAACTGTTTCCAAAGATGACAGTGCATGTTTAATACTGCGCCCCCTGGGGTCCTAATACTGTACCATCACCATCTAAACCAGACCAGTAACACACTCAGGTACTCAACACAACTCTTTTTTAAGAAGTTTTCACAGTAGATTCCACCTTAAGACAATGTTTATCCATCTGATACTAAGAGTGAGTTGTTGCACACTAATTTATTAGCTTTTAAGCCGGTTTCACAAACAACCTGATTCAAATCGTCAAACAGGAGTCAGTGACAAAACATTTCTATGGCTTGAATGCAACCCAGGGTTTCCAACATGTCGGGGGGCTTTAGAGAGTGAATTCAAGTTAATTTAGAACCAAACAACACAAACTTTTTTTCTCCAGTCTAATTGTCCGCACAGAAGGTTTCTCCCTCAGTCTGCACACTGTGGTTCATTTCATGGCATATTCAAACACTTACAAGAAGTCAGGAGCCCTCTTGAGCAAACCAAAGCACCCTGTAGTCACTGTCTTTCACCTGTTACTGTTCTGTAAAAGGGAGCAGGACCTGGTGCAACATTGAGCACCAATTACTTGTTTTGAGTCATATCTAAAAACATTTCTCTGTATTTCACAAAGCTTCCAATCCTGGGTGTGCATCATATTTCATTTTTTTCTCCTCTGAAGTCATGCAGGATTGCAGGTTGGTTTTGTTCCCCATTGTCACTGACAGAATCTGCTTTAAACTAGAATTACTTCCCTTGCTCTAGCTATAAATAAACCTTGAGCTCTAAGATATATACTATATTCATATATTTTATATACAGCCATCAACTGACTGATATAAATCCTGTTTTTTAAATGATATTATTCTAAAAAATAAATAAAGTACCTGTGCAAATATCCACAAATTGAAGTGTTTCACATTTAAGACATTGGCGCCCTCCAGTGGCTAGTTCTGGATATTACCTGTACAGGTACACTGGAAGGAGCTGATTCAAGTCAAAGCAAAGTGCATTGAGGTCTATATTACCTAATGCTAATATACACCACAATGAGAAACGTCCAAGGAGAGGACAAGGACAGACTCCTGCGTCCTTATCGGTGTGTGCTTCATGAAACAGCTCACACCAAACAGGACTGTCAAATATGGGTCTACGATGTGAGAGTGTGGACGATGGCGAGAGTCTCCCTGCGAGAACACAGGGTCTCAACGGTGAAAACGCTCAGTGTGACCATAGAAAAAAGTCAGTGTTACATACGAAGTTGGTGGACCATTAAGGTTTGCGTCCCTGTTTGATGGCAGGGTGGGGGAAAAGAGATGGAGGGTGTTTTTGGGTCACCATGAGCAAAGCCACAACTGAGAGATAGTATCAACAGTAAATCAGCAGCCAAACAACATGATCTCTGTAGCCTACGTAAATATCACAGTACGTTATTCACTAAAAACAGGGAGGGAGAACAGAAAGCCTCCTCACTTTTCTCTGTCTCTCTTTTTTTAAATACATGATACATGTTTCTGAATGAAGGCGCTGGGGGTTGTTCACTTTAAAGGCAACTGGACTAACAAAAAGAAAACACTGTGCACACACTGCCTTCATCGTGCCTTTTCAGAGTCAACACACTCCCCCCCTCTGAGCCCCACAGGTAAAGGACAGGGTGGACGTTCGGAAGTGGGTGTTTCTTTATCTGTGTGTGTGTGTGTGCGTGTGTGTGTAATCTGAGGGGTTTTCCCTGTTTGGCTCGTCTACTTTTGGTGTTTCCTATTAACATACTGAGATGACGGCTGAGATGAGATCACATGGCACATAATATATAACTAAAGAATTGCATTGCAGTGAAATAAAGCAGTCATAAGGGCTTTTTGCACAGTATAAGTATAACAAAAGTGTTTTCTGCACCTTTACTTCTGTAGCCTCTCTTGAATGGGTAAAGGTCCCTTCACACCTGGTCACATTACTAACCTGTTAAAAATAAACCTCATTAGTTGGGAGATGTTCCTCTGGCTTTTGTTTTAGCACCACACATCATTTTTTAGGGTTTGCTTGACCCTGTCTCAACTTTACTGAAACGTGTCACTGGCCTAAATTTTAAAATAAGCATTTTTAAAAAAATTAAAATTTTCACTTGAACATTTGACATGTTGTTTTTGCACTATTTTCAATCAATATAAGCTTTAATGAAATAAAAACCATCAATACCTGTTTTTATCAACATTATGCAGAGGGCTTTAGCTATTTTGGAAACAGGGCTTCAATATCTGATGGCTGTCTTAGACCCATGCAAATCTACAATCTACAAATTCTGCCTTTTTACCCAATTTAAAGGTAAAATTTCTTCTCAAATTTCCAAAACCAGCAGTCCTGTTTGGTCTACGTTTTCTGCACATCCACATCTGGATGATTTGAGGTCTTTTTTTTTCTTTTGTGCAGGAGTATTTGTTTTCTTTGTGCATTTTCTCTTGCACGGTAAAAATTAAAGGCAAAGACTTCAGTTTTGACAGGACACTCTTTTTGCTACAAATCATGGAGACAGACTCAGACAAAGTGAGGGCTCAGAAAAATAAAATCCCAAACTATCAGATGGATAAAATGGATTGCTACTTCTTCATGATGTGGTATGATGAAACGCAATTCTTCTTGAAGCTTTAATAAGAGGACTGGGTGGTATAGCCTACAATAAAAATATATATTTTCAGGACAAACTTTATTCACAGTTTTTATTAATTATTATTTTTCTTTCCCTGATTGAAAGTGGTTAGTTTGCTGTCCAGCCCCCACAACACTGAACTAGCTCAAAATGACTAACAGGATCGTTTTTTTGGGAGCAAACTCTGCATTAATGCTGGCAGGAATGTTACTTATATGAGCATCTGTCAGTAGTTAATGAGAAGAAGGGCGTCAGCGTAAGAGTCTGAGGGGGAGGAGTGGAGAAAGTTTAAGAGAAAATCCAGATTTTCAACTATTAAAATCCACCTCAATAAATAAAATGACCATATCGCCCAGTCCTACTTATCAAGGGGGGCAGAGTAAATTCTTGCCAACTGTGAATTCAAAAATCACATTGGATCTCCTGGTGATACTTATTATGTGCAAAAAGGCCTTCCAGTATGTCTACTGTTAGGAAAGACACTTGAAACTGTGTGCCCGCCTCCCTTCATACATCAGTCTGAAGAAAGGTAACAGCGTGACCAATGAAGATTTTAAAACCTAAAATACACCCAACAGTTTTAATGATGATGAGCAGCGCTGACAGGAAATGACCTCAGTCATATAGAGCAGCGTGTGTGCTTTAGTCTTAACAGGCGTCTCTTTACACTCTTGGAGACGGACTGCTGAAAAATAATGAATTCAGGCTTGACGTATCCTGCATTATTTCTAACCACCAGAAGGGGGTGAGTCTGTGGAATTGTATTTTGCTGAAGGCTGAAAGCATTTAACCAGCTAAGATAGTGTGAGCATTGGCTTACTTTGTGTGTTTACATATACATTTAAATGAACATGCTTAAACATTCTGAATATTCTGTTTCTGCACTGCTTGGCTGACACCCACCCTTTTGCACCCGTTTTAGGCTTTACAAAATGTCAATATTTGATGCCAACTTCAGCTTGTTACTGCAGGGCTGTAATCCGGGTTGATTTCCATGTACCAAAACAATTGGTAAATGCTTTGGCAACTTTGAGCCAAACATGTTCAATTCTGGCAAAGAGATGAAACATGTTGGCAACAACTACGGTAACAAATTAAATACTTTAGAGATGGCTGTCCAAAACAAATAGAAAGAATCAAGGTGACAACACCTTCAAGAGTCCTCCTAGCTTTCTGCCTGTCACATGCAGGTAAAGTAATGTGACTAAGAGGTAATGACTATGAGCTCATGAAGTGGAAGATGTCACTGATTTTTCCTCCAGGTCTGCCTCTGATTGGCTGCTTTAAAGCCTGTCAGCGCTGCTCTCACTGACCTTAATCCAGTGCGGTCGTCACTGCTGTATGTACAGGAATCAAAGCAATGCAACCCTCTGCGGCTGCTTATCTGATCACTGAGTCGCACCATCTCCACCTTTGTGTGCATGTGATTGTCCCCAGGTGATGAAGAGTCAGCAGATAATCAGGTCATCCGTACAGGAGGGAAAAATGAACAGTTTGTGTCGAGGTGACATATAAAAAAGGGCTGAGAGATACACAGAGAGATGGTGTTTTTCAGTAGCTGTGGAGGAGACGGTGGGTAAAAACAATGATCAGAGCAATAAATAACAAAATAAAGAGTCATTATGGCTAGAGTAGCAATAAAAAAATCAACTAGCTTCTGTCTGATCCAGGTCCAGTGGGTGCAGAGGCTCAGTGAAGAAGTTGGCTGATCTCAGTGGGGTGATTGGGTGGAGGGGGGTGCTCCAGTCTGCGTGACTTATGGGTCAGATGTGCGTGTGCGTGTGTGTGTGTATCTGTGTGTGTTTGTGTGTGTGGGGGGAAGGGGAGTAAGTCATGAAGGAGACAGAAGGAGAAGTCTTTTCTCTTGGGTCCAGCCCCTCGTCCCTTCTCCACTATTTTTTTCTTCAGTTGTTTACACCCCCCTCCCTTTGTGCACACACATCTACACTCGCTCACACAAAAACACACACTGGTACGCAAACACCCCCTCCGGTTCAAAGTTCAAGGTCTTTAGAGATTTGGGTGGCAATGTCCCGAAAAGCTAGTGGCGCCCCCCAAAGTCTTGTGTAGCGCACCCCGTTAGAAGTCTCGGAGGTGCCCGTGGAAAGATGGCACACCTCGGCCTCAAAAGCCACACGGCCCCCTGCTACGCCGTGGGTGCAGGACAGCAGAAAGGGGCCGGCAAGGTGGACCTGACAACCACATCCAAGTGCCGCTTCCCGCAGAGCCAGTACCACCTCTGCAGGGTCCCGCCGCCCACCACCTCTCAGATCCCAGCCACGTCCGACGGCCCGGGGCTCGGACGTTTTTTGATTCCCAGGTAGATGGCAACTATAAAGTGGAGGGAAGAAACAGAAACCATGATTAGCGTCTCAAAACCATGAAAACTTTTGAGGAATCACAGTCAGAATGTTTACATGAAGTGGTATTCCCCCTGTCTTCTAGTTCTGTCACCTGGTTAACCTGTTGAATCGCTTAACAAAATAATCAACAAACTAGTTAGCGAAAGGCTGATTGTTTGTATATTAAGCAGTAAAAACGCTGATAGCTTTACAGCTCTGTGCCTTAAGTATCTGTTATATTAATCTAATTTGAGACTTTTTAAGGGTCAGTATCTCAGATGAGCTCAGACCAGAAACTGAGAGCGTTGTCTGATTTTAAGACAAGATTTTTAAATTGTTCACTGAGTAATGACTTTATTGTCAAAGTCTGAAATTTGACTGCTGCTCCACTTACAGCAAACATGAAAGGATAAATTAAAAAAAAAAAAAAAACATGATAAAACATTTTCATAATCAGAGGCCTTCAATGTTCTTTAGATCAGGGATTCAGCTCCATATTCATTTGAAGAATTGACTAGTGTACAAAAGAGTGCTTTTTGGGGGTGTTACTGCCTTGTTTCAACTTATGTTCAGTATGTGCAGAGACAAGTCCACAGCCAGCCTATTCATTCCTGTGTGGATCTCTGCGACATCAGATGAGCCTGTGAAACTCCTATCTTCTGTAAGATTTCAGTCGGAATCTACATTGAGTATGTAAAAAAAAAAAAAAAAAAAAAAAAAAAATGTTTTTCAGTGGATTTCAGAGAAACCACATGACTGTGCTTGCTGGGTGAACTGGCTCACACAGGCTCTTTTCTTCAGTTCACTACCTCATTTGATTTTGACAGTGAGATGAAAGAGAAGAAGAAGAAAACACCTTTGTGCCCCCCACACACACGGACTGAAAAACAAGCTGCAGATATGTCCAAATGTTTAATTTCATTCACTCCAATTATCTTAAAGACTTAAATGGGTGTAGCTGTTGATCTATAAACTGCTTGAAGATCCTTTCTTGATCAAAGACATTTCATAAAATATTAGATTTTAACCTATGGGTTAGAAATAAACTCTCTTTCTCAATAAACAATATTTGTCACTCCAGTTTCTATGTGTACTGACCTTGTGACCGCAAATCTCCTGACTCCCTCAGATTCATTTGTGACCCTGGAGGAGAAAAAGGCAGGGTGAGAGGTAACACAGTACAACCACAACTCTCACAGCAGACGGCATTCAGTAGAAATCAGACAGTGAGACACAGCAGGCATCAACATCAAGCATGTGATGAACTCAATGTCATGATACTCAACTCACCTTTGCTCTCATTCACTACTCTACAAGCATGCAGGTAGAAACACAGTCTCTGTTGATCGGTTCATTTCAGGTATGATGCATTACGATCTATTCTTACACAAATCTGAGAGGCAAGTGGAGAAATTCTGGTCTTCCATTTTTCAGTCTAATTTTCTTTTTTTTTTTTCTTGAGGTACTGAACCACAAGAAAGTGGCATTACTTGTGGTAATTACTCATCAATTGGTTTTACATTCCTACTCTCTTCTTTTACTATATTCACTACATTTTACATGGGTCTTTTTACTTAGTTGTACAATATTTATCTATTTTTATTATCTTGTTTTTATCTACCTCAAAGCATTTTGGAGATGCACCCAAATCTCGTTGTGATGTTTTTACAATTCTGATTCTGATTCTAATGAACCATAACAAGGTGGGATTCAGTATTTTTTAAAAAACACCCTGATTTACCAGCCTTCAGACAGGTATCATTTCCTCGACTCTCAAGGGTTTATCTGGGTTTTTCTTCACCTGATGCCAATGACCCCATCTTCTGTTGTATTCTATTTCCAGCTGTTTATGACATACATGTTTGCCAGTGTTAACTTTCTCCACACTTTAAATACTGTACTCTTTATTTGTATATTATGTACACTGTGATGCTGCTCAGGACTTGGGTTGCTGTCTTGTTTCTGGATGCAGACTTGTTTGCAAGTCAGGAGATTGTGTAATTATAAAGTGAAGCTGAAGACCATTTTCCGCAACCAGGACGAAAAAAGTTCATTCATGTTTTTACTTGTCTTTTTCATAAACACACACACACAATTATTTAGATATGACTTTGAAAAATGGATTAACCACATTTTTCTCACTTGCCTCTTCGTCCATATTTTTAACCAAACAACAGACAGCATAAACAATAAATGACTTTTAAACCACAAAATGAAAACACAGTTTCTGAGGGGACTTGGTGCACAAGGTCATAACAGAGAAGATGAAAACACCTTTTTCACCAACAATGACATTAATCCGGAAACTTAAAAAATCTGAATAAATTAAAATGAAACTAAATGAATGAATCTCCCTTGACTGTGGCCATGCTTCAAACTAAGTGTGTGGGATGTTGACAGTATGAATTAACATTTCATGCAGACAACATTTCAAAGTGGAGAAATGAAAAAGTTAGGCAGGAAGTTTGAACAGTTCCTGTGAGCAGGCAGACGGGTGGGGCGGCGCAGGCAGACCAGAAAGAAGCGAGAGACACGGGAACTTACTAACTGTTTTTGATCCTTGTGGAAGAGTACAACCCGACACTGATTTGTTTGAGCCCTGGCGCTTGGACGGGTCAAGGTTGACCCTATTGCCATGACAGAGGGGAAAGCACAACAAGATAAAGACGGAGAAAAAGAGGGAATTTGGGATAAGAGCAGGAGGGTGGGGTAAGAGAGAATAAAACTGGATCACAGGAGAGTGAGTGGAGGAAAAGAGCACAGCGCGGGAGCTGATTGGCAGGGATAAAGCTCAGGTTTGATAAGATTAGACAAGTGTGATTATGATGACTGGGAGGAAGAGGGGAGCAGAGGATAATCCAGAGCCACGCAAGGACTTGCCAAAAGGCCTGAATAAAATGTCTGATTAGCAGCGATCCATACCAGGCTGCACTCAGGCTGAAGGGAGGAACTGCACAACAATGCTACATGATCATACACTGTAAATCTGAGGTTTGTTTTCAGGAGATCGGTTTTAGATTAGAGCTGAAGAGTTAAAAAAACTGTCCCTGCACTACAGTATTCCAGATGACCAACAGAGGGACACAAGCATGGGGGCCTTTTGTCCTGATAAAACATGTTAGGACCAAAACTGTGGGTTAAAGAAAGACAATAACATAACGTTTATGAAACCAAGTTCCATTTGGGGCTAAATAAAGTTCTTGTTTTTTTTTATTGTATTGTATAACAAAAGCTTTTTAAATCTCTTAAATGCCCTTTTTTGTTTGTTTGTTTTCAAAGATGGAAGACAGGACTACCAAAGGTGTAAAGGTAAGACTTTTACTCTCTACTCTTGACTAAAAAAAACAAGTGTGTATGGTAGAGCCAAACTTGGACGAGCAAGTTTTTAGATGCTACTGTATTTGTGGCTTACAACTGTGGCCATCGCACAAAGGACGGTATCGATAATACTTTGTATACGTTGTAAACAATGAGACAGAGGCTGGTTCACAAAAACCCCAAGCACAAAAAGAGCAATGCGGTGCGCGCCGTAAAAGCCCTGAATGCAGGGCCTCGTACATCGGGGAAACAAAACGGCCATTAAACAGATGCATGGCCCAAAACAGGAGAGACATCTCTTCTGGTCAGGACTCAGCTGTTCACCTACATCTGAAGGGTACAGGAAATTCCTTTGAAGACAGCGATGTTAGGATACTGGCCAGGGAAGACCTCTGGTTTGAAAGAGGCCATCTTTGTCAAACTGGAGAAACCATCCTTGAACAGAGGCGGTGGACTAAGACACTTCTTATCCTCCATTTACAATCCTGCTTTGGATTCCTTTAGACAACAATCAAAACAGTGCTTTTGTGCTGGATTGCAGGCTCCAACATCATACAAGCATGGCAAACCTGAAAAAATCCAGTAAGGAACCCGCTCAAGTGAAATCAGGTCAACATCCCTACTAGTGACGACCCACCTCTTTTACATGGGGCGGACCAACAGAGGCTGTCCAGCTTTGGCCCCAGGCACCTTAGAACTAAAGAAACCATTTGGAGGAAAGGAGGAACATCTTCAAGAACCTTAAACAAGCCCAGCTGCCCTTCAACGAAAAACTGAATACATAGTATACAGTACATCATGTCATCCATCCTTTCCATGGTAATTACACTGTTTATGAAGTCTGCATGGCAATCATGAGTATTTTTGCTGATGACCTTTGTCACCTCAAAGTTGTGTCCGTTTCTGGTAGCTGGTATATAGAAGAATTTTAGTTTTGAGATGCTCAGTATTAACATTACATCTTCTATTCTGGCACCAGACTGACAGTAAAAGAAGACATCTCAGGACTCCTATGTCGCCTCCTCTCTGTGGTGGTGTGTCGTATTTTACTTCTTTTTTCCTCCTGCTAATACTGTGACATCATGGTGACATTGCCATAGTGAAATCCCCCCTTTAGGAGGTCTCTATGTTTAAGCTTTTGCACAAACTAAATGTTCAAAGAGAGTAAAAAACATCCTCAATACTCAGTGTGTAAAATTTTTATGGCATTAGAATATAATCAGGGGTGTGTGGTGTATAATAAAACTATTTCCTGATTACTTTTTCCTCAGTGTGTGGAATGACAGAACTCAAAACTACGTCTCATTTTAAAGCTCCAGTTAGGAACTTCTGTGGATTTGGCTCTAACAAGCCCCCTGCGGACTAAAATCTACCTCCTGTACCTGTGTTACAGTTTTTTAAATACAGATTTTAAAAGTCATCCTATTGTACCTCAACAGTAAAATGTATTGTTATTATGACTGAATTTTAGACATGGATTAAAGGCTGTTTTGAAGCATCCAGTATATCCAGCTTAGTGTGACACCTACACTGCAGCAGCAGCAGCAGTTTCAGCCATGCATACTATAAATAAAGACATAATTAATCTTGTTGCCGAAGATCTTGTTTGCCTCATAAGGTCATTAAGAGGTAACAGTGTCGATTTCAGACTGTTTTATAACCAGACAAAAACTCCTCACAGGAGCTTTAATGTCTTTCTGCAAACTAACAACAACATTATTACTATAATGTTTACCGGCAATAGCTGAGGCTGCTGCCAGTACAGCTAGCTTAGCTCAAAGACCCAATAAGTGGGGCAGAACTGGGACAGTTAGTTTGTAGGAAAAACTTCTTAGGCAACTTTAAAATAGCTCAACAAGTGTTGTGTAACTTAAGCAATAAACAGCAACAATGCAGCAATGTCAGCTTAAGTTACAACATATTAAGTTTGAGTAAAAGGTGGACGATGTGATAAACAATTTTGTTGACAAAAGTGCTGTGATAAAATGGGAGAAGTCATAAGGCTGGTTAATATGAAGCTACAGCCAGGAGATGGTTAGCATAGCTTAGCATTGGCGGCTTAATTTTCTGTAAACAATGATGATGTACATAGAGGGGGAATCCATATTTTGGCAACGGAAGTACAGCAAGTTAAGTTACTCTGTCAATCAACAGATTATTGTAATATCTAATTATTTCTAATATCAGTGAGTGGACAGAGATCATCACCAAGAACAAGTATTCAGTGGACAGACGTTTGGGTAGAGAAATCCAGCCTGTGAGTGAACTCATGCAGGTTACACATGTAGCTAAAAGCTGTAAACTATATTATCAGTTGACAGGTACAGCAGGTCAAAAAGTCAAGAAATATCCTGAAATCAAAAACCCTTTTCAGCTGAATACAAGCACACAGGACCACTAAATAAGAAACCTGGGTCATAATGACAAGAAAACTACACTCTAACAGCAAACGGGGCCTGTGTATCAGGTAAAAAACCATCAAGATATTGGGCTGTTAGCTAGCACACTATTTTGTTTGGTGATAAAGTTGTAATATGGACATTAATCCTGTTTCTGATTAGCATAAATTAACTAAATGATCCTCCACATTAGCTCCTAACCGTCTTCCTGATGTGATTCACTCACATCCACAATTCAACTCTAACTTTCTCACTAACTGCACGCACTCGTTCAGACTTTCAACTCTTCATATTACTTATTTCTAGTCAAAACCAACTTGAACTGATACACCAAACAGTTAACGGCTGGCAGCCAAATTCACAAGTGTTTCAAAATAAACTGTAATGCTGCTAGTCTGCCACTTTCAGCTGAACATGCGCCTTGCAGGCACCTAAACCCCAATTTCCACCGCATCAGGCACGGTGCCATCTGCCAATCCCTCCAAATCCATATGTGAGGCGAATTTCGTAGCAGATTACGGACAGTGGGAATTGGAAGAACTCACAAGAACCCGCGGATTCACATGCAATGGCGCAATAACGAGTTGTCTCTATAAAGACAGCTACATAACCATATAAGCAGTAGATTGTGTCCTTCCAGAGGAGGAGATCTTCTTCTAGATTTATAAAATCAGCATCTCCTCATCCATGGTGTCATCAGGGTGAAATGCTGTCCACAAACTTTTTCTTGTTCGTCCCCGCCTGTTTGCTTGGTGTGAAATACGATCCGCCGGAAACATTGAGTGTTTTATTTTGCAAAGAAGCAGGATGTTTTGTTATGTGTCTGTGCCCGACTTCCTTTCCAGCACAGGTTAATCTGTACTGAGTTTATCCGGCATGCTCCGGCGTCTGGAAAAAATTGGAACTCTTGCGATCAGCTGCAGAGTTCAGCGATCTGCAGCGGAATGGAAAGAAGCCGGTGGAAATTGACACATTAACTTCACTGGTTACAGTCAGCTACAATCGACGGATAGGGCTTTTTTGTATCTGTTTCGGATGCTGTGGAAATTGGGGGTTAGTCTTTTATTAAAGACATAGCTAATGAACATAATTTGACTTTTGAATAAAAAAACTTATGAGGATACATCCACAATGACATTGATTTCAGGTTTCAACACTGTTGTGACCATGACAATAACTGGCATGTTCAGACAAAAGCCATCAGTCAACAGGGTCACTCTTAAAACCAGAACATTAGTTACTCTGAAGTATTTGTGATCTCAGAACTTGAGTCCTAGGTTGTCTATTGGCTATGAGAACCAGACATTTTGATGCTGCTAGGACCTTTGATTTGGTAGATCGTTTGGGTGAATGGAGTAAACGTTGCTTCCGTTGCCAAAACATTCAATTTCTTACAGGCTGTCTCCAAGAGGGAATACGGTGAGATGTCAAAAAGCTTAAAGTAGAGTTTTTCTGATCTACAAGTAAACCAAAACTTTCCTGACAGCTACATGATTTCGTTATCACATACGACATGTTTCGTGTATCTACCTGCGAGTGAGTTTGGAGGTCAGCTTGGTGAAGAGGTTGGAGGTGGCCCTGGTGCGGGCGTGGGGCAGAGGACTGGCTTCATGGTGGGACAGGGTGGGTGAAGTAGGTGGGGCGGAGTAGACCGGTGGTCCACGGTCCCTCAGCTGACCCCCGTGGAAGGTGCTGCGAATTGTGGATCCTCTGGTCAGGCGGCATCGGTCTGAAGAGGAGGAGGAGGAGGCGGCTCCAGCCCCAGAGATGCTGAGCGTGGAGGGAGATGCTGCAGGCATGCGGTGACCCAGGGAGCTGCAGAGACAAGAACAAATGCAGTAAATCCCACTCAAACAAGAGCATGAGTCGTCTCTGTCTGTTTGTTTTGTCACAAAATTTAGATTTTATTTCTAGCTGATGCATTTTGATGCTGATGAGATAAACTCACTCAATACCTGAATATAAATAAACTTCATTTGAATTAAACTTTTTAAGGTAAAAGCAGAACTTATAAAAAAATTAGGTTAAATCTTTGTCAAAACACTCATCTTTGGAGCCATATCAATGTTTTTTAAAAGACAAATTATAAAAAAAAAGAACAATACATAGATAAAAAAGTAATTAGTTAATACAGGTTAATAATTAGAAATAAAGAAAAAAGGAAAAGTACAAATAAATTTTGAATTTAAAGGAAAAGTACAAAGTAAGTATTTTTTCCAGGGCTGTCAGTGCTGATGTTAAAGTGTTAATATTGATGTGATCAAGGTCTGATATCAGCATGTAAGTACTTTTAAAGAATTTATTTCTCTTTGGCCACTGAGAATTAAAATATAAACACAATACTGTGCTGTTGAAAGCCACGTTTTCCCAAAATACTAAGTTGACAGGCCAAAAGTAATGCACACCCTGTGTCAAGCATATAGGTGCTGCTGATCAGACTGATGTCAGTGAGGAACTGTGTCACAAAAGCTGGCAGAGCGTTGTTAAGGACTGTGTGAAGGATCAAAGACCTGTGGATGACACCAAATCAAATCACCAAATTGGTCACATTATGCCAATTTCCATGAAATTCCACGCTCAACATTGGATTGCATTTTTATTGGCCAATTCTGTGATTCCATCTGTAATTCTGTTAACACAGAAATCATAAGGCCCTACTTTTAATGTGATACATTTTCTTAAAACTTTTCTTTATATAAATGATACAGGGGAATTCAACAAAAATTTACACAGAGTTCAATGAATAAAGGTTAGAGCATGTTAGTTATTACATGCTTTGAAATTTGACACTTCATATTTTCTGCTGCTTTATTTGTACTGATGGCCTTCCTCTCCCTCTAACTCCCTTAAAGGGGACCTGCCATCAAAATGTAATTTTGTGTGTTTTTGTGTCAGATTAGGTCCATATTATGTTTGTCTTATGTTGTAAATGTGAAAACAAACCGTTCCATCGTTTGCATTCTGTAAAGGTTTAAAATAAAGGAACGGGTAAACCAGGCCAATTGAAAAAGCAGGTCCCTCTGATGTCGCGCTGACCTTGCTCATTATTTATTATTCACGAGCGCGTCCTCGGTGAGCCGCACCCACTCTCTCGTTCTCGTACTCATTCACAGTCAACATCCAGCCAGAGTGAGACCCAGCTACCACTGTATCCCCTATGGGTCTCTTCCAAACAACAGGTGTTTCCTTGGGTTCACTGCCGGGAAAATTAACTTAAAGCTGGGCAGAATGAATGAAAACACCACTGGAGATCTCTGGCTTCTTCTTCAACTTCCACCTCCTCTTCGGACTTGGGGTCTAAAATATATGGTTTAATACCTGCCATTTTTAGCCTTTAGCATAAGGTGAACAGACGTCCCCGATTTCCGGGGACAGTCCCCGTATTGGATGACCTGTCCTCGGCAAAAGCTGTCCCCGAAAATGTCCCCGATTTAAGCGTTTCATGAATGAGAGCAAAAATGTTGCGTGTGGGCTCGAACAACGGTTATTACAGTAGCCGAATGGGTAGGAAGCACAAGTAAGCAGTCCTGAACAACAGTTCTTACGGGGGTTATTACAAGGGGCATGCGCTGCTACTAAATAGTACCGAGATTTTGTCTGTGATCACACAGCCCCTGCAGCCCCTGCACCCGCCGCACCGAATATCCCCGGATATCATTACAGACATCTGGGTACCTTACTTTAGCACACATTAGCAAAATGGATAAACCGAAATCCGAACCTCCACTGCTGAGCCAATCAGAGCACAGCAGGCTTTACAGCAGCGATCCAATCAGAGCAAAGCTTATTACCATAAATGTTAATGAGCCAAAATCAGTTGGTTTTCCTGTAAGGTTTTTTAGGCATACTAAGACAAACCATCAAATAACTTTTCAGCTAAAATTATGTTGCAAACATGATCAGAGGACATCAAGGATTATAAAAAAATGATAAAAATGGGTATGAAATTTTGATGGCAGGTCCCCTTTAAGACATCGGTAACAGAGCATGTTATTTTTCAGTTCTGTTCACTCCCAGAGTTTAAGATTTTACAAGTGGAGAGAGAAACACTCTGATTTCGTTGGTTTTGAAGATGAGTGTGTAATCTTAAAAACTGAGCCGGCGAATTTCCAAGAAACAAAATGTTCTGGAAAGTTCTATTTCAGATATTCACACATCCTACAAATGAGATTTTGGCTAGGGCTGAAAAACTGCTTCCTCTTTTGGTTTTTCTACTCAGACAAAAGGAGCATCATCTAATACAGAGAACAAAAAGTCATTATTTTGATATTTGCTGCTGTAGCCCTGTTAGAAACTTATTACCTGCTACAGCTACCTATGAAAGATCTGTACCCAAAAGTATTGATAATAAAACCTGAAGATGTACCTGTTGTCTTTGCCATTCTGCAAGAGAGAGTGTCTGTCGGCACCGGAGCGATCTGTGCACACGTACGTGTTCCTGCGTGTCATGGCACTTCCAGGGATGTTATTCTGCAGAGAGAGGAAAAAGTAGATGTGACCTAACCTGTTTTTATGATAAGAAAAAAAAAACAAGAAAAAACAAGACCTTAGCGCACAACTGAACCACCATCACAAGCTGCCGTTTTCGTATATTTGACAATAGAGGTTGCGCCACAACAGGAACATTTTTCCTCATTAAGTCAGTGAAACCTTAGTCGTACAGTCACCAATCGAAACAGCTCAGTCTGATGACAGTTTGTGCCAAACTTCAACACATCCCTCCAGATGTTTCCAATATTTTCTGTTATGCTGTCACTAGGGTTCAGAAAATTGCACTTGCCGATTAGAAAGGCAATGCTGATATCGGTCAGTTAAATGGTCTATCTCCAGTAATGAGCAGTTTAAGTCATTGTGGTTGTCACTGTGGTGTGCTTTCCTCGGAATTGTTGCTGCAGACATCCCCCCAAAATTTGATTGATTGATGATTGATTGATTAAATACTGTTTGTATGTGTTAATATTAAAACTACACAGTGTAGGCAGTGAAAAGAGAGCAGCATTCATGTGCAAAAGTGTTTCTTTACGGAGACAGAAGATGTGAAGTATGAAACATAGCTTAAACTTCACTCAAAATGCATGAACTAGAGATTGACAGATCAATTGCATTTTCTTAACTATTGGCCTTCATAAGGTTGATATCACCATTATCACCTCTACATGATTTGAATGTCTAGGAATAATGGATTTAAACCTTTTTTTTTTATTTCTAATGCAACATTAACTTGTGTCTTGATTTGTTTTTCTAATAATTTAAGCTGGTTGGACAGACACCCAAACTTCCTTTGTGGCAATTTATCAATCATTTCTTATTTGACACAATAATATTTTGTCTCTGATTATTTTATCAAACATCCCCTCAAGTTCAGCTGCTTTGTTTCTCGGTTAGTATTATTACTTATTTATATTTTGCCTTATTGGCACGGGCCATAAAAAACTGTAACTGGTTGACCACAACAATAATCACTACACAGCCAAACATAATTTTACAAAAGGTAATGTAACTCAAAGGGGGGGGGGGGGGGTGATCATACATTTTTTTCAGACTCTATACTTCCTCTCCGATACCACTTTAACATTTTCACATGATTTTCAGATCACAAAAAGCCTCAAATTTCTCCCTCTGCTGTATTTAAATATTATTATTTAAGTCTCTGTTATTGTCTTTCACGATAAGTTGCACTTTAAGTTTAATCACATCATAAAAAGATTAAAAACTCTGCATTATGTGATGTTATGAGATATCTTGTTGAGTAAGTTACATTAAATTATGTTACAGTAAGAAATGCTACAAACTAGGGCTGCTCAATTCAAACATAAATCATCATTAGAATTACATTGATTGGTATTGACATCACTATTATTAAAAATGATTACTCGTGATCTCTCACATTCACCAACTTAAAACCTCTTTTAATCCTAAAAGCTCTTAAAAAAAGTCATATGTACTATGACTGAAAGGGACCTTGCATTAATTTTTTTAATTCAACTTGAAGAGCTTTGTCTTAATTTTAGTGATAATAGTTACTAAATGAAATCCCAGGTTTCATTTGTACTGAAGTATTTTTTTCAGTCACAGAAAATTAAAGGGTTTGAGCTGTTTTAATGCTTGCATTTGATTCAGTCTAGTCAATCCAAAAAACTTTAACATAAAGTTTTGACTTGGCAGCAGAGATGGGAATTGTGGAGTCACCAAGTCATCTCCATGCCATGTATTTGTTCTGCTCTGTCACTGAACCAGCTGCTTCCAATGAGCAGCCAGGAAGGTGAGCTCATTAGTGAAGGCACCTGGTTCAGTAACTGAGCAGAACAAATAAATGGCATGGAGATGACTTGGTGACTCCACATTTTTCGATCTCTGCTTGGTAGCGTATTTTTTTATGATTCAGAGTGATGTCTCCCCTTCAAGACTGACAGTTGTTAGATTGTTGGTGCCTGTTAGCACCCATGATTGCTACAGCCTCTCTCATCATGTCCATTCTGCCCCTTTTGGCTTCAGACACACACCTGCTTCCTCCTGCTCCTCTCCCTCTCCGCTCTCCTCTCTTCACCTGTGGCTGCCCGACACTTTATATTGCGGTGCTTAAGATTCAGCGGACCACTGTAAAAACTTAGCAGGAGCTGAAACCTCCCAAACTTTGTTTCATATTCATCTGAGCTGCTAATGATGAAGCAAAAGTAAGAGCTGTTTGGGAGGAGGGTGCGCTCGATTCAACATACAGTGCATCCGGAAAGTATTCATACCACTTCACTTTTTCCACATTTCGTTATGTTACAGCCTTATTCCAAAATGGGTTAAATTCCCTTTTTCCCTCAAAAATTCTACACAAAGTACCCCATAATGACAAAGCGAAAAACTTTTTTTTAGAACATTTTGCAAATTAATTAAAAATAAGACACTCAAAAGTTGCATATACATAAGTATTCACATCCTTTGCTATAAAAGTCAAAACTGAGCTCAGGTGCGCCCTGTTTCCACTGATCAGCCTTGAAATGTTCCTCCAACTTGATTGCAGTCCACCTGTGGCAAATTCAGCTGATTGGACATGATTTGGAGAGCCACACCTGTCTATATAAGATCCCACAGCTGACAGAGCACGTCAGAGCACAAAACAAGCCATTAGGTCGAAAGAATTGTCTGTAGACCTCCGAAACAGGGTTGTATCGGAGCACAGATCTGGGGAAGGTTACAGAAAAATATCTGCAGCATTGAAGATCCCAAAAAGCACAGTGGTCTCCATCAGTAAGAAATGGAAGACGTTTGGAACCACCAGGACTCTTCCTAGAGCTGACCGTCCAGCCAAAATGAGCAAGCGGGGGAGAAGGGCCTTGGTCAGGGTGGTGACCAAGAACCTGATGGTCACTCTGACAGCGTTCTTCTGAGGAGATGGGAGAACCCTACAGAAGGACCACCATCTCTACAGCACTCCACCAGTCAGGCATTTATGGTAGAGTGGCCAGACAGAAGCCACTCCTCAGTAAAAAGCACATGACAGCCCGCTTGGACTTTCGCTAGAAGGCATCTAAAGGACTCAGACCAGGAGAAACAAAATTATCTGGTCTGATGAAACGAAGATCGAACTCTTTGGCCTGAATGCCAAGCGTCATGTCTGGAGGAAACCAGGCACCGCTCACCACCTCACCAATACCATCCCTACAGTGAAGCATGGTGGTGGCAGCATCATGCTGTGGGGATGTTTTTCAGCAGCAGGAACTGGGAGACTTGTCAGGATGGAGGGAAAAATGAATGCAGCTAAGTACATCGAAATCCTTGATGAAAACCTGCTCCAGAGCACTAGAGACCTTCGACTGGGGCGATGCTTCATCTTCCAGCATGACAATGACCCTAAGCACACGGCTAAGAAGACAAAGGGGTGGCTTCAGGACAAGTCTCTGAATGTCCTTGAGTCGCCCAGCCAGAGCCCAGACTTGAACCCGATTGAACATCTTTGGAAAGACCTGAAAGTAGCTGTGCACCAATGCTGCCCATCCAACCTTACTGAGCTTGAGAGGATGTGCAAGGAAGAATGGGGGAAAACTCCCCAAATCCAGGTGTACCAAGCTTGTTGCATCATACACAAGAAGACTGGAGGCTGTAATCGCTGCCAAAGGTGCTTCGACCAAGTATTGAGTAAAGGGTGTGAATACTTATGTATATGCAACATTTGAGTGTTCTTATTTTTAATAAATTTGCAAAATGTTCTAAAGAAAAGTTTTTCGCTTTGTCATTATGGGGTATTTTGTGTAGAATTTTTGAGGGAAAAGGGGAATTTAATCCATTTTGGAATAAGGCTGTAACATAATGAAATGTGGAAAAAGTGAAGTGGTATGGATACTTTACGGATGCACTGTGTAACACTTAGCAGGGTAAACACAGCAGTTGGGACAACATCATTCAGTCTTGATGATCAAGTTTTTACAACCGTAGGGAGCAAAAATCATAATCACAACTGAAATCCAATTAAGCTCTATAACAACCAAATACATTACTTTATGACACATTACATACATTGTGAATTGCTACACTGTGATGTGACTAACTGAGACGTTGTTTAATGTGAGGTCACCATGCATTATGCTATACAAGGTTATAATAACTTACAGAGCAGTATGCTTTATGGCTTTTGACTTAATTGACAGGACAGCTCAAAAGACACTGGGAATGTGGGGAGAGGGGGAATTGATATTCACCAAATCCTGCTGCTATCAGTGGAAGAAGGAGAGTAGCCCCTGTACATGAGGTGCTCACTTATGCTAATTGCGCCCAAGTAATCTTTGTCATCCAAGGAAACAACGATCTGCACAGATACACACACCATTGCCAAACACAAATGATATAAATCTGAACACACTGAAGACATGAAAAACACCTGTAGCCTCAAGAAAGCTTTTGAATTTTGAACAGTTCAGTCAGTATCAGGGAGCTCTGTATCTGTATCCAGAAGGATGAAGCTCAAGCTGAAGGTGGGGAATGAGAGGTGGATCAAACAGTACTCTCTTAGGGCCTTTCTGAGCACAGACGGCTTATTTAATGACTAGGAGGGGCAGGGATCGCGCCAGCTGTATCATTGTGTGAGGACAGTCATGTCAAAAAGTGGGTGTAAAAGCAACTATTGCTTCTTAGATATGAGCTGTTTGTCTTGTTTGCAAGTTTTTACACTCTAGTTAATTTAAAATAACAGCTGACAGACAAAGCACTCAAGATACCAGAAAAGCCACTCCTCAGACTGATCAGACGTCAGATCTACAGTCCGCCCCCTGTCTAAGAGTAGAGTGCGTGTCTTACCGTGGTGGCAGTCATGTCTTTGCGGCGATCTGGGATCTCAGACTTGTTGGGGTTGTTGGCACTGCTGACCATAGGGCTGGAGGGGGGGAGGCTGTGGCTCCCCATCACGCTGCAGCTGGCCTTACGTGAGGGCATCCGACCCTCACGCAGCTCCCGATCACCTGTGCTGGTTGGGCTCCTCTTGGGGTGCATGACGGGCATGGAGGGCCCGCCTTTGTTGTGGAGGACAGCAGAGCACAGACACACAGGGACTCATATAAGGAATATTCTGTACCTCCAGGGATGTGGAAGATAAGCCTGAACCATCCAAGGCTTTACTCTCTGTTACAAGACTCCTGGTGAGGATGTTTGAACATCCAGAGACAGATATTATGTTTTTCTCTTAGATCAAACTTCGAACCAGCTGCTGGAACAGGAAACCCTATAAACAATGACAATAATGCAAAGTCTAAAACATTTAATGCCCAAACAGAGTAAAAACTCACAGAAGTCACTGTGCCGTCGCTGCCTGTGGTAGGTAGAGGCACTACGCTGGGTCTTGCTGTGTGAGGAGGAGGTGGAGGAGGAGGAGGAGCCAGTGGCTGAGGAGTGCTTGTTGGTCCCATTGGTGATGGGGCTGGGTCGCACCCTCGCCAGGGACAGGCTACTGGCTGAGCGGGCGTCACTGCCCTCCTGTAATGACATATTCAGAGCTCAATATGATGTTTGAAGAGTAGAAATCACTGAACAGAGGCTGATCCAAGGGCACATATTTCCAGGTAGATGGTGATGTATAACCAGATACTGCTGCAACTCCTAGGACTTCAAGCCTCTATACATGGGGTGAGCCAAACTGGTACCCTAGTTTCACCTTTTTTATAGATATATGTGCTGTTTTGTCCCTTGCTAAAAATAATTTGACAAAGATATATTCAATAAAGAGGGATGACCAAGAGTGTGTTTGTTTGTGTCTAAGTTTAGTTTCAGAAAAGCCTGCCAGCCCTCAGGATGAGTAATTGTGCATATCTAAGTGGAGATGAATAAAAAGACAGCCTGCTATTTCATTCATTGCCAACGCTTTTGGATGGTAAGTAGAGGCAAAGTTGTGTTGGATAGAAAAATCTTTATATGGCATTTTTTTAAATTGTCGGTGTGAACTAAATTCGGAGAAAAATTTCCAGGAGTCTGATCAGTCAAAGTGAAGCCAAGTGTAAAGCACTACATTAAGCATACTTTACTCAAGGTGTAGACTTCTGAAAAAAAAAAAAAAAGATTTAAATAGCCAGTCATACCTGCAAAAAAGCTAAGAGCACATTCCCGTGGCAAAATACAAGAAGATAATAATAAAACTGTATGACCACTTGGCCAATCACAGGAGCAATAGCTCTGTAACCTTTTGAATCTTTGCACAAAAGAGCTGTGGAAATATCAGACAAGAAACCCTTTTAATAGCATCATTGTAACATCCTCCAAAAGTGTCAGCTGACAGCATGGCTCAAGACAAACCAGAATTGTGATCATATCGAACCTTTTAATTAACATGTGCACACGTACACCGATCTATGTATTCAACTTTAGAGCAATACATGAAATGCATGTGAGCACCAATGCTCACATGCATGCAGATGACAATTTTCTCAACTAATCCACTCAATCATGTTAAAAATCATTCACTCGAAGCGAACAGTGATACACTTTATGGAAGGAAGTCTTAAATTCAAGAAATCATTAACAACGCTGAAGTGGGCAGCACATCTCAAGTCCTGGCCGTCTACGGTGTGTCCACATGGTGAGTCAGTCCTGGTTAGTCGGTTGAACTGTTGACATGGACAGGCTAGCTTTGTGCAATGCTCAGTGATGTCATTTTTGTAAGTTTAGCATCAAACAAATGTTACCTTTTGTCTGAGTTTTGCCTCTGTGTTTTCACATCATGTAAACTTGTGGCACATATTTTCAAATATAGGAGCTGTAATCCTAAATAAAAGATGACCACAAATAAATCCCTAAATGAGCACAACTCATTTAGCAGCAGGAGAATTATGAATTGATTTAAATTGAGACTTGATTTTGAATCAAATCTTTGTATGGAGACATGAAATTAGATTAAATCCTGAGAAATATAAAAGATTGAGGAATAAAACTCCCAGAGAAAAGAAGGAGTTATGAAACTGGATCCAAAGTGAAAGATCAAGTCAGTTTGATAGTTTTTCTGCACATGACTGTGTAGAGAAGTGCAATGGAACTCACGTCTCCTTTGCGACCCAGCAGTAAGTAGGTGGCTGTGACCTCGTTGTACTTCTGATTGAGCAGAGAGTCCTTGATTTCCTCTGGAGTGAAGCCCATCCCCACCATCACCTCTGAGGAGCACAGGCAGACAAGTGTGACAGGTGAGAGGGGACTTAGACAGGTGTGTATCATCATCCTGAATTAAAGCAGAGGCTCCTTTGACTTACCGATACGAGCTGGATCGCTGTAGTCCTCCACAGGCTCTATGTGGGGCTTCAGGTCTTCCCCCTCGTACCCTGCATTGATCCACTTATCCTTCATCACTTGCTGTTGAGACAGAAACACAGAAAAGAGTCAGCTGTGCTGAATTTCAGCAGGTGAGTACAATAATGCTGGATGTTCACTTTGTTCATCACTTGTCACCTCCAGGGTGCAGCGCTTGGTGGGGTTAAGCACGAGGAACCTGCGGAGGATCCCCTCACAGTCTGTGGACATGTAGAAAGGGACGCGGTACTTCCCCCTCAGCACGCGCTCCCTCAGCTCCTGTTGGCCACAACACACATCACATTACTACACAAAGAAGATCCCATAGTGTGCGAGTGTGGTGGTGCATCCACACAGTGAGGCATGGAGACATTTTTTTCAAATTACCTGCATCTTCACAGGGACAGGGACACATTTATGAGACTTTTTTTTTTCATTTTAGCCTTTATTGATAGGAGAGTGCGGAAATATGGGGAGATAGTGAGAGAGGGGGGAGGACATGCAGCACATGGTCGGGACGGCCTTGAACCCGCAACTGCTGTGGATGCGCTAACCCGCTAAGCCATCTGCATGGCCCTAATAAGACATTGTTTTGTTGAGTGTGAAAGCAGAGACCCCTGCATACAGGTGTCAAGACTCTGACTACCGTTAGCCAGTTAGCCCACCACAAAATGACTCATGGGTCGACTTGAAACAGCAAGGACATCAAAAGCCTCCAGATCAGCATATCTGCAAAGTGTCTTACAAAAAAGATACAAAGAAAGTTAAAACCTTGTGAGAGCAGGTTTTTTTTTACTGCTCTTCTGTGTTTGATACTGTCAGCAAACTCTGACAACAGTAAGTAACGGTATGAGTGCAGCTTGTAGAGGCAAAGGTTATGCAAAGACAAATTCTCCTGAAACCAACGAGTCTGACAAAATTCTATGAACTAAACCAGTTTTTTAACTAACAGATGTTGTGAAGCCCTGTGATGTTGTTGCAACTGGCTAATTATTCAATGGAGGCAGTTCACTGGCCCTAATGTGAGCCTTTGTTACTACTAGCAAACTACTACTTGTGTGATGAGTCAGTCCTCTTTGAAATGAACTGCTTCAGGGTTTGATTGAAATCAAGTTGAGATATCGTCTTCTAGGGGGATCTGTGCTTACTTGTTTTGTTTTGCTACAGAGTGAGATTGCAATTTTTACCAAGTGCAAACGATCTGAGCATTAAAAAAACACCGGCAGAAATAATACACCTCAGTCACGTCAAAAACTATTCAATTTTTTAAACAGAAAACCTGATGTATATCACCAGCAGGCAAATCCAACCATTGTTAGTGTGTCATATAACGTGCTCTGCCTCACACAAAGCCGCACACAAAATTGCCTAGGGCATTAAAAATAACCTCTCTACTGACAAAGGGATTGTAAATTATACTCAGATTTTCTAAAGGGAAGAAAAAAAAAACTGACAAATTAATCTGTCTATGTGACAAAAAGTTGTTCATGTTGCTCCTTTAAAACTCCAACAGATTGAATATGCTGTTGGAGTTTTCTGTAATTTGGACATTTATCATGAATTCAAACCTTTAAATCTCTCATGTAACAGCACAGCATTATATAGTAAATGAGTGAAAAATATCACAGACTATGTTTTGATAAATTTAAACAAGGGAGTGTTTTATAGCAAAGTGATGTGATTCTTTAGAAGGTTTTTTTTTTTTTTTTTTTTTTTAATAAAAAAAAGCACACAGTGCAATACTTAATGGACTGTCACTTGCTCCAGTCTCCTGACCACTAAAATCACATTCACCCATTCACACCACATACGCTCTGTGATGGCAGAGGCTGCATCTTTGCCATTAAGGTGCATTAAAAACAACCCCCCCCCCCCATCTGCAGGCTGTCTGCTGTGCTGATGAGAGGGGTTAAACACACACTAGTCTCCTCCCTTTGGAGCTTTAGAGGGCATTCATTGCCATCTGCTGGATTTTGGATAGGTTCTGCATTAGAGTACAACATCATTTCAGAAGTTAAAAACAGAGGCAGCACACAAGAATTAACTCTACAGTTATATGTTAATGCTTTAATCTTAGAGAGGGAACAAAAACACACACACACACACACACACACACACACACACACACACACACACACACACACACACACACACACACACACACACACACACACACACACACACACACACACACACGAAAGACCAGGAACTGCTTCTCTGTTTTACACATTGTGAACTTTCCCAAAGAGACAGACCGCTATGAGTTTTTCAAATCTAATCTGATTATCTATTTTAGAGGAAAAACTCACCAAATACACAGATTACATTTTCAGCAGGAATAAAAATGTGGATGTTACACTAATATGATTTAAAAAGACAAGACAAGTTTGCCTTTCTACAACAAAAACTCTAACTACTGTACTTGGAAACAAATCACTCAGCTGTCATCTTCTGCAGCGTGTGCTACAGAGAGTACTGGGGATAATACATAGTTTAGAGTCCACTTTTTACAACAACCTCTCTGACTTGATTTCTGCAGGAAACATTGAGATTAAAAAACAAAACACAATGATAATTCTGATATGAGATATTTGTGATTATCCTGCACTGGCTGGTGATGTATTTCAAACATCAATGACTGCGGACCTGGATTTTTTTGCATAATAATAACATAATAATATAATAAATATATAAATATATAACATAATAATAAAATAAATAAAAACATAATAATTCTCTAATATCAGTAACCAACAGGAGGTCGGCGAGTATGCAAACACACTGAGAGAAAGCTGTATGAAAAGGATGATCCACATTAGCAGTGACCTTGACTGTCATGTCAGGACCTGGGACATCAGTAAGCTACCATACTGACCCAAAAATCAAACTCTTTTTAATCTCGACATACAACTGAAAACACAGTGGGATCACCTTATATTCAGGGTTTAGTAATTCATCTCCTGACACAGTCACATATGTGGATTATTGTTGCGTTGACAATATTAGCTCTAACAATACAATGAAAATACAGCAGCCTACTGTGAAACCTTCACCAGCAGCTTTCAGGGGATAAACTTTGTGTGTGTTTTTGCAACAGTCAGAGTTTTTCTATTCTACTAAAAAATCTGTGTATTTTCAGACTGTCCGAATCCCATCACTGAAAAACAAAGGTAATCTGTGTTTATTCAAGTATTTATTTCACGTTCATGCTGACTGTGCTCAATTAAGACTGACATCTTCTTTTGGTTTGCTGACCAATCAGAAGCTGTAACTGCAATCAGCTGACCTGACACGGTTCAGTGAGAGGTCAGTGCAGCTTGAGACAGACGTCACAGTCTGCTCAGAGCACAAAAATACACAAGATAGTAGGGACAGACTGATGAACAGGCGGACGTTTGACGGTCATTCACCGATACCACCATCATCTTTTCTAAATGAGAACACATCTGTCCCATCACCCATTAACAGCAAACCCAAAACAGTCATTATCACTAATAAACACAGTCATTATGCTAATATTCAGTACTGACAGAAGAATCAGCGATGTTGACCACAACCAATCATCAACATCTGTCCACAAATTAATTAATCAAAACAAAATTTTAATTTTTAATTTTAACTTTAATATTATCACATCTGAGCCGTGATCATTTTATGTCATAATACTGTAACAACTTAATTTGAAGACATTTAAATCTTTTTTTAAAGATGTCAATAACATTTGTGTTGTTGTTTTATTCAATGAGTCTGTTTGAATAATATTTCTAGTCATAACTACCCTCTATAAAAAAAAAAAAAGATTTGGCCTTTACAAAGTCTTTTTAACTTCAGCTCTACTTTACTCATACAGCAGTTTTGATGTATAGAGGTATGCAGTCCAGAGAGATTCACTATGAAAGGAAGTTAAAAAAGGGAATCTAACAGAAATATAAAAAAAAAATAAAGGATTTTGAAAATAAAAGATGTAAACAAAAGATTTACGGTAAAAGGAAATAGAATAAATATTAATCAACAGAGTAAATTCAGAAGAAAGTCTATTTAAATAAGTAAAAGTTATAAAAACAAAATTGCTTTTGGAGATCTGTTGGAAGAAAAAATCCATAAAAATGTTGGCCACATCAAAATCACCCCTAAAGGCCTACTCTGATGAAAATCATGTTTTTCTTGCTGTCTGCATGTTCACATGACATTTCTCTGATGCTACAGGACATATCATGAGAAAAATATATGTGAAATTGTGTTTATGAGTATTCCTGCATTCAAATTGCTGTGAATCTTTCACAGATCCAAACGGGAGGTTCAGACAGTGAGATTTCCTACGTAACAAATCCAAGCTCCGCCCCCAGAGCCCCACTATGCAGACCAGACTCGGAAAAGTAGAGAGGACAATCACAGAAAAAGCTTGTGCGTTAGCGGATTTCAGTGCTCTTAAGAAAGATAATTATGATATTAACCTTCATCATGGCCCCAAAGACATTAGTGTCTCAGAGCTGAATAGCTCCTATGTTACCTGTTACTTCTACTACACCAGCAATGTTACACTACCAGCTAGTGTGAAGAGGCGTGTGCAGAGCACTGCTGTCTCCGCCCACGACTCAGAGGTGAATTGCGAATGAGCAACCGGAGCTCTGCAGAAGAGAAGTCCTTGAAAATGACACAGGTAACACGATTTTGGCTAAAAACTTCATAATCACAGTTTAAAGACCACTGAGGACACTTTCAGAAGAAAAATAAACGATTGGAGTGGGACTTTAAGCAACAGCTAGATTAAAAAGATCAGTCTTCAATTTCACTTTAAAAACAGAGAGCTTTTCCTTCATATTGAAAACCAGGGTGGTCTTATATTGAGGTCAATACAGTGTCTAAAATTCCACTGAAATTATCAACACACACTCATCCTGAAGGGGCTTTACACACTGTGTCTGCTTCACATTTTCACACAGAACTCAGATTTTCTGCTCAGGACAAACGTGTCTGACTTAAACATCAGAACCAACAACTACCTGCTCATGACGACTGCATCTTTGTTAATAATGAAATAAGTTAACACTGACCACACTTAGCTGAGTGAGTTGAAGGAGTAGTGGCTACATATCATATGATCCACATCTGTGCACTCTCTCTCTCACACACACACACACACACACACACACACACACACACACACACACACACACACACACACACACACACACACACACACACACACACTGTAACAGGTTGATTATACAGGCAATTAAAGGGCTAAGACGTTCAAATGCCAGAGATTTATGAATTTGTTTTACATTGAATCCATGTCCTTAAATAAATGACATTTTTGAGTATTTTAAAACAGCGAAGCGACATGAAATAAATCTGTTCATTTAACTACAAGTTTATGGCAGAAGAACAGTCTCAGCCCAGACCTGTACCTGAGTCTGTTTACATGTGAGCCTTAAAACCATGAAATATCCTTCGGCAGTATGTACTGTGGGAATATTGTACTGAATAATGTCTCAGCTGTTAAGGTGATAAAATCTACAGGGAATAAACACCTTTTTATAACTGTTTCGTCTCTCCACTGATAATCACTGAAAAGTTTCTCTATTGTAAGGTTTTCTGCCCCCAGAAAACATGAGGGGTCACTTAGCGTTTTCCTGCTGAGTTTATGACCTGAGAGAAAAGGTTTTTCAGCAGACATCAGTTTTTGAAGGAAGTTTTCCCTCATTATTTTTTTGAGTCATTATTCCTTTTCATACATAAAAAGTCTAGAACAATCATGCTGTCTGAGGAATATCCTCAGTCTGCAATGTCTGGACTAAAGTTTACAAATTGTTGTTGCAGACAACAACAACAACAAAAAAAAAAAAAACTGGAAAAAAAAAAGACGATGATGACTTAAACTTTTTATGTTGTTTTGAAGCTCCTGTAAGTAACTGTAGTTTAATTTGATTTGTCCCTCCCCGTGTATGTGTTAAAAACAAAGCCACCCTGCTGTTCATGCACAGTAAAATGAATTGCTGGCTTGTGAATCAAAAAGCAAACAATTTGACTCTGAGTCTGACAGTTTCAGATATATCAACAATGAAGAAAGTTTTTTCTATCTTGATGTTGATGAGACTGTTGCCTTTAAAGGTCATGAAGAGGCATCAGAGTCAATCTGAGTCCATTTAATGACCAGATAAAAACTCCTTAAAGGAGCTTTAAGGTCTTTAAGTCAGTGAATGAATCACCTGTAAGAGTGGACAACATAAGTTAAGATTTTTATCTTATTTTTATTTTATATTTTTTGCTCTTTGCGATGACAGTCTTATATTGCAGCATGAGAGCATGTGAATAAATATTCACTCCCAATGAGCCCTTTATTCTCCCTCTGAAGCAGAGATTTGACTCATGTCTGTGCCTGAGAACAGAGAAAGATAATTTAATAACTACTGTGTGTTCAAGCTCAGTACTTAGTTTTGCAGTACGTAGTTTTTTCACTGAATCTCTATGATCTGAGTTTTTTTCACTCCTGTTTCCCTTAGTTACTGCTGAAAAACATGCCGTTTCCTGAGGTGGGGGTTTCAGAGTAAAGGCATTTTAACATCAAAACACTTACAGACTTTTGTTGGAAAGAGTTTGTCTATGATTTAGTGATGATTGTGGGGAGAGTCAGGCGCTGCTTTGATTACAGGACGCCTCGCCTCTTCTTATTAGACCGACCAAGTCATCAGTTAAAAACACTTTGAAGCAGGTGGACCTGTTTTCACAGATCCATCCTGGAGGCGGTGTTACTTGCAGACATCAAACTTGCAGAAAAAAGAGCTCTAGCTTACCTGGTTGCTGTGTGCTGATGCATTTTCATTATTAACACTGACACCCACTTTAACTCGAGAAGTAGGAGGCAGAGCTCTCTGATGAGTCTGCCTCCTACTCTAAATGCAGTCCAGATGTTGTCAGTCACATATCAACCCATTACATGACATTTTTTTCCCACATTAGTGTTGGGGAAGTCAATCTCAGTCATGTGAGGTTCAATCATTGCATAATGTACAAACTGCGTGTTCAAGATGGTGGTGACCGTGCTGCAAAGTCCATGTTGTGACAGCCTGTAACACCAGTAATCAAACTGGTGCACCGCCCTTCACTAACCACCAATATCTACAGTATATTTTCACATGCTCCAGAGTGCAGTAACCATTTTATGTTCAGTTTGATAATATAATTAGATTTTCCTGTCTGTGCAGCTCTGCTACATCTCATCTGGTAAGAGTGCAGCATAAACTGAAAGTACATCACTACAGTCTGAATCTATTACACTGACAGAACAAGTAACCAGTTACTGTGCATTTTACCAGGTAGATGGCTTCCCAGGAATACAGGGCATTTCTTTAAAGAATCTGATGCAAAGAAGTGACGATCAAGATATTTATCAGGTAAGATTAGGATTTGAGTTGTTTTTTGGTTGAGAACACAGGTGTGGAAAGAGGTTGACATACAAGTTGTGCACTCTTAAATCTTTGTTTCCTTACATCATAAAAATGAAAACTCAATCTTCTCCCATCCGGAGACACATTATCTCTCCGTCTCTCTCTCGCTCTCTCTCTCTCTCACACACACACACACACACACTCCTCATCCACTTGCCTTCAGGTTCTGTCCATCAAACGGCAGCGACCCGCTGACCAGCGTGTAGAGAATCACTCCCAGACTCCAGACGTCCACCTCAGGCCCGTCGTATTTTTTGCCCTGGAAAAGCTCGGGGGCAGCGTAGGGCGGTGAGCCACAGAACGTGTCCAGCTTGTTGCCCAGCGTGAACTCATTGCTGAAGCCGAAGTCGGCGATCTTGATATTGGCGTCAGCGTCCAGCAGAAGGTTCTCGGCCTGAGTCACACATACATTAAAGCAGAGAGAGAGGAGGTAGAGGAGGAGGAGGAGGAGGGGATGGATGCCAGAGAGAGGGTCAAAGTTACAGAACAAGAGGTTAAAGGGGGGAACAGTGGGAGAGAATAGTTGGATGAGGAGGATAAAGAGGAATGAGAAAGTGGGTGAGCACGGGAATGTGAGTTGTGATGAAGAAAAGAGAAAAAAAACAGAGCATGAATGAGCGACAGATGGGGAGGGGGATGGAGCTTGTGTGATGTCCAACAAAACAGATCCTGGACATGAGTCACACTGTACGTATTTATATATATATATTTGTCACTGTGTGTGTTTGGAGTAAAATAATAATCTACTCAAACAGGAGCAGGCTCATCCTGCACTGTAAAAAGCAGCATTTCGACTCTTCACTGCAATTAAGATGCTGAAGGACCTTTTTCACAGACACAGATTAAGACTAGTCCCAGATTATAAATTTCTCTTTCACTGTAATCTGCCAGTGAAAGAAACGTCCCAGTCTTGGACTCGCCTTAATCCGACGTATGTGAGAGCGCACTAAAACATCCCTGAATCGTCTCACCTTCAGATCTCTGTGGACGATGTTCTTCGTGTGGCAGTAGTGGACAGCAGACACGATCTGTGGAAAACAGTAAATAGGTTTCAAATAGAGACAAATACATGTGAGAATATTTGAGAAAAGCCAACATCAGGAAGTGTTTTTGTTATACCTGTCGAAATTTGGCTCGGGCTTCCACCTCCTTCATTCTCCCATGAGACACGAGGTAGTCGAACACTTCACCTGTGAGCGTGTGCAGAAGCAGATCAGTCCCATGATCAAAGCAGACAAATTAAAACAAAATAAGTTTTAGTTAAAAATTTAAAATGCTGATGTGCAAACCAGCAGGTGAAATGATGATCACAACCCTCGGACATGTGGTCAGAAATGATAACGGACCTTTACTTTTAGAGGAACTTCATTTGTATGATTATAAAGCTGAACATAAGAGTTTAACTTGCTGTTGAGTATTTTCATAGTGTGGTGTTGATTGTAGATAATCTTAACTTTTTAACATTTTATCAGAACTGTGAGGAAATATGTTTATTTCCCTGCATCTGACTCCTGGAATAAATCACATTAACAGTAATATCTTTAAACCATCTTTATCACATACCTGTCTTGTCTATTTTAATCATTTTACGCCTTGTAATCAAACATATTCCCCTTTTGAAAATCCTTTCTCTGTTTTTTTTATAGTTTGCTTCGGTTTTTTTTTATTTGAATGCTTCTGTAAATGACTCAGTATTAAAATAAATGAGGGATGCCACTCCTTGTATGGATGAAGGTTGAATAATTGAGTATAATTGAAGATGGAAGCTCGTAAAACAGTGTTTTGGTCCTCATCTTTACAACTGGGAAGACTTGGGTCTAGTCCACATGTAGGAGGGTCATCTTGAAAACCTTTTTTTTGTGTGGATGTGTGTGTGTTCAAACACTAAAAGCAGAGGTTTTTAGAAACACTTAGCAGGGTAAACTCTGTTTTCTGTGAGTTTGTGTGAACAGAAAACAAAAGCCTCATTAACTCCGTTTGCACATGGCAGATGTCGTCTTGCTCATGTGCAAAGATGGTGAGATTCTGGTTTGTTTAGATCTGCCTGGAACCTTTAAGTTTTAATTGCATCTTACTATGACTACAAGTTGAATAAATATAAACACTCAAAAGTTATTTTTAACTTAATGCTCGGTACACAATTTAAGAAACATTGTTTGCAGTCGTTGCTTGCTCAGGAGGACGTGTCAACAGCGCACAATGTTGACGTGGCAGACTGATTTACATCATCACCACCTGCTGGCTACTGGTCTGGCATGATCATAGATAATATGATAAGTAGAAAGTATTTTGTTTCCTTTGTTGTTTTTTTCCCCACAGTTGCACAAATGTCAAAATAATCCTCCAAGCATGAAAAAGATTTTTTTTTGCTGGTCTCACAGCCTTGCTGGAGAAATTGTGCAGAGCACAATGTTGACCACACCCACATCTTCTGATGCAGTAAGAAAATAACTAAATACTGGGGAGAAGTAGGCAAAGGAATGAGAACAAGACTAGGATACAAGCTTCCCATTACCTTCGAGGTAATGTACCGGGGTAATCTAACGCAGAAAAACATACAAATTAAAGACAGATACTTGATTGAAATACTACTTGCAGCAGCAAGGCCATTACAAGAAATTGGTGTAAGGATAACCCACCCAATCAGAAAACCTGTCTGAACCAAGTGGAGAAATTTACACACGTTCAACGACTCCAACAAGAAACAAACCCCAGAAAGTGGGGAAAATGGAACAAATAGGGCTGGGACGATATGCTTTTCTCCCGATTCGATTCTTCTACGATTTTTTGGATGCAGATTCGGCTTTAATTTCAATTCTACAATATTGTCGATTTTCTCGATCTTTAGTCTGCATTTTTAAACACAACTGAATGATTATGATTGTCTACTGACTATTCCAGGAACCATATTTCCCCAAAAATACCCATCACATGTAAGTAAGTTTTTAACCACTTGGACCCTAAACTATTTCAGGGTTATTTCAGCCTGTGGCAGTTGTTATTATGATTACAACATCAAAACACGCTGAAAAGTTTTTTGTCTGTTGCTCTCTGCTTCTTGTTGTTTCCTGCTGCACTCTAACATCACCAGTTTCTCGTGGATGAACTCGCTGCTCCGTGCGTCCCGTGCACTGACTGTGTGGTCCTGTACGTTAGCGATTAGCATCGCCCTAGCTACTTGGCTTTGAGCTGCAGCGCTGCGCAGGCTTGTATCTCAGCCAATTGGTGGAGATTACCTGCATCAACCCCTCGTCTAAGAGCCTTACATTTGCAGAATGAATCGACTACAGACAAACCTGAATTGATTCATCCAATCACTGTCTACGGATGGGAGAATCACTGTCTCGAAACCGAGAAGTCAATCCGAGAAATACTGCTGGAGAGTCGTGCATGCGGCGAAGACAATCTGGCACTGAATGAGGGACACAAAGTGTCTTAAATACTGGCTGGCTAATCAGCAGGGAGGAGCTGCAGCTTGACATTCACAGGTGTGGAGAATCAGCACTGATGAGGAGGTGTGGCAGGGAGGTGAGTGAAAATCAGCCTGGGAAACAAAGCAGAGTGTGACAGAACCCCTTCTTCACGGACGGCACCCGACGTCCAAAAGCACCCACCCAGCCGGGGTGGGCGGGGGGAAACACAACGGCAGGAGGTGGCCTAAAACTCCTCTGAACCTGACCAGTCCATGTCCTTCATGGGCAATTCAGCAGGATCAGAATGGGTGGAGCTCTCATCACCTGAACGATCCCCCTCAGGAGAGGCTAGTAAAACCGAGGTGCAGGCTGTTGAATGAGGATCCCTTGGTGGATTAGAAGGGTTGGAGGACTGGGAAGGATACTGATGATGGAAGTCAACAATGAGGTCTGGGTCGAGGATGTGGCGAGAAGGGACCCAGGACCTCTCCTCTGGACTGTAGCCCTCCCAGTCGACAAGGTACTGGAGACCCCTGCCACGACGACGGGACCGAACCAGAGGCCTAATTGAGTAGGTAAAGCCCCCATCAATAAAGCGAGGAGGAGGAGGAGGTGGGACCACAGGCGAAAGAGGACTCTCATGAACTGGCTTGATCCTGGAGACATGGAAGGTCAGATGAACTTGCATGGTGCGTGGGAGCTTCAGTCTCACTGCTGTAGGGCTGATGATCCGCTCGATAGCAAATGGGCTGACGAACTTAGGGGCCAACTTTTTCGACTCCACCCTGAGAGGCAAGTCCCTAGCAGAGAGCCACACCTTCTGGCCCACCTGGTAATCAGGAGCTGGGGAATGTCACTGGTTGGCTGTGACGGCGTAGCGACCCACGGGGCGCTGGATGGTGGAGTGACCTCTGTCCCAGGTCCGACGGCAGCGGTGAACAAAGGCTTGGACAGATGGGCAGGTAACCTTTTTTTCTTGAGCAGGGAAAAGTGGAGGCTGGTAACCATATACACACTGGAAGGGAGAGAGGACTGTGAAAGAGCTGGTGAGAGAATTATGGGCATACTCCACCCACAAGAGTTGTTGAGACCAGGAGGATGGGTTCTGGGATACCAGGAAGCGCAGAGCCGTCTCCATCTCCTGATTCATGCGCTTCATCTGCCCGTTGGACTAGGGGTGGAACCCAGAGGAAAGAATGGCTGTGGCTCCCATCAGGCTGCAGAACTCTCTCCAGAAGACAGAGGCGAATTGGGGGCCCCGGTCAGACACCACATCTACTGGGAGACTATGCAGGCGGAAGACATGGAACAGAGCTAGCTTGGCAGTCTCCTTAGCAGACAGCAGCTTGGGGATAGGGGCGAAGTGGGCCATCTTGCTAAAGTGGTCAACCACGGTGAGGATGACTGTGTTGCCATCAGAGGGAGGGTGACCGGTGACGAAGTCTAGGGAGATATGGGACCAGGGTCAATGTGGTATTGGGAGTGGCTGAAGGAATCCTGCAGTGGCAGGCCAAAAGACCTACGGGAGGTCTTTTGCTGGTTACACGTGGGACAAGCCTTGATGAAGTTGCGGGTATCTACCTTCAGGGTGGGCCACCAGAAGAGCTGAAGTAGAAAATCCTGTGTACGCTGGGAGCCTGGGTGACAGGTAAGCTTGGAGGAGTGGGCCCACTGCAGAACATCTGACCTCAGTGCTTCAGGAACATAGAGGCAGTCTAGGGGACAGGCGCTGGGACCTGGCTGTCCCTTGTTGGCGGTTCTCACCCTTTCCTCTATGTTCCAGGACAGAGTGGCGACAACACAGGAGGGGGGAAGGATGGTAACAGGAGTTTCGGCAATGCCCTCTTCCCTCTGGAACAGGGCGTCTGCCTTGGTGTTGCGAGAACCAGGGCGGTAGGAGAGGATAAAGTTGAATATTGTAAAGAACAGAGACTAGCGGGCCTGACGGATATTAAGTCTCTTGGCTGTGCGAAGGTACTCGAGGTTCCTATGATGAGTGAAAATAAAAAATGGCTCCTTTGTGCCCTCCAGCCAGTGCCGCCACTCCTCTAGGGCCTCCTTTACTGCTAGTAGTTCTCTGTTGCCAATGTCATAATTTTTCTCTGTCGAAGACAAGCGTCTTGAAAAAAAGGCACAGGGGTGGAGCTTCTGGTCAGCAGCTGATCTTTGGGAGAGGACAGCTCCGACCCCCACATCCGAGGCATCCACCTCCACCACGAATTGCTGATCGGGATCTGGTAATTGAAGGATGGGTGCTGAGGTAAACTTGGATTTCAGGTTCTTGTAAGCCTCATCAGCAGCAGGATTCCATTGGTATGGCACCTTGGAGCTGGTTAGGGCGGTGCGGGGAGCAGCAACAAAACTGTAATTGCGGATGAAACGGTGGTATAAGTTGGCAAAACCGAGGAAATGCTGCAACTGTTTGCAGGAGTCAGGAACAGGCCAGGAAGGGTAGCGGTTCTTTATGGTGATGTCATTCAGTCCTTGGTAATCAATGCAAGGCCTCAAAGTAGTATCCTTCTTCTCAACAAAGAAGAAGCCTGCCCCAGCAGGAGAGGAAGAGGGACGGATGATGCCTGCTGCCAGAGAGTCTTTGATATAAAATTCCATGGCTTCTTTTTCAGGTGCTGACAGGGAGTAAAGGTGATCCTTGGGCGGAGATGTGCCAGGCAGGAGGTCAATAGCCCATACCCTTTTCACGGACAGCTCCCGTCTCCCAGTCGATGTTGGGGTTGTGCCGACGAAGCCAGGGGTAACCCAGAATGAGAGGCTGATGAGGAGTCTTCAGGATGTGGAACTGGATCTCCTCATGATGGTTGCCACAAAGCAACATTGGAACCCACTGACTGTCTGGTGTGTGACAGTCCCCAGAATATGTCCGTCGAGAGTCCGAGCAAGAATAGGACGGGGCAAAGGAACCCGCTCTAGCCCCAACTGCTGAACCAACCCCTTGTCGATAATACAGGCATCACCCCCAGAGTCTATGAGTGTGAGCAGGAACTGAGAGCTACCAGGAAGGAGCAACCGGGCTTGGAGCTGAGGTCTCTGTGGTTGAGGGGAGGGCACAATCATAGGACTTACCAGTATCTCCCCAACTACTGGTGAGCCTTGGCTTTTACTGGACAGGTGAACTTGAAGTGACCTGCCTGACTACAGTACATGCAGAAGTTAGCTCGTCTGCGTCGCTCTCGTTCCTCCGGAGTGAGGGAAGCACGGCCCAGTTGCATGGGCTCGGGTTCTTCCAACAGCTGAACTGATGAAAATGTGGAGTTGTGGGCATGCCCTCTGGACTGGATGGGAGGATGATGAAAGGACGCCTGGCGTTTCTCTTGTCGGCGAGCCTGAACGCGGTGATTGATCCGAATGGCTAGCTCTATTACTCCATCCAGTGTCGAGGGCACATCATGGGAGACCAGTTCATCCTTGATGTATTCAGCCAAGCCATGGAGAAAGGCGTCCACCAGGGCAGCTGAATTCCAGCTGCTGAGACTGGCTCTGGTGCGGAAGTCAATTGAACAGTCTGCCACAGTGTGTTCCCCCTGTCGCAGCCCCATGAGGCCTTGAGCAGTCTCTGATCTGGAAAAACCCAGGCCGAAAACTTTGCGTAGCTCCTGAGCAAAACTCTGGAATGAAGAGCAGGCTTCTGATTGTCTCTCCCATTCAGCAGTTCCCCACAGACGAGCTCTGCCTGTGAGGTGGTTAATTGTAAAAGCGACCTTTGCCTGCTATGAGGCAAAGGTACAGGGCTGAAGGGAAAACAGCAATGAACAGTTTGTTAGGAAGGGGCCACAAGTCTCTGGACTGCCATCATAACGTTTTGGGACTCCCACACGGGGCTCAGGAGCATCGCAGGACAGAGGAGCAGCTGGAGCTGGAGCTGGGGCTGGAGCTAGAGCTGGAACTGGAGCTGGAGTTGCCGGCGAGGACTAGGTAGCAGCTGAAGAGGTGATGAAATCCATTAATTGTTATAATTTGGAAGCTAACACCGAGAGAGTCTGCTCATTAGCCTGGGCTGCCTGTCTGGCTTCTGAGGCAGCAGCAGACAACATAGTCTCATGCTGCTGCAAAAACGATTTCAATCCTGGTCAGACGGTCCAAGGATGACCGTCACTCACAGGGAGGTAATGTCGAATCCTAGCAGACAATCAGCGGGGCAGACTAATTTGAGAGGAAGCAGACGGAGGGTTAGTCATGGACAGGCAGTAGGTCGGGAAGCCGGAAACACAGCAAAACCTGAAGCACTCACAGGAGCGGAAAAACTTGACAAGGGATCCAAGGGCTGAGACGAGAAGACGTGGTCAGATACAAGCAGGATCGATACCGAGAAGTCAATCCGAGAAATACTGCTGGAGAGTCGTGCATGCTGCGAAGACAATCTGGCACTGAATGAGGGACACAGAGTGGCTTAAATGCTGGCTGGCTAATCAGCAGGGAGGAGCTGCAGCTTGACATTCACAGGTGTGGGGAATCAGTGCTGATGAGGAGGTGTGGCAGGGAGGTGAGTGAGAATCAGCCCGGGAAACACAGCAGAGTGTGACAGAGTGTGGTTCAATCAGAAGGAAATATTTGTTGCGTTGAAAGAGGAGGATGTCCTGATGTTTTGCGATATATGATAGTGGGGTGAAGTTACGTGACGGCTTCTTCAGCTTCCTCTTTTCTGCCAGAGTTGCTCATGCCCGCAATGTGAGTAAAATGTGCAGGCACTGGGCCAAGTGGTTAAGATTTATTCTTGAACTTGGAAAAAAAAAAATCTTTTTTTTAACATAAACATTGATGTAAAAACTGTAAAACAAAAAATTGCGGTCCTTATGTAAATTCATTTTTTCTCCCACCCCTAGGAACAAATGTAAATCACTTCACAACACTTAAAAAAATGGCCAATATTAATAGAGGCTACATGGACATTTTTCTTTTCTCTGACTGACACCATGTTTTTTCTGTATGACTGTATGTCTTGTTTCTGTTATGGTAAAAATGCAAATAAAATTCAAGTTTAAAAAAAAAAATAAGGCCACTTTTGTAAGACCACAATTAGGGCTAGTGGATAAAACGCTATCAATATAAAAAATTATTTCCCTCAATACCGATATAATATATGGTCAATATGCTTTATGATAGTTGGCGTTCTGCCATGTTTTGGTAGACTATACGAATAGCAAATGAAAAGGGGAGTTGCTCCGGGTCTGCTTTGCACTGAACCGATCATGTGCTGAATTAGGACCAAGTAGCCAACAACTGCATAGTAGCAGGCTGCAGCTACACGGAACCATAGCACTTCAACATGTGAAGCCGACAGCACTGTCAGTGAGAAAAAAAGAAAATGAGCGCTACCTTTGGCAGAAATGCAGATGAAGGCTCAACAGATGACAACATTGTCACAACACTGGCATGAAAACGTCGCTGATGTGGAGGTATTTTGTTTTTTTGAGGTCGGACATGAAGCAGAGTAATGTGCACTGCAAATTATGTCAAGTACATGTTCTCCCAAAGTCAGGGATTACCTCAAATCTTTTTCACCACCTGAAGCAGTGCCACATGGCAGAGCATGCGCAATGCAAAAGGTTACAAACCCCAAGCGCAGCAAGGAGCCCATGGCACCTGTGCAGCCAAAACAGATGACCATTCAGTCCGCTTTCTCTAGCGCAACGCCTTACGCCAGAACATTGAAGAAACACAAAGACCTCACCGATGCAGGAGCTTATTGTATGGCAAAAGACATGCTACCAATAAGCACTGTTATATTTCATTTTTTTAATTGTGATATTTATCGATATTGACTGATATGAAAAAAATATATGAAGAAACTTTTTTCCCATATCGCCCTAACCACAATACAGTGAAACCAGAATATTTTCTGTTAAGGTTATCAAAATCTTTTACCAGCCTAAACCTCATTGACAGACAGACACAGAAAAAGTGAGCAGACTTAGGGATACTGCAGGCTGATTCTGTGTCTGCTGCTGTTTATGTTGTGGCCCTCTGTTTTCTTTCCTTTGTTTACTTTTTTTAAACATTTCAAAGGCTCAAAGTGTTTAAACTGCTCCAGTAGACTGCCTAAGCCTGCAGCCACGAGATAGGCCATAACAGCTGAGACATGCTCCTCATAGTAGTAAAGATATGCTCAGTGAGAGTTCAACTGTATGTGAAGAAATATGGGAGAGCTTAAGCTCTGCAAGTTAAAGAAAAAGATGACTGAAGTTATTATTTCTATAAAAACTGAATCAAACACCTCACTGCTCTTCTCAAAGTTCACATACTCTACAAACAATAACAGTGAAGTTCCTCACAGACAGTGTCAATCCACTGGTAGTGCTTTTCAGGTTAATTTGTTGTATGCTATTTGTTGTACTGAATACAGAAAAAGGACAGATAATGTTTTTTTCATCGCAGTCAGGCCTGTCCTGCCTCTGTTATAAAGCTGTGAACTAAGAGTATATGTATAAAAATTTTTAAATGCACTGATTTAAAAACTCTTACCAACACACACGACAAAGACAGTAACAACAAAGGAGATTCAGGAATCATGTCACTTCCATAGTTTGTGTTTCAGAGCACTCTGAGCCCTCAGTGCCCTCAGCACTGTCTGAAGCTCCTCCAGCAGCAGCTTGTTTGTGGGGGAGCCCTGACGAGTCGATCACAGAGTGCATTGGATCGTTTACAAAGTAATAGTCTTCATAATAATCATTTTGCACTGCAGACGCGGTAGTTCTTCTGCCTTAGCATCTCAGTCTGATTGCATTTCCACAAAGTAATAATTATAAATGTTCTTTCTTGAGCTGCGAAACTCCGCTGCACTCACTGATCGACTTGTCAGGGCTCCTCCACAAACAAGCAGCTGCCGGAAGAGAGTAGGTGAGTTGTGTTTAGTCTCTTTGCTAAAGAAATTAGGCAAAGTTAAAAAGATGTTTGGTGGCTAGTACTATGGCTGGGACCCTATATGTACTGTTGATGAAGTTAGGTGCTGTTCTGAGCATTATTTGTGGCTATAGAGTGGCTTTTTGGTTGAGGTGTGCACATGGAGACGTAGACCACTGTATTACTGTCGTGTGGTCATTACTGAAGTTGGTATAACCAGAGAAGCAAGAAGTCGGAAACATGCATCTCTCAAAGGGTTGTCTAACTCGGTGTGTTTGACCATAACTTGAATTTACATCCCTTTAAATGGACTACATTGGGTGTAAGAGTTGTATTTTTATTTATAGGTCAAATATTTACTAGTATTGGCGACCATTTCTGAAGTAGTAAGTTGTTGTTAAAATGGGCATGGTCTCAAAAATTCAACAGTGGTCGCACTAAACTTTGTACATTTAGTTCTTTTAGTGAGTCATAAGAGCCAGACCAGCTGTTTTCCTGTTTTCATTTATTTAAACTAAGCTAAGCTCATTGATCTCCTGCTTTGTCTTTGCTAAATATTTTGTATACAGACATGAGATCAATTATTTCACCTCACACTGAAAAATCTGGAGTAGAGCATTATTCCCACAATGATGAATAACTTCTGTTAACTGTATTTTAAAAAATAAGAGAAAAATGATCTTGTATGTATCAAAGTTTTGACATTTTGACCCCAGCCAATGTGTTTGCATTGAAATGCTGAACTTCTCACACACATCAAAAGAACTTGTTGGAGTTAAACCACTTTTTTTCTGTGATGAGAGTAGATGAGATTTCCACTTTTTTCTTTTACAGCAATAAATTCCTCAATTTCCTAAAAAATACAATATTTACCTTGTAATTCACATTTTTAATGAGTATGAGCACAATTACTGCTCACCGTCTTGACAAAATACATAAACTCTTTCCTGCAGCTTACAGATTTTTATTCACGATGTAGATTACTGACATGTACATTTTTTTATGTGCAAAACTGTCATCTGGGAAATAATCATAGTCGACTGTGCAACAAACATTTTCACTGAGCACTACGCTTCTTGTTGATATTAGATAAATATTACATTATTATTTGTAACCTACCTTTTCTACTTTGAGTACACAATAACTTATCTACTGTATAATTAAATTAATTAATTCATGTTCCTAGGGAAAACTGAACGTTCCACAGGCTAAAGCATTTCCTAATTTTCATATGTGCTGTTCAATGACAATGAAGTCTTTGTGTTTCTTTGTACTCACCTCCACTGGCATACTCCATGACCAGGTAAAGGGTCTTATCAGTCTCTATCACCTCGAACAGCTGCACTGTAGACCAAACAGAACCAGATTAAAACCTCACAGATATAAATAACAACAATTTCTGCCCACATTAGAAATTATTGCACAGTAGTCTGCCTGTCTGTCTAAATACGAGGGGCCTGCTGCTGATGCTGTGGGGGAGTTTTGATCCATATGGTATCTAAGCTTGAGAAAATCCAACCCTGTGACCTCTATAGAAGGCCTGCAACCACAGCTCAGTCAATGAAGCCTTTACCTCTGTCTGGTCACCCTCATAGAACCAAAACACACAGACAAGCACGCATAGACACACACACTAAGACCCTCATAGGACTGGGCGATTATATGATCATGATTAATGATCATGATAAATTTCAGTTTAATCATGGTGATCAGCTGTGAGTAAGGCTTCACGATATAACGATATGTTTCGTCTAAACGATAGAAAATTTCTATCGGGATACATGAGCTCTATCGTTTCTATCGCAGTGTCGCAAAAACACGCTTTACGGCAGTGTTTTACATCGCGACGCTCCATATATTGCATGCCCGCACGCGCTACTGCCACTGTGAAAAACACAAACAAGCATGGAGGAGCCGGGTTATTGTGGCGAAAGAGATGACAATTCTCGTGCATCAAACGCAGACAAGCCAACGCAGACGGAGGAGCTGCTGCCGAAACGGGGGGCAACGTCGGTTGTGTGGTCGTGGTTTGGTTTTAAAAGGAGCGACACGGAGCAGACCGCTGTAGTTTTATTCTGAGTCAGCACATACATGTAAATCTATATCGATATACTCTGATCTATATCTGATCTGATGAGCGCGTTTGGACACTCCACCTGACCGAATTGACACAGCTGAAACCGCATTAAATTAAATATCCAGTAAACAGTTACACATGATGAAGTTAACAAGATATTTAATTCGTCTCCCCGATTATCCTCCTTCTTCCTCGCGCAGCTTGATAGGTGTTATGCCGTAGAATGCACCCCTGCATCCCATCCACTTATTTGCTTCTTAAAGTGGAAAAAAAATTATCTCATATTTAAAAAAACATGAGTATTGGATCATGACAACATGTCAAATGGAGCAGCAAACATTCGTTCTGTTTTTAGGTTTTTTTAAAAAGCACATAGAGAGGTGTATTTGCGTATTTAAACTGTACAGTAAGCTGTCATGGTAGAGAACATTATATTTTCGGGGCAGCAAATATTCCGAATCAGAGGGCTGTTGTTTTCGGCATATCTGAAAAGTCTGAATTAAATCATTAAAGGCACACGCTTTAGAATCAGTCCAACGGTAAGGAAAACTTGGATTATTCCGCCTTGTTATGTATCTTCAACCGCGCTCCCGTCAGGGGGGCATTCTACGGCAGGGGTACATTCTATGGCACTACACCTGACGTGTTTCCGTGTCCTCTCTCTATCCTGCTGCTGATGCGGTGGCACGGCTGATCAGATGATTTATTTTAATGATCAGATGAATTATTAACTTCAAGCCTACATACGAGTATTATATTTTATATTTTATATAAACTATACATCAATTGAATTTACAAAAAATGTACTATATCGTGATGTATATCGTATCGGGATATAAAATGAGCTATATCGGGATATGACCAAAATCTCATATCGTGAAGCCTTAGCTGTGAGCATATTTACTTGATCAAACATGGGGGAAATGTGTGTGACAACAGCCAATCAGAGTCGAGCTTTTCCTGCTCACTTCTATAAGTTGCCGGAGAAGTAAACAGGAAAAGTAAACAGAATGACCGAACGTGGAGCTAAATGTGGAGCTGAGGACAGCTAAATAGATGTCAGCCATGACTTTGAGTCATCCTCCAAAGACGCCATTGTTGAGAAGTAAAGTTGTGTGGCATTGGCTCAGGTATCTCCAAAGTGACGTCATGCAATAAAGCTGATGTATGCAATACGGCAAAAAAGGTATGTCTGCGGTCGCTGCCCTCAAAAACCGGCAACACAACAAATCTGTTAAATCGTTTGAAGAAGTTCTCCTGATTGATTAAGCAGAAAGCATGAAAACGCGAGCAGAGTCTGTACAGCCTGTCACTGCTGACGGCACAAGTAGCATGAGCAGTTTAGCCACAACTAGCGGTGCAGCAACCAGACCAGAGCAGCAATCAATTGTCTCATCCATGTTTACATCATTACATGTTTATATTTTAAGGCGTCTTTATTATCCCCCACATAAAGCCATTGCAGAGATTTGGACTTACCAATGTTGGGGTGATTCAAGCCTTTCATTATTCTCACCTCCCGAAAGAGCTGCAAAGACAAAAAACAAGATAATCAAATGACCTGATGATGTTAGACAAAAATGAATCTTTTCTTTAGTTTCTGGATCTGTTCTTCAAGAATAAGACAACCCTTTCAAATACATTTAGATTTCAAGGAACATAGAGTTCCTTGGAGAACGATATAGCCTTGTTTCTGACATTTGACCAATTTTTTAGGTCTTAAAAATCAAATAACTGTAAATTTACTATTTATTGAGGACTTGTCATGAAACAAAAACAGACAGGTAGCTACAAATGAAAAAAAAAAAGCCATTGAAAATATGTCAAGTTAAGTTACATAAAAATCAACAGCACAGAGACAAAGACAAATGTTTGGAAGGTTTAGACTTATTTTTTTAATACCCTTAATCCACTTTCAACAACTATGTCACAATTTTAACAGCTGAAACAACAACTGCACCAACATTTGGACAATGCCCCCTTTTTTCACCTAGAATTTAAAAAGACTTTTCTAATCATGGAAGATTTAACTCCCTAAATCTCCATTTTTTCACAGTTTTGACCAAGAAAAATAAGTCCATCATCAATCAAAACCAGCTGGTATAAAAAGATTTGGCTGCAATCTGAGGCTGTACTGCCCCCATACAGACTTCATGTGAGATGAGCAGAAATTAAAGTGGTTTCCTCAGTTAGACAGATGTATCATGAATCCTCAAATCTTTCTCTTTGCTATCATTAAATAATGCACATCATGTAGGTGCAAGGCCATGGGAATGGCATCAATGAAAAAAAATCTACGCCTGCACAGTTAAGAGACGCCAAAAAATATTCAATAACAACGTCTGATCCAACTTGGATCACTACAAGAGCTGATGAGAACATTTTGCACACCAACACTGACAAGCTCTGAGGGGGACACAGGTGGTTAACATCCAAATCATTCATACTGATCTTAGGAAAATTCAGCTAGTCACTAAAAGTATTAGAAAAATCTAGAGCATAAACTTGCAATACTAAATCCACTACAAGAGCCATACTTCATACTTCAAAGTCAGCCTGCTTTACATTTCAGACAGTTGAAAAGGTGTCTTAAAAAGGTTTTCTAAAATTCTGAGATAATTATCTAGTAATTACCCAAAACAAAGTATAATGTGAATTATGATGAATAAAATACACTTCTATACAAGACAGACAGAATAACATAGTGTAGAGCTATGATCCTAACACTGTGATACTCTGAAACTGTGATACTTTCACTTACTGTGATACTTTCAACTCGTACCTGTCTGTGCACACACGAAACAATGAAGCGAACACCTCTGCAGTTTTTCAGGACTTTAAGACCCACTCTAATGAAAATCATGTTTTTCTTGTTGTCTACATACTCATGTGACATTTTTCTAATGCTACAGGACATATCATGAGAAAAATAAGTGCGACATTGCATTTCTAAGTATTTCTGTATTCAAATCGCTTTGAATCTCTGACAGACCCAAACGGCAGGTTCAGATACAGTGAGATTTCCGACATCACAAATCCAACCTCCATCCACAAAGCCAAAGTGTGGATTGCAATGCTTGTAAGAAAGCTAATTATGATACTAGCTTTCATTGTGTCCTGAAAGACATTAGTGTCCGAGAGCTGAATAGCTCCTATGTTACCTGCCACTTCTACTACACCGGCAATGTTAGGCTGCAAGCTAGTATGAAGAGAAGCGTGGAGAGGAGTGAGCAGAGCAGCGCTGTCTCTGTCCACGACTCAGAGGCAAATTGCTAATGAGCTACTTGAGCTCTGCAAGAGAAAAGCCCTTGAATATGACACAGGTAACGTGATTTTGGCTAAAAACGTCATAATCACATTTTTAAGACCACTGTCAACATTTTAAGTGGTGAAAAAAAAGGGTCATAGTAGGACTTTAACCATCTTTGTTGGGAAATTAAGAGGACACGCCCACTATAAGACAGAGAGTGTTCCTGAGGTAACATAATTGAATAAGACTTTAATTTATCCTTCCTGTCTTTGCACATCTTTGATCAAACGTTAAATTAGGAGCGCACGATGCTGGGAATTTCGACCATTTGTTTCTGAAGACTTCATGTCTTGGAGTGAAAGCTACATTTGATGTATTTCTGCTAAGTTGTTGATTGCATAATCTTAACAGCATTTATACAGTGAGTTCAGGGAAGAGAAATACAAGCAGACAAATTCACACTTGTGTCATAAAATCTGAATTATATTGAAATATTGAATTACATTTTATTGACCAAAAGGAGAATCTGTGAAGGATAAAACCCAGTAAAAAAAGCTTGCAATAAGAAAAAAACACTACCAAATGTCCCCCACACAAATGTGTTGGGCCAAAAACAGACCAACTTCCTCCCTGTGCCCGACTACTCTCTGCGTATGACCCTCTAGAGATATATTTGTACACTTTGTCAGAGCAGAGCAGGGGATTAAATCTGAGCCAGATCCCCTGGTTTCATGTTTATAACATTCAAACACTCTAAAAAAAAAAAAGGTCTGCTTCTGAAAACCGGACACTCTTTCCTCACAGTCAACTCAGACCGCTAAAAAAAGATGGAGAGAGAGAGATTTTCTGTCCTCTTTCCTCCATCCTCCCCCTCTCTTTTTGCCTCCGACGTGTGTCTCCGCCTTCATTCATTTCCTTCTCACCGCCTGCTCCTCTAGCTGTGCCCCAACGTCACTGTTACCATAGCGACCCAGGTATTAAGACCAGGCTCTTTTCCCAGCTTCTCCAGCTGTGCCAGAGGGGGATCTTGGGATACGTAGTGCAGCTGGAGCATCTCATCACGCAGGCATCCCTGTTAATTCCCTCACAGCCAGGGCTGAGCGGTCAGATCCGTCAAAACAACAAACAATCCCCACACCGGGGTCATCGGTAGTGAATAAATAGTAATCCTGCAGCAAAGCTGATGGACGCACAACATCTGTGGAAAGAGAGCTCACTCCTGGACCGGAGTCAGACCATCCTTTTAGGATCCTCACCCAGAAAAACAAACTGGGACTATTACATACACTAAGCCATGATACAAGCTGTTTAAACTCTTGAGAGGACGAGGGAAGAAGCCCTGTCGCTTCCTTTGTTATCTCCTTTAGGAAACACAAGACCCCCCTTTATCAAAGCAAAGGCAATTTTAACCCCTGATGCCTTTTAGCAGCTATTTCTAAAAACTGATACAATTGTCAGCTGCTTTTGAAAACAAATGAACAACAAGAAAACTTAAAATCATCTACAATATAGTTTTCAAATTAAAAAAAAAAAAAACTGTTTAGGTATCATTTGATTTAAAACCCTTCATGATGTCTCTGAACCCTCTCATCAACATTACACAACCTCAAGTGCTCCCTGTTTGGGATTTTAGTCTGAAAAATACAATATGCTGAAACTCTGTCTTTGCTTAGACCAAGATATACATTTGTGCCTTTAGGATCACTTATGAGAAAAGCTGTCACAACAATCACCCTCCAATGTTGTCCCTCCATCAGCCCCAAAATAAAGTATTTAGATAATCGAAGAGCGAAAATTATGTTTAGCTAGGGCTGCAGTAATTGATGATTTAAGTAATCCAGTCATTTTAGGATTATTCTGGAAATTAATCAAGTACTCTGATCGGAAATAAAACCTGCTTAGCAGTTTCGTTTTTCATTTATGTGTTTTTACCTTTACTGCTGTAACACTACAAATTCACCTGTTGTGAGGATAACATAGATCATCTTGTCTTTTCTAACTATGCCCATATAAATAATTTAACATCAGAAAGGCAAATGCACATTTACTTATCATATTATAACAAAATATAGACTAGAATATCATATCTCTACAGCCTCTTTTTTCAGAGTACACTGTGAATGCAGAAAGGGTGTGTGCTAGTAATCTATGTACCCACACACCCTGGGCACCTGTATGTCAGTACCACCCTCATCAAGAAAGTTTGGACACACCTGTGCACAGGGGCACAAAGAAAACACTGGGACAGGAGTGCTGATTGTGGAGATAAATGCTTTAACAATGACAAAAACAAACTTCTCTTCTCCACCATCCACAGGATAATACAGTAAGTCATATTATAAAATGGTTAGACAGCTACATAACCCTGCATGTCTGTAAACACTGGTAGCCTCAGCATTATATACAGGGATCTACCTTTTTCTCTCCTTCTGAGTTCAGCAGGTTTGCACTGACGCGCTGCCTCCAAGTGCATTATCATGTCAATAATCAAATAACCTGTAATGAATGTATTGAATTGGTTGGAACAGTGTTTTAGTGTTTTATTGCTGGTAAATGTCGGTTAGGTATGCAAGGCTATTCAGAGCTTAAGTTTGATAGTTGTTATGGCTGAAATGCCCCCCTTATACCCACCCTATACAATACACTTCCCTCCCCCCTCTAACATACATTACTATCCAGATTATGCTAATATAGACTCTTTCATGTCTTCAGCACTCAGGATTTTCTAGCCTGCGGGTATGTAAAGAAGCCCGCTATCATCACTGGCCAACTGTGGAGTATTCTCTCCAATCAGAGTCCAATCCTGCTCCCCTCTCCTTATCGCTGTCCTCCTCAGTGATCAAATATTGTTTTTACAGCAGACCAAGAAATGCACTTCGCTTTAAGACTGTGTGAAGCACAAACTGATGTTACAGCTCTTCCTGCTAAGAAGCTCATAGTCCAACCAGGTGAGGGACAGAAACAGGTCTGCTTTCTGTCTGTTATGATATAAGCAGCAGACATGCTATGAGCCAAAATACCAGGATTACAGGAAACCACTGATCACTGGAAGCACAGACGGCTACAAGAGAGACAACAATGACGAGCTGCATTTTAAGCCTTGATAATACTGCAACAACACAAGGTCATTCCTGTCACTGTGCTGCATGAGATGCATGTGGCCCTCCAGTGCATGCATTCACTCTCACAGGCTCATATATCTGCTTTGTTCTGCAACACTGAAATACTCGTTTTCACTGGATCTTTTTTGTCTCTGGTGACTGAAACTGAGCTGATTGAGCTGCAGTTGGACGGGCTCGCCGGTAATCTGGTGTTTTGGGAAAATGCCAGAATGGTAACTCCACCTAGTCAGGCACAAGGCCACTGCCAGACATGAGGATCTAGGATCTGGTGAAAACAGACCATCTGCAACACATTTCATGTTGACACTGACCATTTGATTAGAAGCTACACGGTTTCAAAATGGTCAGTTATAAACTTTTGGGCCTGTCATATACTATCCCAGGACGATCATACAAAAGGCTTCTATAGTGGGCCAAATTTCAGCCTGATCACACATCATTTGTCATGCAGTGGGTGTACCAGCGGTCACCAGAGCTGATCAAAGTCTGATCAGCTGCTATTGTCCGGTCTGATGAATTTCAGGCATTACAGTTTTGGTTGGTTGGCTGCATCCCCTTGCAAAATGAAAGCAGGGCTACGAGCTGATTCACCAACTTCAGGGCTTGTTTTCTGATTGTGTCTGCGAAAAAAAACAGCACTGTGGCAACACGAAAGATGTAAACATTTGATTTACACAAAGATACGTGCCTATTTTCATACCCTTAACACCACCTGAGCGATCTAATGCAAACCAAAACAGCAGCTTGATCATAAATCTGGCTTTACAAAGCCTTCTTATTTACAGCTTTATTAGTCATGTCAAAACATGAGGATTGTATTTTATTGTTATGATCCAAGTCATTTTCTGCAACTCCAACTTTGGCTGCATTGGTTAAAGGCTTAAAAATATATGACTATGACTTTTTAAGTTAAAATTGTAAGTAATAGTTTCCGTCTTCTCACATCAGCTTTAGAGAAACCCTTAAAGAGGTAAAGGTGATCAGGTGTAGTATTAAGTACAAACTGACAGTCAGTCTCTTTACATCTTGTTCAAAAATAATCAATTTATTGTAATAATGTGGGTGAAACTGGATTTTTTATAAACATGTAAATATGTTAATCTGAATGAAGTTGCACTAAATCGAACTTCTCATAGTCAGACTAACAAACTTGGATAAGTGTTGTGTGCATGCGCCACTGTTCGTACACTGGACTTTGAGCCAAAAGATGGATCACACAAATGCTTTAAATTTGAGCAGAGAACAAAAGTTTTCATCGTTGGATGTTCTTTCTGTTGGCCTCCTGCTGACTCTTCCTATTGAAGATTACTCGTAAGAAACAAGCTGAAAAGGAGGGGTATTTCCACCTGCCGTAGCAGAGGTAGACATGCCTCTGTCAATAGTTCCATTTTCACCTAGTACTTCTCATGACTTCACTGTGCATGTAAACATTCTGAGTAATTTGCACAAACTAGCATCAAATGTTCTTAAAATTGTTGGGGTGAGTTGCATGTCAAATGCAAAAAGCCAACATTTTGTTTTAACTTCATTCAGAACTTTCCCTGCCAGCACCTTTATAAAATTTTGACAAAACTGAGCCAGAAAGTTGGGGTGATGATGTTTCTGTGACAGGGGAGGAACATGACGGGAAAATGACAATAAACAAGAACTACAACTGCACAAGGATAACTAGGTAGTTTAGACGAGTTATTACTGTTTCTTTTATGATTGTTAAATGTGTGGCTAAAGCTGCAGCATCTGCCCCAAGCTGGAGCTGCAACTTTAGGTAATGTCCACTCTCAATATGCTCTACTACCTGGATCTAAACAAGCACAGATCGCACATAGAATCTGATGGCGCTGTGTGGTTTACATCCAGAAAATGGAGATAAGTGGTAAATAGACTGTATTTATGTCGCCTGGTCACAGTCACTCAAAGTGCTTTTACGTGTCACATTACATGTCAAATTCACCCATTCACAACACATTCACACACCAATGACTGAAGCTGCTATGTATGCCATCAGTGTTAACTAATCCCATTCACACAGGGTTGGGCACAGCCTACAGTTTGGGATCAAGTGTCTTGGCTAGGAACAGTTGTGGACGGTGGGACCTGGGCTGAACCCCAGGATTTACCAATTTAGAGACGACCTTCTGTGCTGCTCGGCCACAGCTGTCCCTGTAAAGTTGTACATAGGCTGTCTGGATAAACTGACATGCAATGACTTAATCAGAGCACAAGCATAGGGACAGCTGAAAGCTGGAGGTACTCGCTCTGCAAACCAATTTACCTGCAGATTCTATGATCCTGTGTTAGCTGTAAATAAGGGCCAATCCCAATTGTACCCCTTAGCCCTTGTCTTACCCCTTAGCCTTCGGTTTTGCGTGTTCACGTCAAGCGAGAGGGTGTCCCAATTCTTCATAAGGTTAAGGGGAAGGGCTAAGGGCAAGGTGTACACAGCCCTTAAAACGAAGACAAACTGGGACCTCACTTGAAAGCAAAGGGCTTAGATTTTGAGATAATTTTCATAGTAATCACACTTTTTTTTAGCAGACATTCAAGCCTTTACTACTTCATGTAAATATTAGCTGTTTTAAAATTTGAAATCACGCATTATAACAAGCCAGCTAACAAAGCTATAGTTATTGATAGCTACACTGATGTAAGACTGAGGTGACAACTTTACTGCAAACGGCAAGGCATGATGGCTTAGCAGAAATCGAGTGGTGTCTCGTCCTTACCCGGGAATCCCACTGGATCCGGAACAGCTCTGCTCCGGCAGGTGGATCAGATACACAAGCATACAGCGCCCACGGGATTTGAATCAGAAGAGAAACGCTCGCGAGATTACCAATATTTATTGCGAGACTGGACGAGATCTTGCGTGTTTCCCCGGGAGTCATAGAATGTGATTCGCCGATCAGTGTATATAAACGGTGGTGTATATAATCACCCAAATCCCACAACACTGGCCTCTCCTATTATCAAATTAAGAACAGTTCAATGTATTGACTATTTTATTTTGAAAGTTAACCAGATATTTCACTCTGTAATCGCATACAACCTCCCCTGCTGCGCTGCACTGAATTGATGCACCGTGCTCTGGCATCCGGCAAAAATAGAAGCCTTGCGTATCTGATACGGCCACTGGAGCCAATCGGCAGCGGAGCGGTGGATGGATTCTGCATAATCACACACATTGATTGTAATGCTTGCGTATTTGATCCGCCTGCCATGCTGGAGCAGACCGGAGCCATTCTGGATCCTGTGGGTTTTGCCCGTTAGGGGCGTGTTCACAGAACACGTAAGAGTGACAATTGGGATTGGCCGTTATCGGGCTCAATTTTGACTGTGTCAGTGTTTTCTTATTGAATAGAGTATGTCCAACCCATTAGAAGAGTTGGTTAGTCAACATTCGAACTTCATAGGACCAAGGAGTTAATCCCACTCAACTCTAAAATGCACATCTGTGTCAGAAACAGGTCTTTGTTGCATCATTTGTCAGTGTGTTGTGAACATTACACTGTAGCTTTCACTGAGTGCTTTTAATATCATATCCTGTCTCTCAAGACTCATCTCCATCTATGTCAAACACCCTACTCGTCCAAAGGGGAAGTCCCAAGGCTGTGAGGGACACATGCCTGAAAGAGCAACCATAGTACTCCTCTGTACTTCTGGCTTTTTCCAAAAAAGCCTCATTATTAAAGCTCCTGTGAAGGTTTGACAAGAGCAACAGACTAAAATTCAAATTGATGCCTTTTTATGATAAACAAAAGCAAAATGAGACCAGACAGATTGACAACATCTATAACAAAAATTTTAATGCCGAACTTGGTGTGGGGGGGTGGATGTCCGCCAGTTCTGTTTTTTTAACTTCTACATAAGATATTCACAACAATAGAAACTGTGAAGAAACACTGGTCTTCCCATCTTATGTATGAAGATATGCAGACATCTCCCAGCCAAACTAAAAGGCACAAACACCACATAAAGAGCAATTATTTCATCCCTGATTTGATCCTTCTGCTCTGCTCACTTCTTGCCCAAAGGCAGAGGAGCTAATGCAGGCCAAGGGAGGTACAAAGAGAGAAGAGGAGGGAGGAGCACAAAGAATTACAGCAAAATGAGGGAGACACTTTGGCCTACATGTGCATGTGAGGAGCATTCTGGGAAAATATGGCTTGACTGAATGCTTGTTAGCATCCTTTTGACTCTTTTGCTCTACTGTGCCGATTTTTTTCCTCACTGATCCAGCTTCAAAAATCACATTCAACAGAAGAGCCAAGTAGAAAAGCTTTTGGTTGATGTGCGGAGACAAGAGAGAAGCACAAAGGCTGAGATCAAATGGACTGCCTTTTAGCCATGTATGATATCCAGATGTTATGATTTCAGCTCCAGTATATCAACAGCTAAAGCATGTAGAGCTCCCCCTACTGACTGGCTGCAGAATAAGTCATGCACTCTGCCTTCGCCATGGTAACAGATGGGACATGGCGCAAATTCAAAACCCAAATACATGTCAAAGGATTTTTTCTCAAAGATGATGTCCATCATTTTTCTAGTATTTATGTAAATTTCAGCTCAAGAGTTCATTTCCTAAAGGCGCTGTTAGGAGTTTTTACTGGCTGAGAAACAAACTGAAATTGACACCAATGCCTCATTATGACCTTCTGTACCAAACAAGGCCATTAGCAACATGGCGTATATTTTCTCTGCTGCCAGTAAAGAATAATGCAGTTCAGTGTTACTTCTGACATAATAACGGCCATGCTCTAAAATCAACCATGAACCGATGTAGTTATTACAGATGCACTATATTATCAGCACAGTATCAGACAATTTTGGCCAGTAATTGTTTCTGCAGCTACAATCATACTTAGGGATGGGGATTGTTCATTTTTATCAGTACTGATACAATTAATGAGACTCCTTAATGATTTCAGTCCTTATTGACAACACTGTTGAGTTTTTGCTACACTATTTTCCTTAAAACTTTCATATTTATACTGATTTTTTTTTTTTTTTTTAAAAAGAGAGAAACTATTTTTCTTTTTCTGGACCTGACACTTAAACACATCATTACAACGTATTATACACTTTCACCTAATTATCGTTTTACCGACCAAACCTTGAGCACCTCACAGTGTAATTGTCTGTCACCTTGATTAGTTTGCTTGTTCACTTTCATTCTGTTGATAATGATTATAAACTTAAAGGACTCATTCTAAAGTCTGGCTGTGTTTAGCCCGGCTGCTTTGGGTGAAGAGGAGGTTGACAGCCCCACAGCAGCAGCAGCTGGAGTTGACTGAAATGTTTCAAGCTGCTGACAGCCAAAGATATGTAGAGCAGATATGACCATGTAGCCACACTGTGGACCTCCTCGCATATTAGGCCATCCTCCCATCTGACCATTGTGATTCTTTTTCTGTACTTTTATAACTACTTGCTGCTCAAACGCTGTTCTAGACAGTCTATTAATGTGCATGCATGGACCCGGTTATCTATCCCTATCCCTGATCATCAGCAGAAAAAAGTGAGGCTTTACATGTGAGCATGCAATTACTGCTTACCTGTGCCAACTATATGGAAGTATTTGGAAGTGTCACGAACAGACAGCAGACACATGACTGAATGTCTATATTTAAAAATACAGATACATTTATAGTGGACTCAAGTGTTTATTATCTTGTTTATGTCTGAGAATTCATTAAAATCCATCTAGAGCATCTGCTGGCTAAGATAACATTAATGACAGGGAATAATGAAGTCATACATTTTTTTACTTTAAATCTTGTATCTATTTATATTTTAATGACGACACATAGATCCACAGAAATCCAAGAGTCTCTTGTGAAAATATTTTACTAACCCTAAAATGTTTCTGCCCACATTAATTTAATAAAATGTTCATTTAAGTTCAGCAGTTGTGTCCCTTATTTGTTGGTTTTATCAAACAGTTTTAGTGGAAAAACAATCAACAATAATTTGTAGATGAAAACAAAAGTAAAGTATCACATCTCAGGCTTCTTTAAGTGGGAGGACAGGGGTATCGTAGGTAATGAACATGTGTTTACATGCCTATTTTCGGGGCATTTTATAATTTTAAGTCTGTCACTGGTGCCCCAAAAGCATGAACAAAAAATGGAGTTTATAAATTTAAGATCATATCTCCCACCCCTACTTGGCTTCACTTCATTACTTTACAAGAAAGGGAGACGCAGTCCATCTTTACAAGCAGTAAATGAGCAAACCATCAAGAGAAGTCTGAATTTCCCTTTAGGCCCCAAACCAAAAAACCACTGACCACCAAACAGCAATGAAATCACAGAGTTTTTCACCTGAAATCCACAGCCTTGTGTGTTCAGGAAAGACGAATTAAGAAGACAAACACAGACAGGACGATGGGTTGGTTAGGCCGCTGTTTCTGAGATGAGTCATCCCCCTCTCAGGGCGGAGATTAACTCAGAGAGAGGCGAGAGATGATCTGTGGAGCAGAGGTCTCCTCTCTCGCCCATCCAGTCTGCAGCACCTGCCAAACAGCATCACATCCCACCAGCTCCCTCTCTCTCTCTCTCTCTCTCTCTCTATACTTCTCTGAGGATGAACCTGAACCTTTCCAAGTCTACAACTACACAGGAGTACTTTGTTGACTGAATCATTCACATCTATACTGCCAGCCTCTGTTCATGAAGCACACTAATGTTTGACTGTGAAGCACACAATGAAATCACTGCATTTAAACCAATTATCAATAGACGGTCTACCAGAATCAAAAAGGTCAAACTCACCTTTTGTAGGCTGGTTGGGTTCAACTGAGTTTTGTCAATGATTTTTATTGCAACCTGGAAGAGAAAGAAGACAGTGAAATAATCCATCAGCACTTTTCCTTTCATATAATTACAGCCATCATACATGATGCTTAGAAACCTTAACTATATTTCTATACACTGTGCCTTTAGAGACCCACTCCGATGAAATCATGTTTTTCTTGTTGTCTACATGTTCATATGGCATATTTCTGATGCTATAGGACATATCATGAGAAAAATATGAAATTGCATTTCTGAGTATTTCTGCATTCAAATCACTGTGAATCTCTGACAGACCCAAACAGCAGACTCAGATTCAGTGAGATTTCCTACATCACAAATCCAAGCTCCGCCTCCAGAGCCCAGCAATGCAGGCCAGACTAAGGCCTGGACTACACGTATATAGATATTTATTTATCAGGATATTTTTGTACTCCCGTCTAAATAAATGTATCTGTCCACACGTGTTTGTTCTCAAAAATATCTGCGTCCACCATAGCCGTCAAACTCAATCCAATCTGGTGCCCTTAAAAAAAATTCAGGAACAAAGCTACCTGATTGGCCAATGAATCGTAACAGCATGAAGTGTCATGCATTGTTTGCGGAAGCTACTCTAGTGCGTTGGGTCCATGTGACAGTGTGGCGGCGATAACAAAGCAGACGCCTCTGTGAGCTGGCTTACTGGTGGTTGTAATTGTATAACACAAGGTTCACTTGCAAGGCTGAAATTAGCCCCAAAAGAGCAAAACAAACGTAAAGAATACCCTGTATGTCCGCCATCGTTGTTGTGGTTTTTCTTTTTAATTCGAATGCACGAGCTGCGGTTTGACGTCATCGATCCATAAAAGTTCAACCACACGAATCCACTTATACGGATATTCTTTATTTCTTCACTTGTTTTTTCGGATTCAGATTTATCTGGTTTGAGTGCTCCAAACTCCCGTTTTGGTGTGGTAGGGAGGCCTAGTCGGACATAAATATGTGCGGTTTGAAATATATCCACATTCGTGTAGTTGGGGCAGTAGTACAGTAGACGATCGCGGAACAAGTGAGTGCGTTAGCGGATTGCAATGCTTGTAAGAAAGCTAATTATGATATTAGCTTTCATTGTGTCCTGAAAGATATTAGTATCAGAGAGCTGAATAGCTCCTATGTTACCTGTTGCTTCTACTACACCAGCAATGTTGGGCTGCAATCTAGCATGAAGAGCAGTGTGCAGAGCAGTGCTGTCTCCGCCCACGACTAAGAGGTGAATTGCAAATGATCTACAAGAGCTCTGCAGAAAAAAAGCCTTTGAAAATGACACAGGTAAAGCGATTTTGGCCAAAAACTTCATAATCACAGTTTAAAGACCACTGAGAACACTTTAAGTAGTGCAAAAAAATCGATCGGAGTGCATCTTGAAGCCTCTGCTCTTACTGTAACAGTAATTACAGAAGATGAAACTACTGTGCTTAGGAAACTTACATTTTACTCTAAAAAACACTACATATCTCAGATAAAAGGTCAAAGGTAATCAGCACTTTGTGTCAAACATCATTAAAATATCACATAAGTACTTTGAGTTTGAAAAAACAGAATGAGCAGCTAAGCATACAGGTGCAGCTGAGTGTCAGGCATTCACAGCCTGTATGAATTAGCTGTCTTCTGACTCCAAGGTATGATTTCAGACCATGCTAGTTCAGCAATGCAGCATCTCTTTGATTAATAAATCTAAAAAGACCATAAAGTCCATTTCAGCATTTCAGTAACCACTTTCAAGCACCAGTAACTTTGACATTGATTTTATGGACTTAAAAGTACATTAAAATGGCCAACTAAAACTACGATTAATGACAGTGAACTGCTGAAACTACTGACATAATCAATATTTAAAAACAGATTGTTTTTAAAGCCCTTGTCTATTTTTATTGAGCTTAATATTCACTGTATATTCCACAATTTATGTTTTAAATCAGTCTCTCAACAAAATCCATTTTGCTCTTAAAAATCCTGTTCCCATCGTGCACCAAGCTGTTTGAAGTTACAAATTTTGGCATTGCAAGTCATGCAATTTCTCTTTTCTTCACCGGCCACTCTTTTCACAGAGTCATTAGGAATTTATAAATTGTAGAGGTCCATTGAGAAGACAGTAAGTATTCATACTGGACGATCAATAAGGTAGCCTTTAATTCTGCATGTAGTTCTTCATGGTTTCCGACTGATCTGACAGGTTATTAAAGGACGATTATTAAAAGACCTATGAATATCTGACTCTATTATTTCTCTGACACAGTTTACTATGATTATGAAAATCAGTTTCTGGAGTCTGAAAAGTGAAATGTTGTCCATGAAACAGGACTTCAGCTGCTCAAAATTTCAGGGTCTCCTTTGTCATAATTTTTATTTCATGGTGCCTTAAATGTTTCAGTGTGTGACTGCAGAGAAACCAGTTTCTCAGCAGGACTCTTCTCCTTCAGAGCCATGCTGTTGTAATCCCTGTTGTCAGAATGTGGTTTGTCATTGTCTTGCTGAAATATGAAGGTCTTCCCTAGTGTCAGGATGGCAGCAGATGTTGCTCCTAAACCTGTGGATATTGTTAAGCATTCATGGGGCCTTCACAGATGTGGAAGATACCTATGGCATGGACTCTGATGACCCACATACCATCAGGGATGCTGGATTTGGAGTAGGAGCTGGTAACCAACTGGGTGGTTCCTCTCCTCTATAAAGGGGAGGACAAGGATCCATTATTTCCAAAAAGAGTGTCAGATCTCGATTCCTGGAACTCCAGTAGAGCTCACCTCGGTCCAGCCTATATGGGCTCAGACTCAGAGGAGTCATCAGTGATCTGGATTATGTTTATATCTGGTTTCCTTTGTGCATGGTTCAGTTTGAACCTGTATTTGTGGATACAGCACCACTCTGTTAACATACAGCGGTGTTTGAATGGGACTTTGAGGCCATGTTGTGATTTCTACTACAGAGACAAGCCTGTTTTTAATGCAGTGCTGCCAGAAAACAGAGATGTCTCCAGGTCTCTGAATCTTTTAATGATAGTTTGTACTGTTGATGATACAGTTTACTAATTCTTTGACATTTGACACTCAGGAAATTGTTCAGCTAATTGCTCACAGTCTCTTACTGAGCGGTGAAACTCTTCCCATCTTTCCTTTCAAGAGACTCAGCCTCTCTGAATGTCCTTTTATACTCTGTCATATTACCATATAACCTGTTGCAAATTATCCTCATTAGTTGTAGGTGATTTTTTTTTTTTTGTTGCCCCTGTCACAACTGTTTTGAAACATGTTACTGGAACTAGGCATGTGCCGATATGAAAAATTTGATAACACAATATCGGTGGCCCAAAATATCACGATTTACGATATTATCATGATATTAGCGCATTGCTTTTAACGTTATTAAAAATGGCAAAAAAAAGGTGAAATCACTTCTCTGTGCACAGCATGACACGCACAAATAATATGAGCAAGAGGCAGCTAACGTGATGTTGGGAGCATTAGCTTTTCGGAGCTAAAGTTAGCAGAAATGTCACTAACGTTGTCAATAATAAGCAGTAGAGTAGACCAAACTTGTTGCGGTCATGTTGTTTTTACCTTGATTTGGGCCAACAGTGCTGGATGGTGTTCACGTACGTTTGAAGTGTTAGACAACGGCGCTACAACTTCCTTACGGCATAACCTGCAGATTGGTGTCAGGTTTACCTGCTCCGTCTGTTTCGTGAAGCCATAAAACGTCCAGACTGCCGACAAAACCTTTTTAATAGGAGGATACAGCCGAGGCGTTTCGTCATTCTCAGTCTCCGACTGTTCTTGGTCCGGTGTTATGCTGTTGAATGCACCCCTGCCATTGAATGCACCCCTGACGGGAGCGTGGTTGAAAGTACATAACAAGGCGAAATAATCCAAGTTTTCCTTACTATTGGGTGGATTCTAAAGCGTGTGCCTCTAATGATTTCATTCAGACTATTCAGATAAGCCGAAAACAATAGTCCTCTGATTCGGAATATTTACTGTCCTGAAAATATAATGTTCTCTACCTTGACAGCTTACTGTACAGTTTATGTTCCCAAGCACACCACTCTATGAGCATTTTTGGGACACATAAAAACAGAACGAAAGTTTGCTGCTCCATTTGACATGTTGTCATGATCGATCCAATGCATTGTGGACACGCTCCAACAGTGCTTTGGGTGGCTGCAATGCATTGTGGGTGGCCACGCATTCTGTTGTATAATTTCTTCATTTTCTCTTTTAATGTTCCCGTTTTTGTTAGGCTGGCATTTTTTGGATTTTGGACTACTTTTGCGGTGGTTTGTTTGTACATTTTGCTACGAGGCTTTGACACCTTGGGTAAGACTACAAGCGGGTTAGGTTGGTAAGTACTCGGCTTTGCTCGCCTCCGCTGAAATTATAATTGTGGAATGTTTATTACTGTACCTTACGATTTCATCATCGCGGCCGTTTGATATCGCATATCGCAATTAAATCGTATATCGGCACATCCCTAGCTGGAACCTAATTGAGCATATTTTTGTTCAACAACATTTTTCAGATTGACATGTTGACTTTGTACTGTTTTTCAACAAAATATATGGTATAAAGGATGTCTCTTTTTTAGAAATGCGGTTGGGGTCATTAGTTGGTCAATCAACCAACATGCTGAGAAGTGTACATCCCTAGAGAGTCAAAAGTGATGTCTACATGAGGCTAAAATTGAATTTTCAGAAGATTTGACGAAAAATTATGAAAAACTGAATCATGCAGAGTGCATTTATTCCTATCTTTAGACACTAGCAACAATAATTACCTTCCTGCACTTTTCTTACATCTCCATCATCTACTCATCCACCCCCTTACCCTTGCCCCCCACCCTCAGACTTCTGCTGCCCTGTGTCTCACCTCCCTGCCCGTCAGGATGTGGCGGGCCAGCTTGACCTTGGCGAAGTTCCCCTTGCCGATGGTCTTGAGCAGGCGGTAGTTGCCGATGTGCGGCTGCTCGTCTGAGCAGGAGGCAATTGAGTTCCTGCACCGGGCTCCCAACGAGCGGCTGGACTGGCTGGTGGCCTTGTCAGCCCGGCTGGACCCCAATGACACATGCTGGAAGAAAATGTGGAGAAGAGATTAAAAAGAGTGGAGGGGGTCTCTCACTGAAACAAAAAAAAAACAGCTTTAACTGTTTCTTGGACTCTAGGAAAAACTGTTTCTTTTATCCCTGAACAATCCATTTAACTTTCAAATAACACACAGAATACCGAGAACATTTGTAGATATGTATGTCAGACACCTGACGGGGTCTGAGCTACAAACCATAGGGACACTATGACCAACCATGTTACAGTCAGAGACCGGCAACTGATCCATGCCCTCTTGACTCTACAGACTATGAGCATAAACTCAGGTTATAAGTCAAGTTAGAAAGAGATTTGTGTCAAAGATGACCAGTGGAGTCGGCCCCTGTTAGCTGTTAGAAAGAAAGCAGGTTTTATGCACCTATACATTTGTAAAGCTAAATCCACTCAGAGTAGATTCTATCAGATATCGATAATAAACTGTGTAGGGGCAAAAGTCATTCTGTAATCATGCAATCATGCATGTTTTTGTTTGTTTTTTTGTCAACTTTTTTTTAATTATCTGTACACTGTGAGCGTAAGTATTACTCTATGTCTACTGTGCTGATCCCTTTGCTGCTGTAACACTGCAAAGTTCTCCACTGTGGGACACATAAAGGTTTCTCTTATCTTGTGCAAATATAGAGTTGGTCAGGTAAGCATACCACCAGTATATAGCCAAGCTGAGTGATCTGTTAAAATGAGATCTCCTAGATTTTTGTTTCATAGACTCAAACGGGACTGAATCAGAGTTAAGCTACACTTGAATCAGGAATGAGCCTTTATAAGCAAACCTATCTAATTGTTGTAAAAAGTCTGAGTCTGAGTTACCTAAAAAAGCCCATCCCTGACATTAATACCTGCACGTGAACACTGAGTGCAATTTGTTTTTGACTCTACTCAATGATCAACATCACCCTTCTTTAGAAGTCCAGAGGTCACCTGATGGGTAACTGTGGTAAAAAAGGTGGAAATATCTTGGTAATCTGAGACCATTATGAAGCTTCCCAACAGCTGTGCAGTTGCTGAAAACCACCACCAAGAACTAAAACCTTTGACTATTAATGTCTTCCACTGATCTGTCTGATTTTTTAAATATTTTTTAAAATACATTTTCGTACAGCAAAATATTGGAAAGTATTTAAAACGCCATCAGAGGCCAGAGCAGCTAATGAGAAACTTAAACAATCCTCTGAGTGTCCTAAAAATATACTGGCCTCAGTGCTGGCCATCGCTACAAAAAACAAACGGACTTATGTTAAATGCAAGCTCATCCTAGCTAGCCTGCTTGCTAATACATGACCTCACAGTATGAACACTGACCTTATACAAATAAACGGTGAAGGCTCACATGGAGTGAAGCTCATACTGTAGTTCTGGCATGATGGGAAATATTATTGGCTTGTAAATGTGACTTTTTTTAACACCCTGGTATACCTTAAGCTAGTAACAGGCCTATGCCAATTGGTGCATGGTCGGGCACTGGACATGTGTTTCATCATATCGGTTGCCACCTGCCGCAAAACTGAGAAAAGAAAAAGATGTGGCACTGCAGCTAGCTAGCTAGCTGTAGCCAGCCTCTGACAGATGAGCGGACATCTTTGAAACTGATGCCAAAAAATGTATTGTGAATCAAAAACAACCTCAGAGTTTGTGCCTCTTCAGCAGGTCTTTATTGATTACTTTCAAATTTTTCTTATTGCTGTTATCCTTTAGTTCCATAACTAACAATGCACTGGACAGTAGAGCTGGGCGATGAATCTAAAAAATATGATAATCCAGACTGAATGATATCCTGTCGCCTGATGTGTTCCTCTCATTTTGGCTGATAAGGTGAATGATATCCACCCTGCCTCTCTTCTTTCACAGCAGAGTGTGCAAACTGCCCCTCCCCACAAACTACTCACACTTTCACCTCCTCACCATGAACTCAGATCTGTCAACTTGTGAGCTCAGCAACAAAGGGGAACCAAAGAGTCACAGATAAAATTATAAACCGCTGTATCTTTGACATGTCGCTATAGCAGTACAAACTATCAGTCAGCCACAAGTGGAGAGAGGAGAGCAGGGAGAGGGGCAGGTGAAGGCACCCGATGGTAAAGCTGAAATCCTTGTTTTTTGTTTTTTTTTTAATAACAGTGTATAAATATGAAAATAAAAGTCTTTCATGGTTTAGTTCATCATATCCAGTTAGACAGGCATACTTCAGTGAACAAGAATAATGTAGATTTTTACATGTTAATGTTCATCTTATTTTTGTCTTTTTTTTTAAAGATCTCACAGTGTTTAAGTTTGAAAGAGTTTAAAAGTTCTAAGAAATGGTGTAATGCAGATGTCAATTTATAAGTAAATGCGTTAAAATGTCCTGATCTCCATACAAATAAAGATAATAATGAGGATTTTTCAGGATTTTTAGTGTAATCTAGCAACCCTAACTAAGTACCAAATATTTTACTTCAAAATAAAAGCATCTTTTTTTGTACAATGTAGGGAACAAAGCAACCTAAAACTGAGATAGTAAAATGTCAAAATAAAAGCCTTGTTCTTTGTCAAAAAATGTCAAAATAAAAGTATCCCAAATAGTGGTTGTAAGACTAAGTTTCTACAGGGCTGGAGATGCTGTCAAAACTTTAAACACGATTAGAAACGGTGATATGTCAGCAAGTCAGTCACATTGATTAGTAAAGTTTATGGAGTGATCAATGGCTACAACCTCGTCTTGCTTTATCTGAATCTAACTGAATGTGCAGTTTAATATGGTGATAACATCATTATTATGGATTTTATTTGCTGTGATAATCGTGGGGTAAAACTGTTGCAATAATTGATAAAGCACTTTGATGGTGTGTCCTGCAAATATATCCAAATGTACACCCTCTTTAATATTTTGAATTTCTGACAGTTTTTGGTGAAAGTGTTTGAAGTAATTTAAAGATTTCATTTTGGGCTTTAAATGATAACTTTATGGTATTTAAATGGTTACCAACAAATAAATGAAAATAAATGTTGCATCCTCAAGAAGCTGCTTTTTGTCAAATCAAGGAAACACTCAGAGTTGGAAACAGAATAAATCGAGGAGGGGTTGAGAGGAACAAAAGGAAAAAAAAAAAGGAGATGGAAGAATGAGGAGGGTGTTGAACTGAGATGGTCAGAAAAGGAGAAAGAGAGAGTAGTAGAGAGAGAGAAATATGTAAGTAGGAGCAAAAGGGGAGCAGATGCCTGCACAGTGGTCCCTGGCCGGTTTTAGGCCCTGAGGCGTCACACTTCCATCCCCCCAGCATGTCATCCTGCTTTCACAAACACACTCACACACACAAATACTACCACGCAACCCAAGGCCCCACCTTCAGACACTCCCTCCATCCCTGTTCTCATGCCCCACCTGGAGACTATTTGGACCCCCTTCTCGGCGCTATCAGGTGGATGAGTACGAGTCCTACCCAGCGAGGAGGAGGGTGACTTTAGACTGTAAGGCCTCACCTGTGCCAACATGGCAACACATTTCACCCTCTCAGTTCACCCATCTGTCATCATCACTTAATTGTGGAGTGATGACAGCTGATCAGACTCATTCTGATGGAAGATCTGCATTCATAATCAATCATGCAGCTCTTAAACACTCACTCACTCTCTCTCTTTCTCTCTCTCTCTCTCACACACACACACACACACACACACACACACACACACACACACACACACACACACATACATACACACACACACACACACACACACACACACAAATACACGTATACAGGCTTAACCATCCCTCTGTGCTCAAAGCTCTGCTAACAAACAGATGGGGAGGGAGGGGGGACTAGTGCCAGAAGTGTTTAGGGGAGAGAAATGACATAATGCAACATCAATAAGCACCATAATTTCAAAGAAAGAAGAATAAGATAGATAGATAGATAGATGTGGTGTTTTCTGTCTGTCTCACATGAATGAATTCTCTATGTGCAGCAGCAGCAGGCCTCTGTTCTGGATGTATGGCGCTGCTGTCTGACACCCACTGGCTGTGGGGTTGGGCGCTTTGTAGGCTGCGCAGCAACGGACTGCACATCATTTTACGCAGTAATCCCCCCTCGCTTCATGCCGACAACCCAGATATTCTCTATACATTTATTTTGGCCTCCTGTGCGCGCGTCCCACCCATGCAATTTGAAGAGGAAATCACGCAAATAGACGCGCACATGTACAAACATGCACATTTATATAGGCGGCAGCAGCAGCAGCAGCAGTGGTAGGGAGTATAATGTGACATCACTATCTCTCCACAGCCTTCTAATCAGAGGTGACGGCTGGTTTTCAGGCTTTCTGCGCATATCCGCCGAGTGTTATCGTATGCGGATGGACCCATTCCGGGCTGTTTGCCTGCCATCAGCTCTTTCCCTGCGCAGACACTCAAGGTTAGCCCATTTTGACAGAGCCTGTTCTGCTAAAACATCCATCTAATATCCCCTCCAGAGTCCTTTCACCCAATGAGGAAAAATAACACCCTCCTCTGCACCGTGATCATGCACACAGGATGCAAAAGGCCACATTCATGAGGGGTTGGTTTATTCTAAGGGATGCACGATGTACCTTCTGCATGCACACAAACAGACAGAGGCTATAGGCTGTAATTGCACTTACATGGTCTCCAGTACTCCTGTCGTTTCCAGACGGTAATGCAGATCGAGAGGACATGTTGTTTTCTTGCCTTTTTCCCTGAGTAAGATTCACGGTGTGTTCGCGCGGATGGTGTTTTCAGGCTCCGCAGACACAATAACATCCGCAGATGAGACCCGCCGTCCCGAATCAATCCGCCTCTTCTCCAGCCGGTCGAGCCGCGGTCGAGAGGAGACCTCTGCCTGTCATGGCAGCAGCGAATAACTGGAGGGAGGGTGTCCTCAAACAGGCAGCATTTTCCACGATGCACTGTGCAGAAACAGAGGCCGATCAGCGATGCAGCAAATGCAATGCAATGCAAATCCCGAGCATCGAATAGGTGCTAAAATGCGGAGATGTTTGGCCGGAGCCCAGCGTCTCTGTGGCGGCTCTCCACCCCCTGCCTCATATCGCCATACCAAACAAACACGGCTCCTCCTGGATGATCCCCATCCCCGTCTGTCATAACACTGACCGATAATCTGTCACTCGGGCCCCGCCACCGCCACGCACCCGCTCCCCCTGCAGAAAACACGGCTTCACGGTGCAGCGGGGAACAGGCCGAGATGTTCACAAATCGGTATTCCCGGTCGGAGAGATGCGCACCAACACCAAGTCTGCTGGAGTGCACGGAAACGAGACTTCCGGGCTTGAGTTTCAAAATAAAAGATACTTGATATTTAGAACGCTTCAAAGTCATAAACAGGTTGAAGGTTGGGCTCTGGTTTTGTGTATCATTCAGAGACCTGCAGAAATACACATAAACGTGGAGATCCACAACAAGACATCACGGGTGTGACCGGTGGCCACGGGTGGCATGGGTCCCCGTTGAATTCTAAAACTGGCTATTTGCTGTATCAAAGGCAAGTTTTGTGCAAATTCATTTGCAACCCCAGGACATCATGATTAGCCTGTGGCTAACAGATTGAGAGCTCCCTTTGCTAGCTAATTGCAGTATCAGTCTCACCACCCTAACGTTCACAGATGTAAACTGGTAAAACTACAAAATTACAAAATACAAAACAAGTTATTCAATTTGAAAAATGAATATGGAAAGCTTTGTTGACATATGATGGCAGCAGAGTTTTGTCCTGGATTAATGGAGGTGAAGATGAACCATAAGAGACACAAAGAGTGGTTAAACTTAAAGGAATATTCCGGCGTAAAATTAATTTAGGGCCAAACACAACATAACACCGAGTTAGACACCCTTAGAGAGATGAAAGTTGCTGACCGCTTGCTTCTGTAGTTACACCAACTTAAGTAATAACCGCAGGACAGCAATACACAGCAGTCTGAGGAGCCATACACAAACCTCAACCAAAACACCACTCTATAGCCACAAATAATGCTCAGAACAGCACCTAATTTCATCAACAGTAGGAGTCCCAGCCATAGTATAGCCACCAAACATTGTTTTAGCTTTGCCTGATTTCTTTAACAAAGAGACTAAACATAACTCACCCACTCTCCTCCAGCAGCCACTTGTTCGTAATGAGACCTCGGGCCAGTCCATTATGGACTACAGCGGGGTGGCACAGCTCAAGGAAGAACTTTTATGCAAGCAGTCAGCAACATTCATCTCTCGACGGGATGTCTAACTCAGTGTTATGGTGTGTTTGACCCTAAATTAATTTTACGCCAGAATATTTGCAAGGATGCCTAGCCCATGTTCACACTATAAAAAATGGAAGGTCCACACGAATCATCATTTTGACAAGCTTTACTGGTTACAGATCTGGGTTACAGCTTCATCATGCCACAAGTGTAACAAAGCGTAACAAAGTGTAACAGAAGCATAACAGAAGCATCACAATGATTGGTCTGAGACTGCTCAAGTATATATAGTCGTCCACATTTCTAAACATACTGCTGACATTTAGTTGACCCTAAGAAAAATCCATGTATGGTAAGAACAAAGGACAACATATTTTAAGGAGCTTTAGGTGAACATATGGAGGGTCCATAGAAGGAAATACCATGACAGAATGTATTTTGGGGATCTGTGTGATGTTGATGATGGTTGTCGGAGGCCCCAGGCTCCAGCAATCTAACACTGAAATATCTCAGGTATTCGAGTGACACAGCTCCACCACTCTAAAGGCTGACATGACTGGCTAAAGAAACTCATCCTAACAATATTCCTTTAATATATCCATGTGTGTCTGCTTCAAATCAACAAAAGAGTCTGTCCTGCTATTGCATGGACCCAGCAGCAGGATCTTTGGGGTTTTATCAGTGAGTTTGATGTGTGCTTTGGTAAGCGTAGTGGGTATGAAGTCAGTCCTGCAGTCCCAGCTAGGTTGCGTCTGCACCCCCCTTGGTTTGTGTTCACTTTCTTACTTTGCTGACTTGTGTATAATTTTCTTTTTTTACCCTGGCCACATCTGTCACATCAGTAGTTACGGTCCCATTTTCAAAGAAAAATAAGCTTTTCTACAAGGTAAAAGTCCACCGATGGTAATAAGTCTGAGATTGAGTGATACACAAGGCTCTGGAAGATGACTGAATGTGATAAGACTAGACTTGAGAATGACTTTTAAAGAGTCACAAATATCAAGAAGTCGCCAAGAGCTCGGTGAAACTCTCAGGAGTGTTTTTTTTTCATTGCAGGAACCAGTCAGCACTGGAGATGTATGGTTTAGTGCTGTTGTTTTTCAGACTTTTATTTTGTAGAGTCCTCCCCTCTTTTCCTGTCTGCTTGAACTGCCTAACAGTTTTTGTCTTGATGCAGCTGAGATGCGCCACATCAGAGATGCTTACAGGTCCACACATCTCACAAGCCACTGCCGGTTTCAGCGGCGTAGATTTGTGCGTAAATTTGCATAAAGTCTCCAAAGATGGCCGATGAAGAGTGTCATCATCTGAAACTGTGATGGTTTTCACCTTTTCTGTGATCTGCTGACTGCTGCTAATGATGGCCTGCACACAGAGAGGAAACATGTCTGCATGGGAGTCAATGTTCTTCTCCACTGGAAAAAAGAAGTATGAAGGTGTCACTCTATAATAAACCCCTAAAATCCAGTCTGTGGAGTTAATATGCAGGACTGAGGACAACAGCATGAGGGACACAATTACCCCACAAGTTAGGATTCTGTGATGAATATAAAAAAAAAATAGAATCTAATGGTTTTCAAGTCAGTTGAGGTCTATATTTGATTGAACACTGTGCAAAAAAAAACACATTAATTATAATTATTTTAAAAATGCATCTCATTTTAAATCTGTGCCAGAAATGTGCTTCAGAAATGTCAGGGTCATGCTTACACAACCTTTCTTTTAACATCACTGTAAACATTGTGAACACAGGAGACCAGATTCTGGTGTTTAAAAATATCCCATTCTTGCCTGATATGGTATATTTCAGCTGCTCTTTCAATAGCTTGGAGGTCTCCTTTGTTGTATGTTTTGTTAAATGTTTTCAACGAGTGACTAGTCTGGACTGCAGAAAGGCCAGTTCAGTTTACTACCTGGCGTGTGTAGAATGTTTAGGTCAGTTCAAGATTGATGGAGTTTTACATATACAAAAAAATTGATCTGCATTACCCAGGTATGTCTGTGTGACTATGAGAAGTTTGATTTAGTGTGATTTCAGCCAGACTACTAAGTTTACATGTATATCAACATTTTAGTTTCATTTGGACCGTGGCAATCAATCGATTGTTTTTGAACAACATGTAAATGTACTGACAGTCATGTAGTGATTTATACCAGCAATGATGTCTCATATTGTAACAACTAACAAACATTTTTTTTTTTTTTGTCTGTAGTTCTTCAGGCAAAAGAATCCTGCCTTAGTAAGCTAACTATCAGCATTTATTAATAAAGCTTGGTTGTTACGGTTAATTATAATCTCTGCGTCCTATTCAGGGTTATCTTAAACACAAAAATAGATCACAGGAAGAATACAAATACTTTTTTTTATTGTTGTAGTGTTAACCTATCTGATATTATGGCCTCATTCATGGAAGGTGAGCAACTCTGCATGTAAGAGCCTCTGTGGGTAATATTTTAGAGGTGACCAGGCATCAGATTTTAATCTTTAAAAAGCCTTCTTCATTTGATTAAATTGATTTGTCTATCTGCAAAGACCACCAAAGCCTGAGATAAGTCTCCATATGTTTTCAGATGTGTTTTTAAACTGGATTGTAGATTTTGTTCACCATCTCTCAGAAACGTAGATTGGTTTGGTTACACTCTCACATGTTGTTGTTTGTTTTTTTTAGTCATGGCTTTTCAAATTCGACTGATCCTCCTTGTTTTTAAAGACTAAAGGGGATTCTGTTGAAGGAGACTCCCAGTCTTCAGATGCTGCTTGGCCTACTTTTTTTCAGCAGTCCTCCACCTACACTCTCCACCCAATCCCAAGATGCTGTAGTCTCTCATTTCCACTGCCGGTCTCATGGCTATACTGTGATCTTTATAATGATGGACAAGTTGAGGCAGGTCTCTTCACCCCTGTCTGTCTGACTTCTGTTCACTCAGGAGGCAGCAGAGCTGGAGATCAGCATGTTTTCAGGTTAGAGACAGTAGACCAGATCCAGCTGCTGTTTTCTTTTGTTAAATCCAACAGAGTATCTCCACAATGACCGCTGGAGTATCCAACAATCTGTCTGATACTGAATTACAGCTGTTGTTGGCGACAGATCGCCTTTACCAGATAAATAAAGATGTTCACTGAACAAATTTTCTTTTTTGGAATGCAAAAGGTGTCGATTCTTTGTTAAAAAAAAAAAGACTTAAAAGGGAGTTTTGATCCATTAGGATGGACAGAGGTGACAAAAACCAGCAGTTCCTTGAGTGTCCACTAGAGGCTGGATCCCAAACTGAGTCAATCCCCACAGAGCCCTTAATCAAAGGGTCCATCTAGACAGTAATAACAGGCTATGTTTAAGACCTACAAATACTGCTTCTTCTTTAAAGCACATTACTGGAATATAGTCAACCTCAATGTGATCTTATTCTCAGCTCAGACATCTGACTTCAGAGATAATGGTAGTTGTGTGGTTGTGTGGTGGGCTGTGGGCTCCTCTGGTGGGGTGGGGGAGAAGTGCTAATGGAGAATGAAAAATCTTGTTGTGACACCCTTCAGGAACAGTTGATAAAAAGTGAAAATAGTGCCCTCTGGAAGTCCTTCCAGTGTGAGAAAGTAGAAAAAGTTCCCTGTAGATGTCCTTCATTAAAATCAAGGTGACATAATGCTCTTTCAAATTCAACGGGATGAACTGCCCTTCTGTTAATTAAGTCTGATTATACAGTAAATGTTTCATTTATGTGCAAAGGTAAAAGTCAAGTATACAAAAGTCTTTTCTTTTTAGTTAATCATTTGACTAACATTTAACTCCTCTGTTTTGAAATTATCATCTTACACCTTACCACCTTAAGAGTTGTATGTATGTAGCATTCATTTTTTGAATGATTATCTATAAATGATTATATTTTGTTTTTTAGTTTTCACCACAAATTCTTGCATACATATCATTAAAAGAACCCCCCAAATGTCCACCAGAATACAGGGGATTAAGAGACCTCTGAGCTATTTGTGCCTAATTATAAATTATGAGCCCAAGACCGGGGGTATCAGGGAGTCTGAAAAAGTGGTCCAGTTTTACAACTTTT